GGTACCTATTTATCTACTTGCACTTTGACGTGCTTTTGTACTGCTAGGTTGGCAGGAGCAGGGACCGAGCAACGGGAACTCACCCCGTCACGGGGATTCGAACCGCCGACCTTCTGATTGGCAAGCCCTAGGCTCTGTGGTTTAACCCACAGCACCTCCTCTCTAGAAACTTGTCCACCAGTCTTCTCCTCGGGGCATTCTGAGCAGTGTGAAAGGAACGCCAGACTTCCCTAGAAAAAGCAGCTTGAAAAACCACGGATGGGAGGAAACAAAACTGGCTTCTCTAACGCTCTCAAAATCCTTTCCCCACGCAAGTAGCTTCAGAGGAGGCCCGGGATGGGCTGTTCACTGCGCACCTCTGTTCTAAGGCTACATCAATATAAATGTAGTGAACTACGACCCCACACATCACTGGATTCCATTAGAAGCTCCCTGGAGAACACACCTCACTAGGGGTTACCAGGCCCTGGCTTTCAGGAACAGCTGGAGTGAGAGGGAACACTCTATTGAAGTTCAATTTTTAATTCACTTTAAACATTTTTGTTTCCCCCCTGGGGAATGCCCATGCAATAATCCTCCTTGCTAAAATAGCACCTGTTACCAGCTACAGCACTAACTTGCTGCAAGTTTTGCCCACTCACAATGCACCACAGTGAGTTCTGAGCATCAGTGCTGGCATAGAAGACTATAACCCCAAATGGTTTACCGTAGAAGAGATTCAGCGCCACTTCTGTTGGCCAAGGCCGAAGATGGAGGGCATTCCCACTCTCCTCTCTTTAGTGGTGCCAGTTCCAAACTGGGGACCCAAGTGGATTCAAAGCACAGTGACTGAGGATGGGTGAATATGCCAAATTTCAGTTTAAGTTTCTCATTTGCCCAATCCTAAGTTTGGCTCTGCACATTTCCACATCAGTTTGCGATTAAAGAAAAAGAAAAAGCACTTGTGAAAATTCACCAGCCTTTTAGTGCCAATTTCTCCCAATACACACATTTTTGTATTCAATTTTGCCTTACATAAAGGCGGCTCCCCACTTACCCGGGGTTACTGTTATGTACTGAGTTGAATAGGATCCAAAAGGCAGCAGTCTGATTGGTCCTAGAACAATAGGATCCAGAATGCAGCAGTCTGATTGGTCCACAGGAGCCACCCAATCCAGCTCCAGGTGGAAGGGAATCCGCAACCTGATTGGCCTACAGGAGAATCCCGAAATTAGCCAATCACGTGGGGCCCATTGTGTAAATAATGTATATAAAGCAGACATTCTGGGGGAACTTCCATTCCTCCTCACCACTATGAGCTGAATAAAGAGCATGAAATCCACTCTCGACTCCGAGTATATTTCAGTTATGTTCCCGGGTACCCCATGTATACTGGCAACTCGCCATTTGTGCAGGGGTTGTATTCCATGTCACTGCACACATCAGCAGAGTGCATGTGAGCCTGTTCCACTCCCTTCCGGAGTCGGAAATGTCGTGTGTGTGAGCAGTTGTGCGCCAATCGAACACACGCAAAATGGTCACCGCCTGTACACGCAATCGCATATAGCAGGGAACACCATCTAAAAAGTCAAACTATGCTTCAAATCCACAAAAGCCTGCCAAACCCCACCACAATTGTTCTTTCCAAACCTTCTTTCCCAAACTCCAACTCTCCACAGGTCTCAAAGGCTCCTGGGATTGCTACAGTTTTCCTGCTCTTTTTGTGCCATTTTTGCAGTTTAAATTAATGTATTTAATTATTTCCCAGTGTTGCACAGATACACAGTCGAGCGCAAGTTAAGTAGAGAGATGCCTGTACACAGAATGAGGTACAGGGCTTCCCCCCCTCTCATCCCTCTGTGCACCCCATGCCCTCTAAATCTGCCCTGAAGGGTTGGGGCAATCCCCAGAGCAGGTTTGGGGAAGGGCACTCATTCCACTCATGAATACCCAACTTAATGCGACATTGAATTCCACTCCCAGTTTTGCAAAGCACTTCCACCTAGAATAATCTGTTTTTGTATGTTATTTTCACCCATACATACTGTTTTTATGCACACTTTATGCTGGTAAAACTCTATGCATTTCTGAACACATCACTAGCTGCAGAACTGTAGTACAAAACTGTGACTTTTGAAATATGCCCGTGTGGCAATCCGTATATTGTTTCAGAAAGTGCAAATTAAGTAAGTTTGCCTGAAGGAGCATCTCCACCCCCATCGTTCTGCCCGGACACTGAGGTCCAGTGCTGAGGGCCTTCTGGTAGTTCCCTTGCTGCGAGAAGCCAAGTTACAGGGTACCAGTGGCAGCAGCACAGGCAGAAGAGGCACAGGCGGCAGCGGCACAGGCGGCAGCGGCACAGGCGGTAGAGGCACAGGTGGTGGAGGCATCAGAGGCAGTGGCAAAGGCAGAGGCGGTAGAGGTACAGGCGGCAGTGGAAGCGACACAGGCTGCAGTGGCATAGGTGGCAGTGGCACAGGCAGTAGAGGCACACGCGGTGGAGGCATCAGCGGCAGAGGCACAGGCACAGGTGTTAGAGTAGCGGCACAGCTGGTGGAGGTACAGGTGGCAGCGGAAGCGGACAGGTGGTAGAGGCACAGGTGATAAGAGGCACAGGCGGTGGAAGCACAAATGGCAGTGGCAGAGACATAGGAGGCAGAGGCACAGGCGGCAGTGGCAGCAGCTCAGGCGGAAGAGGCATAGGTGACAGAGGCACAAGCGGTAGAGGAACAGGCAGTGGAGGCATTTAGTAGAGGCACAGGCAGTGGAGGCATCAACGGCAGAGGCAGAGGCATAGGTAGTAGAGGCACATGCAGCAGCGGAAGCGGCACAGACGGCAGCCGCACAGGCGGCAGTGGCAGTAGCTCAGGCGGAAGAAGCATAGGCGGCAGCGGCACAGGTGGTACAGGCATACTCAGTAGAGGTCCAGGCGGCAGTGGAAGCGGCACAGGCGGCAGCGGCACAGGCAGTAGAGGCACAGGCGGTGGAGGCATCAGCGGCAGAGGCACAGGCACAGGAGTTAGAGTAGCAGCACAGGTGGTAGAGGCACAGTGACAGCAGTAGCGGACAAGCGGTAGAGGCACAGGTGATAGAGGCAGAGGCGGTGGAAGCACAAGCGGCAGTGGCAGAGGCATCAGCGGCAGAGGCACAGGTTGCAGTGGCAGTGGCAGCAGCATAGGCAGAAGAGGCATAGCGGCAGCGACACAGGCAGTAGAGGCATTTGGTAGAGGCACAGGCGGTGGCGGAATCAGCGGCAGTGGCAGAGGCAGAGGCGGTAGAGGTACAGGCGGCAGTAGAAGCTGCAAAGGCGGTAGAGGCACAGGCGGTGGAAGCGCAAGAGGAAGGGTAGCGGCAGAGATGATAGAGGCACAGGGGGCCGAGGCATCAGCGGCTGTAGCAGCAGTATAGGCACAAGAGGTAGAGGCATCAGCGGCAGCGGCACAGGTGGAAGAGGCCAGTAGAGGTACCAGCGGCAGTGGCACAGGCGTTACAGGCATAGGTGGTAGAGGTCCAGGCGGCAGTGGAAGCGGCACAGGCGGCAGCAGCACAGGCGGCAGCGGCACAGGCGGCAGAGGCAGTAGAGACACATGCGGTGGAGGCATGAGCAGCAGAGGCACAGGCACAGTCGTTAGAGGCAGCAGCACAGGCAGAGAAGGCATAGGCGGCAGCGGCACAGGCGGTAGAGGCAGAGGTGGTAGAGGAACAGGCGGTGGAAGCACAAATGGCAGTGGCAGAGGCTTAGGCGGTAGAGGTTCAGGCTGCAGTGGCAGCGGCTCAGGCAGAAGAGGCATGGTGGCAGCGGCACAGGCGGTAGAGGCACAGGCAGTGGAGGCATTTGGTAGAGGCATAGGCAGTGGAGGCATTAGCAGCAGAGGCACAGGCTCAGCTGGTAGAGGCAGCGGCACAGGTGGTAGAGGCACAGGTGGCAGCGGTACAGGCACAGGTGGTAGAGGCATAGGCGGTGGAAGCACAAGATGAAGGGGCAGCGGCAAAAGCGGTCAAGGTACAGGCGTTCGGGGCATCAGAGACTGTGGCAGCAGTATAGGCACAGGAGGTAGAGGCATCAGCGGCAGCCGCAGCGGCATAGGCACAGGCGGAAGAGGCACCAGTTGCAGCGGCATAGGCACAGGCAGTAGAAGCACCAGTGGCAGTGGCAGAGGCAGTAGAGGCACAGATGGTAGAGGCAAAGGCGGTAGAAGCACAAACGGCAATGGCAGAGGCATCAGTGGCAGAGGCGACAGTGGCAGCAGCACAGGCCGAAGAGGCATATGCGGCAGCGGCACAGGCGGTAGAGGCACAGGCGGTGAAAGCAAAAACAGCAGTGGCAGGGGCAAAGGTGGCAGAGGCAAAGGTGGCAGTGGCAGCAGCACAGGTGGAAGAGGCATATGTGGCAGCAGCACAAGCGGTAGAGGCACAGGTCGTAGAGGCACAGGCGGTGGAAGCACAAACAGCAGTGGCAGAGTCAGAGGTGGCAGAGCCACAGGCGGCAGTGGCAGCACCTCAGCTGGAATAAGCATAGGCGGCAGCGCCTTGCAGTAGAGGCACAGGCGGCAGTGGCACAGGTGTACAAGCATAAGCAGCAGAAGTCCAGGCAGCAGTGGACGCGGCAGCACAGGCGGCAGCACAGGCGGCAGCAGCACAGGCTATGGAGGCATCAGCGGCAGAGGCACAGGCACAGGTGGTAAAGGCAGCGGCAAACGTGGTAGAGGCACAGGCAGCAGCGCTTGTGGACAGGCGGTAGAGGCACAGGTGACAGAGGCACAGGCGATGGAAGCACAAGCGGCAGTGGCAGAGGCATCCGCAGCAGAGGCAGAGGCGGCAGTGGCAGAGGCGGCAGTGAGAGCAGGTGGCAGCGGCAGAGGCAGTAGTGGCACAGGCGGTGGAGGCATCAGCAGCAGAGGCAGAGGCACAGGCAGTAGAGGCACAAATGGTAGGGGCAGCGGCACAGGCAGTAGAAGCACAGGCGGTTGAGGCATCAGCGGCTGTGGCAGCAGTATAGGCACAGGAGGTAGAGGAATGAGTGGTAGCGGCATAGGCACAGGCAGAAGAGGCACCAGCGGCAGCAGCATAGGCTTAAGCATAGGTGGTAGAGGTACCAGCAGCAGTGGCACAGGCGGTAGAGGCTCAGGTGGTAGAGGCACAGGTTGTAGAGGCACAGGCAGTGGAAGCACAAATGGCAGTGGCAGAGGCCTGTACCACTACCGCCTAAACCTCTGCCGTTTGTGCTTCCACCCCTGTTCCTCTACCACCTCTGCCTCTACCGCCTATGCCGCTACCGCCTGTGCCTCCTCCGCCTGAGCTGCTGCCACTGCCGCCTGTGCCGCTTAAGCCTCTGCCACTGCCGTTTGTGCTTCCACCGCCTGCGCCTCTACCACCTGTGCCGCTGCCGCTGGTACCTCTACCACCTGAGCCTCTACCGCCTGTGCTTAAGCCTATGCCGCTGGTGCCTCTTATGCCTGTGCCTATGCCGCTGCCGCTCTTGCCTCTACCTCCTGTGCCTATACTGCTGCCACAGCGGCTGCTGCCTTGACCGCCTACGCTTCTACTGCCTGTGCCGCTGCCGCCTGTTTTGCTGCCGCCTCTGCTACCGCCTTTGCCCTTGCCCCTGCCTCTTGTGCCTCTGCCACTGCCGTTTGTGCTTCCACCCCCTGTGCCTCTGCAACCTGTGCCTTTACCACCTGTGCCGTTGCCACTGGTACCTCTACCTCCTGTGCCGCTGCCTCCTATGCCTTCTCCGCCTGAGCTGCTTACACTGCCGCCTATCCCTGTGCCGACCATGCTTTGCAACCTTCTTCGAGTGTTTGTACCTGCCTACCTGTGTCCTTGAACTTCAACAATGCTTCCTGATCGCCCGGACAGGGTAAGGTGCATGTGTGCTAACCTACTGTACAAAAGTAACATGTGTGCTCAGTTGGCAGAGCGTTAAGACTCTTAATCTCAGGGCCATAGGTTTGAGCCCCAGGTTGGGCAAAATCTACCTGCACTGTAAGGGGCTGAACTATATGACCATTATGGTACCTTCCAACTCTGCAATTCTATTATTCTAAGATCATTTGCTCCAACCACTTTTGACCCTGTGCACCCCCCTCCAAAGGTCACCCAGAAGGGAAGATGACCCTGGAAAAGGTTCCCCAACTCTGCTCAAGAGTGTCAGGTAGGTGTCCGTAAGCCATACTACCCTGTGCACATTTTAAAATGAGGATTAGCTGTATTCAAAGAAGTTTTGGCATCAACAAGAGTTCCAAGGAGGTGGTAGGATGGATGCAGAGAAACTTCCCATGCTTTTCTTGGAAAGATACTCTCTGCCGATTCTGAAAGCTTTAGGGGTTTTGTCTGTGTTTTTAAAGAACTTGGCAGACTGCTCAACTTTAATTAAATTCCATTCACCAAAGGCTACAGTGCATGTTATCTCAAATCTGTCAATAAGCTGCTGATAACCTTTGGAGAGCGAGAGCTTGGCTAAAATGTGAAGCTGTCCTGTTTGAAATATAGGATGCAGCCATGCTTGGAAGGCAGATAGGCATTCTGTAAAGGAGTAATGTGAGCAAGTTGCGGATTGGTTGCAACAGCAGCAGGACAAGGGAGGCAACAATTAAACACACTACAGCACAAAGTGCAAGCAACACTTGTGGAATGAGTACAAAGTAAGACTGACCTTCACCAACCTAAGTCTTCACTAGATACTTTGGACTAAAACTCCCATTAACCCCACCCAACGCTGGCTGGGGCCAATGAGAACTCTAGTCCAAAATATCTGGAGGGCACCAGGTTGGCAATGGCTGCGCTAGGAGGCACTATAATATTTTAGCCCATGAGCAGAGATAGGTTTGGATTATAGACCAGTGAGCCACCAACAAGCAGCACCTTGTCTTTGGCAAAAACCAACATGGTAATTATAGAGAAGTCACTGGGGTTTTCATCCATGGTGCTACAGCCAGACATGGCAAGATGTATACCCCATCACGCCCAATGATGGCGTCAGCCACACCCTTCCTTTTATTCTTCAGGTGGGTGCCCCTTTGCTGTTGTTTTTAGACCCCATTGTGTTAACATGTGCATATGTTCATCCATCACTTCTTCTCTTTAAAGGGAAGCATTTTGGGAAATGATTGCAAGATCATCTTCTGAGGCCCTCCTTCGTGTGCCTCCTCCTTGTGAGGTCCAGAGGGTGGCAACACGAGAACGGGCCTTCTCTGCAGTGGCTCCCCATCTGTGGAATGCTCTCCCCAGGGAAATTTGCCTTTTAACCAGGTCTTTGGTTGATCTGATTTACATCCTATGCCCTTTTAAAATGTGGCTCTTTTTTGAAGAGGGGGTGTTATTGGGTTGTTGTTTTTACTTTAATTATATATATATATTGTAGTTTTATGTTGATATTGTTCTGTGAACCGCCCTGAGACCTCCGGGTATAGGGCGGTATATAAATTCAATAATAAATAAATAAGATCACACATCCATCAACCCTCTCCGTAGCTGCCTTTAGGTCCCCTCCCCCTTTGAAAAACAAAATACAAGCTTCTCTCAACCCTAATGAGAAAAAAGTTTGTTTGTATTAAATGTTAGGACACTTCCCAACTGGGCCATCTTTTCACCTTATCTCCTGAAGTGGCAGGGAGATAATATCAATGTATGAGCAAGTGTGGACTGCTATTGTACCTAAACCAAAAACCTGTACGCACCAGAGAGCGAAGGAGGGAGTAGGGATGCCTTCACACACACTCTTGTTCATGAAGCTGTCATATGAATATGTGCAATAGCTATCTTAAATGTACACACCACGGCTTTACTGTGAAGTGAGTATGTATTAAATTTTCAATTCAGGTGGAAGCTGGTTTCAGGCAAAACACATTGAGTAGAGTTTTTCTTAAGAAACTACAGAGTACATATGGATTATGGCTAAGAGCATGTGTAAACAGCTCCAAACACCAGCAGTGAAAGCACACTGGAGCCAGAGTAAACTGTAACGTGTGCACAACCTTAGAGACAGAAGAGACAGGGAAATGAAGAAGGAGGAAACGAGGGTTTAGGGCACTTAAGCCTACTACTTTATCACTAGCACTGAAAAACCGTCTTCCAACTGGCGTTTCCCCATGAAAAAAACGGGTCTTCCAAAAAGTTGTTGAACTGTATTTACAAGGCACCTTATAAGCTTCAGAGTAAGCTTCATTTGGGTGGACGCGGGTGGCGCTGTGGGTAAAACCTCAGCGCCTAGGACTTGCCGATCGCATGGTCGGTGGTTCGAATCCCCGCGGCGGGGTGCGCTCCCGTCGTTCGGTCCCAGCGCCTGCCAACCTAGCAGTTCGAAAGCACCCCCGGGTGCAAGTAGATAAATAGGGACCGCTTACCAGCAGGAAGGTAAACGGCGTTCCGTGTGCTGCGCTGGCTCGCCAGAGCAGCTTTGTCACGCTGGCCACGTGACCCGGAAGTGTCTGCGGACAGCGCTGGCTCCCGGCCTATAGAGTGAGATGAGCGCACAATCCTAGAGTCTGTCAAGACTGGCCCGGACAGGCAGGGGTACCTTTACCTTTACCTTTTGTTGTAAATAAAAATATGCCCTTTTCCCTTATGGGGAATCCAAGAGCCCATATAGAGTCCTTACATAGGTTCCCTATTGGTAGGAGAAAATAACAGAGGCCAACCAGAGAATATTGAGAAGCAAAGCAGCTAGTAAGCTTGATCTTTATTAATCTGTTGCAACAGGGTGCTCCCCTCACACGCAGGAGAGGAAGAGGACCCCCAAAATGCTATGCAAGGGCTTATAAAGACTTTTGAAATTCCCTCCTCTAGATCAAGACCACCCCAGAAACATTATGCATTCATCACAGAAGGGGTGTAACCTAAGATCACCCCTCAGATACATCCCACCTACATCACAGAAATTTAAATGTTGTTTTTCTCCTGTCACAGTTTATCTCCTGTCTGGCAAGTTACTTGATTGGATTGCCTGGGGAGCCTGGCCATTCTTTTGTAGTGGTAAAATACTTATTTCCTGGGCCAGGTCACAGGCTCACACCTTATTCAAACAGACATATCCTTGAGACAGGATCTGTGAGGAAAGAGACAATGGGGAGGCTTTTCCATCTTTACCATGCAGAGAAACATTTGCTCAGTTTAGGAATCAAAATGGTTCCAGGTTGGCTTTCCTGTGCTGATCTATGTACGTGTGGTTATGAACGTTGCCATATATCTAAAACCATAAAATTCCTATCACACTTTTAAGCTTCATTTATCTCAGGTGGGATCTGCTTCTGAAGAGTTTTAGGATTGATATTCAGATTCTAAAGGCTGCTTTTACACATGCGCGTGACTGGATGGCCACAACCCTATTACGTTTTCATCCCTTCCTCTAGCAAGTCAAGGCTGCACATTTTGTTATTGTCTTAACAACCTAGAGAGGTAGCCTAGGCTCAGAAAACACAATGTACAAACAGTCTCCTGCTCTGGTTCATGGATGAGCGAAAGTTGGAATGTGGATCTTCTGGTCCAATCTTGACAAGATGGTATAAGGCAGCTTCCTCCATTCCCAAGTCAAGCCACTGGTCCATCTAGCTCAGTACTGCCTACAGCAAGGGTGGGGAATGTGTGACCTCCAGATGTTTGTTTGGCCAGGACTCCCATCATCCTTGACTACTGGCCATTGCTGGCTGGGAGTTGAAACCCAATAACATCTGGAGGGCCACAGACTCCCCAACTCTGGTCTACACTGACTTGCAGCACGTCTCCAGTTTCAGGAGTCCTTCCCAGACCTACAGTGACCTTTTTTGTATGTTATGCATACGGCCAACAGCTAAGCTATAGTCCTTCCCTACATGGTCTGTTTCACACATCAAACACGTATGAGGCACCTCTAAGCACAGAGCAGATGGAACTTTATCCCATCTTAATTTAACGCAATGCCTCTCAGAGAAGTCAGGTCACACATTCAGCCGCTGGACATCAAGCTAATTGTGCATTATCCATCCATGTTTGATCAAGCCCTAACTTGCAGGCAGGATATTCCATAGGAAGATGATTAACAGAGATATTTGTAACATCTGCCTCATATGATCTAAACTATGAAAGAATGAAACAGTTCTAAACACAATTTTCCTGATTTGCTTGTAATGTTAAGTCAACTGCTATCTCCATCTGAAAAATACCCAACCATTTGTTTCCCATCTTCCAGAACGGGACAACTAAAACCACAGGTGGAAACCACAAAAACGCACTGAACACCCTCCTTGCAATCCTTACAGGTCTAGCTCCTGGTCTTATTACTACTTGGAACATCAATATGCCAAAGTAAAGAATTCAGTTCTTCCCTGAATTAGGTTTTTTAGGTTAAACATTTTAGCATATCCTTCAGAAACCTTAGGACAGCTGTATAAAGAGGGGATCATCACACCTGTGGCTGATAACCTGTACTTGAGTGCCATCTAGTTGCCAGAAGCTGGAGCACAAGTAGTCCTGTCGGATCAGAATAGAAGTCCATGTTGTCCAATGTTCTGCCTCCAACTGTGGCCAGCATTTGGCAAGGTCATGGCAACAGCCCTAGTTAAAGGCTCAGATTCCAAAATCTAAAAGGAGCCTGTCAGCCAATTTATATATTACCCGTGTTGATTGGATCCACACCACAGCAGTAGCTATGTCTAAATCTAGTAACCATGTGTGATGGGTGCATCACATGGGACATTACCATGGCAACGGGTGCTGACATGTTAACATGTATGTGATCTGCCTACCCAGTGCTATCTTTCTAGGAAAAAAACTGCCAGAACTCCCCATGATCGCCTCCCTTGTTTTATTCGAATGTCAGTGGTGCCTACCTGAGAGGGGCCAGAACCCACCTGAGAGGTGCAGGTGAGTTCCAGCTGAACAAAAGCCTTGAGCCTACCCCCATGAGATTCCAAGCTTCTATACGGAGGTAGAAACTGCCCCTACAAAGTTAACGTAATTTGGCTCCGAGTGAAAACGCAGGCCGAAGAATGGTTGTGGTAGTTGGGAGAGGGGCAGTGTCCATGGCCTGCCTTGGACAAGATTAACAGGCAGCAAACTGACAATTTTTAAGGATAATTTTATCACACTGAGGAAAACTATTTGGCTTTTCCATCTCAGCTACCAGAATTATCTTAGGTTCTCTCTCATCCTATCTGTATTCATACAAATAGCTTAAATCTGAGTGTCATGCATGGGCTTATCCCACCGTATACTTGTAGTATGCTTATGCACACAAAGCACACAGTCATACATGCTCAAGATGCTCAGGTAACTTTTCTGACACGGAGAGAAAGAGGGTGAGCAGGTTTCAAATTTGCTCCAGAGGCCATGTAAGCTATCCCTAAAGATGGTAAACACTGCCCCCAGGTGAAGGATGTTAGGAATTTTTCCTCTGCATTTTATTGGAAGTCATAAACACTATGATCATGAGGCGCCCCACACCGCTCCCTTAAAACCCTAAAATTGGAGGCTTAAGGAGTATCGTGGGGGTGGGGAAGTGGCTTCCTGTGAATGGAAACCAGTCCCCCCACTCCGCGAGCAAGGCATGCTCCTAAAGCACATCAACTGATGGGCAGTTGGGAGTGTGCCTTTCTCCCGCAAAGGAACAACCTGGAGCCCACTTTAAGCTCCCAATTCCTCCTTTCAAGTCCCACCCAACACCAGCTGCCATTTATTTATTTACTGAATTTATATCCCACCCTTCCTCCCAAAGGAGTCCAGAGCAGCAAACACATCCACAACATTTTTGTTTGTTTGTTTTTATTTTCCATAGGCCCCTACTCAACTGTATCAGGTTCATAACAAGGAACCTGGCCTGACATTTGGTGGGTAAGACTGTAACTTCTGACTGCGTCCTGGTTGCTGCTGGACTCTGCGCTTATACAGTCAAACCTCGGTTGTCGAATGTAATTCGTTCTGGAAGCCCATTCGACTTCCGAAATTTTCGACAACAGAGGTGCAGCTTCCAATTGGTTGCAAGAGCTTCCTGCACTCAAGCAGAAGCTGCGTCAGACATTCAGCTTCCAAAAAAAATGTTCAAAAACTGGAGCACTTACTTCCGGGTTTTTGGCGTTTGGGAGCCGAAACGTTCCAAAACTGAGGTGTTTGGCAGCCAAGGTTTAACTGTACATCAAGTTATGAAAACAAACAAACAAATCCTTTCTGAAATAGCCTGGAATAGCTCCCTTCTTTAAATGCACTCAATACTTCAAAAATATATACAGAACTGTCTAGCTACAATAAAATATCCAGTTTAAAATAGTTTGGTGCAAACATGACAATAGGACAACTCACTGATTACTTTTGGAACAATTCTATTAAGAACAGGAGAATCAACAAAACTATACAAACAGGGGAAAAGTTAGCACTCATTGCCGCATTTAGTCCAAATTGAAACATAGGTAGAATTCCCATAGCCTTCAAGCCTTTTTTTCTTTACCAATGTGTACAAGAAAGCAACCAGCCACTGAAGTCTCGAATAGCCATCCAGCCACTCCTTGGGCTTTCCTCATATCGCCATCTTCTTAAGATGAAAGGAGAAAAAGCCGCCAGATGTAGCTAAGCGTGCTGAGGCTCCAAGGGCTACACTAGGGCTGCAAGCGACGCAGGATGCCGGGGAACCCTGAAGTTTGGCAGTGAACACCAAGGCATTGTGGCCTGTGCCCCCTTGGTTAGGGCAGCTGCGAGCGGTATACAGGGTTATTACTTGGGTCCTGGAGGCGTCATCCACCTTCCTCTCTGAAGGAACATTTCCTGAACAGCAAAGAGAGAGAAAAAAGTGACCTTGGGCTATGTAGTTCACAGGATTCAGATTCGGCTCTCTGATCTGGCAAATCAACAGGGAAATGCCATGAGCCAATTCACACTTGGGGGTGGCAACTTATGTGCTTCCCTGACAAGAGAGTACAGGGTTGGCTACAAGACATTTTGGCACCTGAGGCAAAGCACAAAATGGCACTCCCCCCACCCCACCCATGGAAGAAGGGGTGAGTGAAGATCTACATCAGGAACAAACAGTGGAATCGGGATCTGCTGCTCCTGCAGATCCTGCCACCTAAAGCGGTTGCCTCGCTTTGCCTCAGGCTGGCCCTGACTGAAGAAAAACCGGGGAATGGACAATGTAGTCCCATCCCCATTTTTTATTTCATTTGTTAGTCACCCTACACAAAAACATCTCAAAGTTACTTAACAGATAAGAGAAAATAAAAACCGATAAAATCAACTTTAGAAACCAAATTAAAAACCATGTACAATACAAAATTCCTAAAATGCTCACCCAATGATACAATAAGAAGGGCAAATCCTACCCCACCCCACTAAAAGATGAGCAGCACAGCAGAGGCTAATTTAGCCACCAAATGCCTGAGTAAATCATAATGTCTTAGATGGGTACCTAAAAACTGATAGTGAGTATGCCAGGCAGGCACATTTTTATTGGAATACTGCGAAATTGAACCACGGGAAGCAGCTCCCATGTGGGTGCAGTAATGCACCAACTGCGCCTCGATATGAGCTGCAGGATCCTCCCACATTGTTTCAGTAGGATATGCTGTGCACAAGCAACCATTCAAGGCACTTAGGCAGTAAGGTTTCCACACTTCTCTCTCTGCTGCAACTTTAATGATGAATGAGGTGTCCATTTCGCCGCTCAGACTCCAAGTGGGACTCTGCGCAGACATTCTTAGGACTTGCAGTTTAATGTCAATAGAGTAGTAAGGGTACTACTTAAACAGGATTAATATAGCCAGATTATGCACTTGAACAGTTTTTGCTTTAGGCAGCCCACAAGTACCGTGTATGGCAGATGGTGATGGAAGTGGTTGGGAACCGTAGCCAGATAATTTGTTCAGATCCAAATCTAATTTGTTCTCCTCTGCTGATTGCTTGGAATGGACAATGGAGATGTAAAACTCTTGCAGCGTTTGTGACAAAGAATCAGATGTAGCTCCAAGAGTGTTTCTTGCCTGTAGTCAAATGGACAGGGAAGAAACCTGATTTAGGGCAAAAGTAAACCCGTGTGACCCATGCCACTGTCACAGGCCACTGAAAAGAACTGAGAGTTTATTTTCCTTCATACACAAACAGTACCTGCCACTAACACACCGCTATTTGGCAAACTCTGTAAAAAGCAGAGGACATGCAGTGAACACATGTACCCAGACACCAGGAAGGGCTAATCACCACAGGGCTCTATGTGTTTACACTGCGTTAACAAATGCACTTCCTTTTTATATTTTATGGGATTTTTTTACTGCTAATTCACTGGCATTTGTGGAAGCAAGCTAGTCCTTTTCTCCTATTTATCATCTCAATCCATATTTTGGCTACAAAACAGGTTCCCATGACAGAGCTAAGAACAGAGAAGCAAGGGGAGTGAGTTTGTAGGGCATTACTGGTATAAAAAATGGAGACAGAACAGAGGCACTGCAACCATGGTTAACAGGATTCACTCAAACACAGCTGAAAGAATCCATGGCACTGGGAAAGTGGAACATTCTGGGACTCTTTCTTCCCCAGTTTGTACAAAATATGCCAGCCTGCATACAGAAGAAAGGTATGGCGCAAACCTAAGCAAACCTGAATACCCATTTCCCATATTGATGTTTAGCACAACTTCCATTTGTCCCTCCTTGCCAGAAGTAGCCTGGAGGTGATGTTCCTCTTTTTTTAAAAAAAAATAAATTAAACTTTTTTTTTGCTTTAAACAGGTACATATAAATATAGACAACCAAAATTACAAAGGAAAATTCCTTAATAGTAATGAAAAAAAACTTTAAAAACTACAAAAAATATCAAAGTACATGACACAGAACATAAGCAACTATGGAAAAGATAAAAGAAAAGAAAAGAGAAAAATAGATAAAAAAAGAAAAAGAAAAAGGAAGATGAGCCAAAGTAGAAAGGCTCATCTATTGTACACTTCTGTCAAGCTCACAACAGATCATTATTCATATCAATTATCTCTATCTGCATTCCAAAGGAATCCCTCATCTTGGTATCAGGGAACATTTCTCTATGCGGCATCATTCTAAACATAGCCAGATCTTTCTGGTGATGTTCCTCTTAGCAGCCAGATTGGCTTCTTCTTCTCCATGTTAGAGAACTGGCCTCACTACCAGCTGAAAGGGGGGTGCTCCTTGACAGGGATGCAAGCTGTGCCCCCTTACCAGAAAGTAGCCCGGGAGCAATGCTCCTCCTATGGTCATAAGATTACTTTCTTATTCAAACAGGAAAGTTGACCTCATTATCATCCCTCAAAGAAGGATCCTTTCTGCCTGAAATGCTTGTGACTACTTGCTAGACACTAGATCAGGAGCCATGCCCCTCTTTGCAGTCAGTTCCAGTCTGCTTTTCCATGGGGGAAGCAGCAGTAATGTGACAGAAGCTTGTCATCAGGGCCAGATAAGTTGTCAGATAAGCAAATGCTGAATCAGTCTGCTAGCACAATAAAAAGAAAGTTCAAAAGGGCTGGAAAATCCCAGCTACCTTGAAGCAGGCAAGATGGGACTGGGCGGGGGGGGAGCCTCCTCTCTCAGAATGGGACCAAGCACAAAGCCATTTTCATAGCCTTGCCTTCCAAGCTATTGGGAAAAGTAACCCACTCCTGGATAACTACCACCATTAAAAGAGTCAGACAAGAAGAGGATGAAAATGCAAGAGCGACAAGGTTTACACAGCTAGCGTTCTGCGGCACTGAAATAGTTGTGCAGGTTCAAAAGCCGTACCTCTGATCTTGGAAAGCCTCACCTAGAATGTTAGCAGAGGACTCACAGGTTCTTTTCTTGGAAGCAATGATGCTTTCAGAAGGGGTGGAGGAAATGTTCATGCCAAGAAGCTGCGTGCTCTTGGAGGGGGTGGGCAACATGCCAGTGGGGGGCAGGGCCAGAGGTGAAAGTGAACAAATGAAAATGTTGTATTTGTGAAGTGAGCTAGTTTCCACATGCACTCCTCTCTGGCCTCCATCCAGGGAAACAAGAGGAATGATCAGAGTTCAAGGACACATGCTAGTCAGGCAGTAACACTCAACATGCGAAGCAGTCAGTGAAGGGTATAGCCTGGATAGAGTGAAAGATAAAACAGACTTGCAGGTCCCCATTAGACCTCTGGGTTCTCCACAACCACGCTAAGATTCAACAAGTATGTAGGGTCTGACAATGTATCTTGGGTTATGCAACCATGCATGCCATCCCAATAATGGAATTAATCTGTGCTACTTTAAAGCCGGAAATCAAGTTTACAAGGTAAGCCAACGGAAATGACTTTACCTCCATTCTTCCAGATAACTCCACTTTTCTGTTCAGGGGTTCCAGACTCAGACAGTTTGTTCTCTCAAAGGGAATGGAAATATCCACATTCTGCCAAAAATGTGTTACACATTTGGTAAGTAAAAGGGCCCCCAAAAAGTGATGCTCATTGACAGTAAAAGCAAGAGGGATAATGTGAACATAGTTCAGCAAACGTACTGGCAGAAAAAAGTGGTTAGGATAACTAAGATTAAGAAAAGAACTTTCTCTGGTAAGTACAATGGGAGTGGCAAGGAAGGGCTTTATCCTCCCCTAAAACTGGCATATAGCAATAGCCATTCCATCCATCATCATTCCATCTGACCATTTCCCTCCCATCAACACTGAACAACCACCACCTGTTGTGTCAATTCCTGGCTGTGCTGAGTCTCCTCCTCATTCCCTTCATCACTCGAAGAATGGCAGGGAAACACGGCGTTGTCAGGGGACAAAGTATCACCATTTTTCTCTTCTTCATAATGCTTGGAAGGTGTCCAGTTCTCATCCCAGATTTCGTCGCACATATATACTGGCTCGAGGAGCGGCATCTCAGAGCCCAAGCGTGAGCCTGCTGTACCCTAGAAAACGATTCAGGGCCAAGTTACAGTACCGTCAACTTTTTAAAGGAATGTTTTTACCGTATTTTTCGCTCTATAACACGCACCCGACCATAACACGCACATAGTTTTTAGAGGAGGAAAACAAGAAAAAAAATATTCTAAACGAAACAGTGGATGTATGATTTTTTTGGTTCATGCTGTGGCCACAGACGTGATCTGACAGTGAGTTTGGGGTAGCCCAATGCAAAAATCCTGAAGATCCATGTGGATCCATGCTTTGTAACCACGTTTTTGCCCCACTGTGGCCCCAAGCAATAGTGGGTGCATGATTTTTTTGGTGCAAGCTGTAGCCATGGACATGCTATGTGATCTGATGGTGAATTTGGGTGACCCAGTGCAAAAATCCTGAGGATCCATGTAGATCCGTGCTTTGTAACCACGTTTTAAGGGGGGAGGGAAGGAAAAGCACTCAAGGAACAAGGAGCACGCGTGGGGTGTGTGGAGAAGGATGCTGCTAATAATGCAGAAGAGGGGTATAAGAGGAGAAGGCTCCTCTCCTCTCCCGCTTTGCTCCTTTAAAGCAAGCAGGCTCTCTGTCCCTCTCTCCTCCCCACTCAGCGGCTCTTCTTCTGCTTTGCTGTTTCAAAGCGAGCCACGGAGGAGGGAAGGAAGGGGAACCATGGATCCTCTGCTCACGACTGCAGCAGATCCCCCCGCCACCCGTAGGCATTCGCTACATAACACACACAGACATTTCCCCTTACTTTCTAGGAGGAAAAAAGTGAGTGTTATGGAGCAAAAAATACGGTAATTCAATGCACTTTGTTTTAAACAATTCACTTGCTGATAAAACAAAACTGTCTGCTAGAAGGAAAAGAGAGGGGTAGCAAGGTGGCCAGCCAGTCCTTTTAAAGGTACCCACCCCAAACTTTTCACAAGAATCTCACCGGGCAACATGAGATGCTGTCGGACTCCCAAGAGGTACTCTCCTCCTCGCCGGCAATATTGGCCACCTCACTACCCCACAAAACAGCTGCCGGCTTCAAGAGGCTTGTTTAACACCTCCACCACACGCCCCTTTAAACTGCAGTGCAGTTTAAGTTACATGTTAGTGGGATTAGATTGTCCCAATTAAATCTCTGTTTAAACAAATAAACAAATGGAAGGTATTTGTTGAGGTCTCCAAACGAAACTAGTATGGTATCTAAGATCAAAGCGATTTCATTACCCATATTAAGTTCTAATGGGTCTTGGATAAACTCTCCCTGTTAACTTTGCTCATGTACCTATTTTAACTTCTTGGATATACTTCACTAGATGCAACATCAATGCTTATTTAAACAGAAAAACTCAAAAATCTCCACCTGGGAAAGCACTTCATTGTAGCAAGACCCTGAATCTGGTACTTCTGAAAGGTCACAAAGAGATTCCTGCGTAAGCAAGGGCGTTTCTGCTTTTGTCAAACCAGACTGCTGCTCCGGTCCGGGTTTCAGATACAATGTGGAAAAGAATGGCTCTCTGAAATTCTGTTAAAGGCAGGAGAATGAAGAATATTATTTATTTAATAAATTTGTATACAGTTTAAAGAAAAACTCTTACCAAAGTAGTTTACAAGTCATTTGCCAATGCAATGTTAAGATAATATGAAACCAAAAACTCATACGCAGTACAGTATTTCAAAACATTACTAAAAGTCAAGAGGATCAACACTACTACCAGCTCGATACTGAAACCTAGAACAAGCAAACCAGGGTTTACAGGTGCTTGTTTGCTCTCATTTTCTATCTTCTTACAACTTTGGCTGCTAGAATCAATGGTAACTGAGTTCTTGTTTTTTCTATGTAGCATGCCTCTCCCAACAATCTAGATCTACTGTGTATTTTCTCCCCCTGAAAAGCACTTCCTGAGAAACAGGTTATATTACAAAAATAAAAGTTTGTTGCAGATGGATTATGCATTATCTCACAGTGTTTCCTTTTGAAAAAAGATGTAGGCAACCCTATTATGTACCCACACTTGCTCAATAACTGTGTGGGTTATACCAAAATCACAATTGCCACTTCTTTATTTCTTTATCTGGGGCATGTGCAGGAAGGAAAAGGCATGGCTGGGTTCAAATGCCTACCAAGTAACCACACCTAACCTTGTGGATGGCAGGATCTAGAATCAATCTAGACTGAAAGCAGCATACTGAAGACACACACGAGCAATTTGGGGTCCAGAAGAACTTTCTCTGGTAAGTACAATGGGAGTGGCAAGGAAGGGCTTTATCCTCCCTAAAACTGGCATCTAACAATAGCCATTCAATCAACCTACATCAGTGATGGGACTGCATCAACTCACCTAAGGCCAGCAACTTTTAAATTCTTTCCATTCCAGCTGGTCTTTGTAAGCAGTCTAGGAATAGCTGGTGTCTGAATTTTCTTTTTTCCCTCCTCCCCACCAAATCCATTCCGTTTTCTGTTGTGTCTTTTATATTATAAACCCAACGGCAGGGCCACTTTGAAAGTCATTTAATCTGAAGGGAAAGGGGTTACAACTCTCTAAATTTTGCCTGTCCAACTGGGTTGATCGTGGGCTGTCCCAGCTCACGTGATGGGCCAAAAAAAACCCCTCAACAACTCTTGATCTCTGCCCCTAAATCTTTTTATTATCTTTTTAATAAATAAATCTATTGTGCTGGTCTCAGACTTTGGGATAATAAAAGGGCTAGAAAGACATAGCTAAGGGATATGAAAAGGCTTTGCAACTTCACCAACAACCCATCTGACCATTTCCCTCCCATCAACACTGAACAACCACCACCTGTTGTGTCAATTCCTGGTTGTGCTGAGTCTCCTCCTTATACCCTTCATCACTCGAAGAATGGCGAGGAAACACAGCGTTGTCAGGGGACAAAGTATCACCATTTTTCTCTTCTTCATAATGCTTGGAAGATGTCCAGTTCTCATCCCAGATTTCGTCGCACATATATACTGGCTCGAGGAGTGGCATCTCAGGGTCTGCTGTACTCTAGAAAACAATTCGGGGCCAAGTTACAGTACCGTCAACTTTTAAAAGGAAAATTTTTAATTCAACGTACTTTGTTTTAAACAATTCACTTGCTGATAAAACAAAACTGTCTGCTAGAAGGAAAAGAGAGGGGTAGCAAGGTGGCCAGCGAGTCCTTTTAAAGGTACCCACCCCCATCTTTTCACAAGAATCTCACCGGGCCACATGAGATGCTGTAGGACTCCCAAGAGCTACTCTCCTCCTCGCCAGCAATATTGGCCACCTCACTACCCCACAAAACAGCTGCCGGCTTCAAGAGGCTTGTTTAACACCTTCACCACACACCCCTTTAAACTGCAGTGCAGTTTAAGTTACATGTTAGTGGGATTAGATTGTCCCAATTAAATCTCTGTTTAAACAAATAAACAAATGGAAGGTATTTTTTGAGGTCTCCAAATGAAACTAGTATGGTATCTTAGATCAAAGCGATCCCATTACCCATATTATGTTCTAATGGGTCTTGGAGAAGCTCTCCCTGTTAACTTTGCTCATGTATTTATTTTAACTTCTTGGATATACTTCACTAGAGGCAACATCAATGCTTATTTAAACAGAAAAACTCAAAAATCTCCACCTGGGAAAGCACTTCATTGTAGCAAGACCCTGAATCTGGTACTTCTGGAAGGTCACAAAGAGATTCCTGCGTAAGCAAGGGCGTTTCTGCTTTTGTCAAACCAGACTGCTGCTCCGGTCCGGGTTTCAGATACAATGTGGAAAAGAATGGCTCTCTGAAATTCTGTTAAAGGCAGGAGAATGAAGAATTTTATTTATTTAATAAATTTGTATACAGTTTAAAGAAAAACTCTTACCAAAGTAGTTTACAAGTCATTTGCCAATGCAATGTTAAGATAATATGAAACCAAAAATGCAGGAATAGGAGATGAATTTTTAAAATCATCAGAAGGGATTGATGGAAGTCATAGGCTAACTATAGCCACAAATGTATAAGATGGGGTGGGATGGTTGTTTTGTCTGGAAAGTATGTTAAAACCAATAAAAAAATATTTTAAAAAGAAAAGAAGGAATAGCTCCAACCAAGGAGGACTGGTAGATAAAACTGATGGAATATGCAGACTTACAGGAAGAAATCAGGAAGAGAAAAAAAACTAATAAAGATTGGGGTGCATTTATTGACTATTTAAAAAGTTATTGTAAACAACTTAAAGCTTTAGCAGGGTTAACTTAAAACGAACAGTAAAGAATATGTGAAGAAAGTTTACAGGAAACAAACAATTGAGGCATTTTGTAGATATGCAGAAGTAAAGATAAACCGAAGGAACCATGAATGTGGTGGGGGGAAAGTTGATTTGTTCTTATTTTGGGGTTTGTTGATTTTTATGCATTGTTGCAAAATGAAAAATGATAAATAAAATTCATTTTTTAAAAAGATTTAACAACCTGGAAATTAACTAAAAATAACTAGGGTTTTTTTTAAAAAAAATGTAATAATGCAACTGAATTAAACATAATAATAATCATGTGGGCTTTTTCTGGGTCACTGATTTTTAACAAACTTATAATCATCAAACTATGTTTCCACATGCTTTCACATGGTGCTCTCTTAGAAAAAAAGCATGCCATGTCATTCTTTTTATCATCCTTCCACAGACTTAACATTTTTTGGTTTGGTTTAGTTAGCACTAAGAACACTTGGGACATCCCCATCCCCCCTCAGTTTTCAATGGGTCATCACCACAAATCAGTTTAAGAACCTCATGGCCTTAAGAGATACTTATCCATTTTAACCTTCCCTTAGTGCCTCCGGCAAATATTTGCCCTCACCTTGGAAGGAAGGTTTTCTCTGCAGATGAATGCATGGCCCTTTAATCTCAGTGCATTGTGCAAGTAGATATCTTCGTCAGAGCTGGTGTCACAGAGGAAGAGGTAAAGGATTCCATCTATGTATTCATCCACGACTCCCACAAGCAGCTTCAGCTCACACAACCTTTGGAATTCATGTATGTCACTGGCAGTCCAATTGTCCTTGATAAAGAAAGGATAAGGTACAAAGTCAAGCAGAGTTGAAAAAATAATTTCATTGGCTCTGCACATCAGATTCTATCTAATTAGTCTTAATACATTCCAGCTGCTTTTTGTGTTCTCCTTTTGTATCTCGATTTCCCCCCCCTAAAATAGCGCTTCAAATCTTATTTATCTTTACTTTCCAAAACACATTTTTCTTATTCACTTATTCTTTGAGCTATTCCACCTTCTGAACTTTAAAATTCTGATGTTATCATTGCTCTTAATCCTTCATGACTCTTCTTCCGCCCTAACATCTTGTGATATACAGATATAACTGACAAGTATACCCTTGGTTGCTCCTTTCACTCCAAATAATATGCAACAAGATAGTTCAGTTGATTAGAGCATGCTGATAATGCAAAGGTTGCAGGTTCGATTCCCATGTGGGAAAGCCGCATATTCCTGCATTGCAGGGGGTTGTACTAGAATCCCGAGGGTCCCTTCAAACTCTATGATTCACTCATCCACTAGATGTAGGGCATGAAGAGAAGCAGTCTCAGCAAATACCTAACCGTTATGAGATTTCCTTAAGTATTTGCCAAAGCTTGTGCACTTTTTGGATGCAACATAAAAATGCTACAACATTGGTAAAAAATGTGCAGTAAACAAATGAACACATACGTTAAAGTTTAAAACAAGAACAGAAAACAAAAGCCAGCTTATTTTTAAGTTGTTCCCAAACATCTAGGGTAAGGTTAGTTGAAAAAATAATACATATATACATACCTCTGTAGGTCTCACCCAAGCTAAGGAACAAGGGATGGCTTGAGCAGGAAGCTTTGCATAACAAGACCTGCAACAAGAACAAGGTAATTCACAGGGCCACTTTTGACTTGCTGCCCCAAGCCAAGTAGTCTTGCATCAAACTGGATAATGAACAAAGCGTTGACATTTGGCATTTCCCACGAAAGAAAGTAAGCAAGACTGAGTCCACACAAAGGTGGATTTGATTTAAATCACGATTTAAATCACTAGTCAGTAAGACTTGATTTAACTCACTTTCTTTACAGAAAGACTCATTCTTGCTGGTATCATCTTAATATTTACAACTAGAGGAAGGTTTCATTTTTTGTGTGATAAATTTTCAGAGTAGTTTTTACAGTTATATCAAAAATTACTGATTTGGTTATACTATTAGAAGTACATAGATAATTATGAAATTATTGTGTGGGTTAATAAGTTAACTGTTTATATTTGGACTTTTAAAACAATTTATTTAACTAAAACAATAACATTATAGCATATGTATCTATGTTTGTAAACTGATGTGGTTAAACAATTTTTAAAAAACTTAAAACTTAAAACAAATCCTTATTTCCTGATGAATAGCCTTTGGACTATACAGGGGTCAGCAAACTTTTTCAGCAGGGGACCGGTCCACTGTCCCTCAGACCTTGTGGGGGGCAGGACTATATTTTGGAAGGGAAAAAAATGAACGAATTTCTATGCCCACAAATAGCCCCGAGATGCATTTTAAATAAAAGCACACATTCCACTCATGTAAAAACACGCTGATTCCCGGAACATCCACGGGCTGGATTTAGTAGGCAATTGGGCCGGATTCGGCCCCCGGGCCTTAGTTTGCCTATTTAGCAGAAGTGGATTTTCACCCACTTATGCTAAATAGCAAGAGTCATTTTGCACTGTACTGTCTGTGTTCCCAAACGTTATTTTACTGCCTATGACAGAGGGCAAGTCAGTTTTGAAAGAACTTTTGATTTTAGGTATGAGATGACAAGATGTGGGAACTGATACGTAAGTGCTACCTTTGAAATCAGCCTTGGATGGTGTGGGTATGTGAGGTGGGGGAAGGCAGACAGGGAGACAGAGAAAGTGAAAAGAATGTTGAGTGAATGGACTTGTGTGTGAGAGGAAGGAAGGGTGCATGGGATTTGCGTATGAGAGCATAAGAGTCATCTCTGCTGAATGAGGTCAATGACCCATCTAATGAGCATCCTGTTCTTGCAGTGGCCACCTAGAAGCTTTTGGGAAGTCTGCAAGCAGGACCGGAGTGCAGCAACTCGTATCCAGGAACAGACTGCCTCTGAAAGTGGAGGTAGAACATAATCTTATCCTCCATTAATTTTTCTGAGAGCAAGAGTAGAAAAGAAAGAGGTCTCACCATCCACCAGTTCTCAGCCGATAAGCATTCCCTGCCTAGCACACGATTTACTTACTTCAGAAACCTCAGCGAGGATTTCTGGGCAGTCCTCGTACTTCCGAAGTCCGGGTAAAACACTTCCACTTCCTGGTCATTGAGCACTCGATGAATGATAACTCTGTACCACCATTTGTCTTCCGAATTTTTTATACAACAAAGCTGACCAGGACTGATTGAGGCTTCGGGCATGATGTATCGGTCAGCTACATGTTTACTAGAATAGCATCGTCTGAAATACAGGATCCAAGTGGGTCACTAACAGTACAATCCTATGGCTAAGTAGCAGACATTTGAAGTCTTAAAAAACTTTTGAGTCTCAGATATCCCTATACCATTATTAATCTGCATTGAGATCTGCAAGAGAAGTCATCCCTGTGGTCCTGTTGATGGGACAAGTACACCATGCAGTGACCACAGATAGGGTCTTATCTGTGGTGGCTATAGAACTACAACTGGCATAGAAGCAGATCCAGGAGCAGATGACAGGGTGGGGACATTTGTGCTTTGCAGGGGTTGGACTAAATTATTATTATTTCTTATTTATACCCCGCCCATCTGGCTGGGTTTCCCCAGCCACTCTGGGCGGCTCCCAACCGAATGTTAAAAACACAATACAGCATTAAACATTAAAAACCTCCCTAAACAGGGCTGCCTTCAGGTGTCTTTTAAAAGTAAGATAGTTGCTTATTTCCTTGACATCTGATGGGAGGGTGTTCCACAGGGCAGGCGCCACTACCAAGAAGGCCCTTTGCCTGGTTCCCTGTAACTTCACTTCTTGCAAAGAGGGAACCACCAGAAGGCCCTCGGCGTTGGACCTCAGTGTCCGGGCTGAATGATGGTAGGTGGAAATGCTCCTTCAGGTATACAGGACCGAGGCCATTTAGGTCAGCACCTCCTTCTTCTTCCTCTACAATTTCATGATTCTATGATTCATCTGATGTTCAGTTGCTTGTGTCACTGTTGACTCTGGTGGATAGGTAAAGGGGCTAGGAGGCTGTAGTGAAAACACTAGTGTGTTTGCACTGCACTGACTTTGTCCCTCCTCTTCCCTGCCTGAGTGTGCAGAGCAATGAGGACAACTGGAGGACAGGTGAACACTGCTGACTCTCCCTCTGATTACACAGACTGCTTGGGTGGCAGCTGAAAAATGCAGCTGTTCACCCAGGCTTTTGTAGGAGATTGACAAGATGGCACCAACCCAAAGAGATATGGGAAGTTTCATTGGTTGGCTGCATTAAACATCTACTAAAACCCCATTTGTTTGTTCAGACCTATTTTGATGTTTAGAAGGGTTTTCTGTTCGGTTGATTATCGTGCTGCTTCAATAAAATAAAATACGAGAACCATGCACACTGAAATGTATACATCAAAGAATACCCTTCCCAAGAAACAGGGTAAAGTTTTTGCACATGAGTTTTGACAGACCACAAGAACACCCAATACCAAACTGGGTTCTCTTTTCTCCCTGCAATCCTAGCTCATATACAACGAAAAGCCCAGACCGAAATGGGTAAGTTCCCCCTCACCTCATTTCCAACATCATGTTTTCTAACTTCACTGACGTTTCTGCACTGTAGATTCGGACATAGAATTGCGAAGGAGAGACAATGTATTCCACAAATAGTCCCACTAAAGCACTGGTGTCCAGCTGGGGAAGGCTGTAAAGGCTTCTGTCCTGGACGGCATCTGGTGGGATTTCATTTTCCATGATCTCTTGAATAATGTGAGTATCCTCTATACCCAGGTGCTGCAAATATAAGGAAAGTAAAAGAAAGTCATTCTGATCCAAGCAGTACAACAGATTCATCCGGGACACTCAAGAGTTTTCCAGGGCTGGAAAATCCCAAGTACTTGACTACACGGGAATCCAAAACGCTTTCCTAGTCTTCCAAGTCTCCATCCCAACAGCAATGAGTCTGGATGCCCTAACATGCAACAAAAAGTGCCACACAGACAGCCCTAACTCCATTACATCCCTTCCTGATTTTCCATACCCTCAGTGAATAATTCCTCTATGACATGGTTCTGCTGAAACATCAAAGCCTCTCTCGCTCACATTTTCCTCACTTACTTATGTGTTTACATACTTATATTCCATTTCCCCAGGCAAAAACACTGCACAGCTTGGAATATCACCGAACTAATATAAACACAATGTAAATAAACATTCTTAATACAATTTTAAAATGCAAACCAGGCAGATTTTTGAAAAACAAACAAACAAAGGTAGGAGAGACAGAGGTAGGAAAAAATCATAAATGTGGGGGTGGGGCTACGGTTGAATACAGCCTGGAAATTTCTGTTACTGTACTTCAGAATTTGGTTGAGAGAAAGCTAATTGAGATTGTATGAAATCAGTGTATCACACCAATGCTTTGTCGTCTTCACTGGCTCCCAGACTATTCCCAGACCCAATTTGAGGTGCTGAACCTTTAAGGACCAGTTTGGACCAGGGTACCTGAACCACATGCCTACCAACCTAGATCTAGAGATCTTCTCAGAAGTCCTACTCCAAATGAGATGTGGCAGTTGGCTACATCTCAGTGGCAGCACTCACTGTAGAATTATCTTCCCAAGGAACTTCACCTGAAACCTACTGACAAAATGTGCATTCTTAAACTATATTATACTTTTGGTTTTTAATTTTAATTTTTTGTTCTTGTTGTGAGTTGCCTTGAGCACTTAAATTGCAGGTTGGCTTGCAAAACTCTGTTAGCAAGTAATAATTAAATAAACAAAGCTAATATATTAAACAATAAGGCACATTTTAATATCACTGGTTAAAGGAAAGCCTTAAATCTAATTTTGGTAACAAGTTAATAAATATTTTGACAGAATATGTACAACTTGCAGACTTATACAGAATAAGAGAATAAGAAGAGCACACGTTTAAAGAAGATGGAAAAAGTTTATTGAATATATGGGAAATAATTGTGTACAGCTGAAAATGCTGGCAGCATTAAGATAAATTCAACAATGTAAATGTTGATGGATGCAATAATGGAATACTGAAAGGTATAGTTTTTGTAAAATATGCAGGGATTTATGATGTGTAAAATGAACCAGGGAAAGGGAAGAAGTCACGTCACTGATATCTTAAGGATGTAAAATGAGTATGTTAAATTCTAAAACAGAAAAATTAATAAAAATTATACACAAAAACAACTGATTTAAGAAAAAAAATACAATCCACTGTTAGTCGTCTCTTGATATCTATCCAACTGTTGTAAAACATGACGCTACATGTTAACCATGATACCACGGCAATGTCAGCCTACCGGTGTCGTCATCTTCGTTACTACACTAAGTTTCACATCTGGAGCCTTAGATTCCTCCAGAGGAAAATTCCAGCTGAGCAGCTCATGCACATCTGGCGTCTCTTCATGTGCTAAAGAGTCAGGCTGGGCAATCTTATCACTTGCATGCTCATCTGTAGGAACAACAGATACTTATGTTTAGAAGGCAAACACACAACCTTCATTTTAAAAAGTCTGAATTGGCAGTTCCCAAAGTTCAAGCCCAAAGGAGGAAGTTTGCATTCAAGAATCATACATCACAGAGGCAAGGCCAAAGCCATTTCCAAGCTTGGGAGGAGAGGGGGTTGCAGGCTAACCCCTGCCACACACGCGGGGGCTGGCCTATTGCCCCCGCGAGATCCAGGGAATCCCCGGGCGTGTCGTTGACCCGGACCCGCCAATCGGCGGGCTGGGGAGGCATGGCCTAGCCTACTTAAGGCCAGGCACGCCCGGGGACCGCCCTCTTTCCCCTTTCCAGCTGAGCGGTTTATGTTTAGTTTATGTATAGTTTATGTATAGTTATATGTTTTAAGGAAACATAGTTCATCTGCCATTTTCACACCTGGGAAAAACCAACCAGTGTCCAGTTGGAATAGGCTCCCATTCTGAATCAGGGCAGGGTCCTGACCTGCTTTTCTGCTCAAAATTTCCCCTACTTGGCTGCTATTCCCCCCCCCAAAGGTGTTGTTAAATTCAAAAATAAAAGTAGTCTATTAAGCATGCATGCTTAATGCATCTTCACACATCACAGAAAATTAGGAAGGACCTAAGACAGGCATAGACAAATTTGGCCCTCCAGATGTTTTGAGACTACCATCCCTGAGCACTGGTCCTGTTAGCTAGGGATGATGGGAGTTGTAGTCCCAAAACATCTGGAGGGGCTAGTTTGCGTATGCCTGATCTAAGAAGAGGGAGGGAGGCATCTGAAGACCATCTCAGAGCCTGTTCAGCTGGACATTCCCTCGACCTGTGAAAAGAGCCTTGATACAAACATAGGAAGCTGCCATATACTGAGTCCATCTACTTGGTCCATCTTGCTCAGTACTGCAACTGACTGTGGTTCTCTAGGATTTGGGGGGGGGGGGCTTTCCCAACCCTACCTGGAGATGCCAGAGACTGATCCTGGGACCTTCTGCTTGCAAGACAGATGCTCTACCACTGAGCTATAGCCCTTCTCTGCTTTGATAAATTTGATATGTTGATATTGTTCAGTGCAATTTGTAAAAATATAGTTTAATGTTTCTTGGGATCCACCTTGGAAGGATCTGTAAGCTGGAAAGTAAAACAAGGTGCAATCTGCCAGCCTTTCTGAGGGCTAAAGTTACAAGCTGCAAGCATGGTTCACCTTTGTTTCACCCCTGCCAAATATTGTGGAGCAGATCATCCCACTTATAAGGACGCTATTATCCTGCGCACACTCAGCCAAGGCGGACAAACGGCTGGTGGTTTAATTCCTTATTGACAAAAGAGAATGCACACACAACACCACTTTTGCCCTCTACATAGCTGGCATCAACTTTTTCAGGCTTGTGCCCCAGTTGAACAACTGGCACATTAGTGGGACACCCCCCCCCCCAGCTTAAGCACCCTCATCAGACAAGAGTGCACACAAGCAACTGGCGACTTCCTGGTGAGGCGATAGCCTGGGTAATGAGCCATTAAGGGAAGCAAAGGAAGGGGCTCTGTGCCATACAGCAAATGGGTGGAGGCATCTTCCTCAACTCGTGGGTAGTTGGAAGGACAAAGGCAGAGTGGAGAGTGTTAAGTGATGTGAGATAGAAGCTAGAAGGTGAAAAGCAACAGGCTAGGAAGCCAGAGTCAGAGCGATGTTTGATTTCTGTTTGAATCTAAGGCTGCAGCTTTGGAAGAAGCAAAAGCTCATTGGGGTGTTAATGCTGTGAATCCTGCCATCCTAGACTCATTTTGTATATATGTGTAAATAAATCACATATTATAAAGACACCACAATCTCCACGGTGCCTCATTCCAAGGAAACTGAACCTTGGTAAGCACCTGGAACGCCTGGAATCTCACACTACAGTGGTACCTCGGGTTAAAACGCTTCAGGTTACAGACTCCGCTAACCCAGAAATAGTACCTCAGATTAAGAACTTTGCTTCAGGATGAGAACAGAAATTGCGCGGCAGCAGCAGGAGGCCCCATTAGCTAAAGTGGTACCTCAGGTTAAGAACAGTTTCAGGTTAAGAACAGACCTCCAGAATGAATTAAGTTCTTAACCTGTGGTACCACTGTACTTGGAAATTGGGACGGCATGTGATAATATATTGTGTGCCAAGGGGAAAACAATAGGAGCCTATCAACACACCTTTGGTATGAAATATAGTCTATTGCAACCCAAATGCAAACTTGCTTTATCAAATGGCATGGGTTAAGAAGTTTGTTTGTTTGTGCCCAATCCAACCTGCCACCTTGGAAGTATCAGCAAGTGCAGTGTTCCCCACTTACCATCTCTTAAGCACTGTGACTCAATGTCAAAGATGCGCCAGTCTTGTTCCCCTTCTTTGCATTCAATATGGAGAACATCACTAAGGGCACCAACCAGTTCCATCAGGTTTAAGAAACCTAGTTTCTTTACTGCCAGTATTTCTTTAAAATGTCGCTAGATATAAAGAAAATCTGATTAATCAATGCAAAAAGGACGTCCTGCAATATTCTTCCTTTGGACTTGCAATAGCCATACTAACAAGCAATAAAAAATAGGTACTTTTTGGAAGCTAAAATGCTCTCCAAAACATTTAGTTCAAGTGCTGGTCAAGAAGGAAATGGGCAGTGAGTGGGGTGGAGAAAAGGGAAAATATTGAATTTGAACTTTTCGTAGGAAATCTCTTTGAATCTGGTCCATAAAAACTGGAAAGTATCTCCATTTTCACCCAGAGAATATAACCCAGTAAAATTTCTTGTCTGTTTTGTTCACTTTTGGTCTAGGCTGAACAATATTTGAGCCTACTAAATTGAAATTCAAATCAGAGATTTTTGTTTAACTAAGCAAAAGAAAAGGAAGATTAGAAGAACTTCCCTCATCCCACCCCCAAAAGTAGAGTAAGATTACAGGGAGGCAACAATAAAACCAAACCAGGAGCAGGCAATGCTTTTTCTGCTGAGGGCCACATACCCTTAGGGGTAACCTTTTAAGGGCAGAACCATCACTCCTCCCCCCGCAATAGCTGTCAACTTACAGATTTGAAAATAAGGGACCAGCAGCCTCGAAAATAAGGGATCAGCAGCCAGAATAAGGGGTTTTCCAAGCACAGGTATGTTCAACTTCTGAGCCCCTCCGAGCCAAAGGCAGAAAGCCCAGCCAGCAGCCAAACGAAGCCTCCAGTGGTTGTTCCCACAGCGCAGCAACCCGGCAAAGGGGATACAGCAAGGGAAACCACTGTCACCTCTTAGCTGGGAAGCACTGAGCAAAGGCGAGTCCCCAGGCAACGCGGCTGATTTGATCGGCACAAGGCATGCAAACTCCACCCCCCAGTCGTTCTTAAGACTCCTTATTGGGTGAGCAACGCAGCCAAGCAACACAGTTGGAGCCTCCCTCCTCCCTGGCCAGCAGGGAGGGAGGGAAAGAAGCTGCTTCCTTTGAAACCCGGGAAATTTAAGGGACATCATCAATAAGGGACAGCAGCGGGACACGGCACTGGGATAAGGGACTTTCCCACCAAATAAGGGACGGTTGACAGCTATGCCCACCCCCCGCTTCCCTTCTTCCTAAAGACCAAAGGCTATATAATATTAAGTCAAGGGGTGTAGATTGTGCACTAATGTGCTGAACCATGGTTTAGAAGAGTGTGCATGAGCTGGAACGAGCCCAAGCAAACTGTGGTCTAGCATGCTGAGCTATTGGCTGTCTCTCTGACTCAGGCGCCAATATTTGTTTCAGTAGAAACATACACAGAAAAGGACAAAAGCAAAAGCAACTTCCGAAAGGAGGAAACTTGCCTCAAATTCACCAGGTAACTTAGAAACAAGTAATCCTTCGGGGTGCTGCGCTACAATCTAAATTACAAACAACATATAGTCAACAATTAGTTGTCATGCAGTCTAAGCAGCCGATAAGAATGTTGCGCATGACACAAACATTTACAACAATACCCCCCAACTAGCCACTTGTCTTGCATCTAAGAAAACATTTGCAAAATAAAAATATACAGGCACAAAAGTTTATTTTCTATACACAGCTACATGCAATACAATTTCCCAATTTTTTTCTTTAAAGCACCCAGGACTCAGCTAGACTGCTTAAAAAAATGTGATTTATGTGTTGTATGTGTGATATAACATTGTGCCACCAGATGGTGATGCAGAGTCCTATTTTTCTCCACCTGTTTTCCGTTTAAATTTACAATGCTTTACACTGAAACGCTTCTTTGATGTGTCTAGATCCAGCCCAGGTTTTCTGGAATATAAGAGGTCAAGGAGAGGGGCACACAGGCTGGGTTTTAAGATTATTAATTCAGACATTCTTCCTTAGTTTTCAATCCTGATTTGCAAAGTAAGCACAAGACAGACTGCCAGCTCAGACAAATGGTCAAATCATCATATGCCTCACACCAGGAAAGAAGGTGGGAAGCATGGCAGGGAATGTTTGCCTAAGGCTCCGGAAAGGCTCCTTTGCATAGTTTTAATTAATGACATGCCTTTAAAAAAAAAATCAACCTAAGTTCCTTAAATTATGAACACTTACAGTTTTTATTTTTTCCTTAAGTTCGGAGCCGATTGTCCCTCCAGGTCCTTTCTGGGAAAGTGCTATCTGCATCTCCTTCTCTAGCTTTGAGAAACAGATTCCACAGATATGAAGAAAGTGAGAGGGAAAGCCAGTGCATACAAATTGGCATCCATTCATATAAATGTGGCATTTACATTGGAAACTTCACACTGAAAGTTTTGAACACCACGCAACAATCACTTCAGATATATTAATGGTAGATTACATATCAAGATCACATGATAGGATTGGTACAATTATTGTAAATAAGTTCCATTTTTTTAAAGCAGCGGGTTGCGTCTTTACATTTCCCCGCCTTTGGTGCCCTCTTCTTCCTGCTCACTCTCACACAGTCTGACCTCCCACCTACATCTAAAATATGCATAATATTGTATAATTATATAGCAGGAATGACATCATTGGACAAAATAGTTTCCAATACCCGAAAGTTAGAGGAACCTGCTTTTAACAACAGCTTCTGTTTAGTGATAACCCTGTCCTCCTCTGCAGGAGCCAAAGGGGGAAAAAAGGTATGCGCCCAATTCAAGGTGCTCACATTAGTGTTTAAAGCCCTAAACAATTCAGTCCCGATACCTGAAAGACCACCTCCTTCCCTACAGAATCTCAGGTACTAAGATTGGCAGAGGGGTCACTCTTAGTTGCTCCATCGCCCTCAGAAGCGAGCGAGGGAGAAGGTGGTTCAGCAGAGGGCATTCTCCATGGCAGCCAGAGCTGTGAAATTTCCTCCCCACAGATGTGCATCTAGCACCATCATTATACGGCTTCTAGGGAACGCTGAAGATGCACCGCTTTACCCTGGCTTTCCAAAGTTGAGATGTAGATTTTTAGGATCCACATTATTTCTGTGGTTTTAAGTTCTTTTTACCTGTTTGTAAAATTGTGTTGTAATGATGCAACCAGCCTTGGGACCTTAGGGTACAGGGCAGGTAATAAGGTGCCCTCAACCACCAAACCACTGCATCTTGCCCAGTGTAAGTGTAGTCCATGCTGCTGCTGCTACGTTTTTTAATTCACTGGACACAAGCTTACATTTTTAGTGGTACAGTGGTACCTCGGGTTACAGACGCTTCAGGTTACAGACTCCGCTAACCCAGAAATAGTACCTCGGGTTAAGAACTTTGCTTCAGGATAAGAACAGAAATCGTGCTCCGGCGGCGCGGCAGCAGCGGGAGGCCCCATTAGCTAAAGTGGTGCTTCAGGTTAAGAACAATTTCAGGTTAAGAACAGACTTCTGGAACAAATTAAGTACTTAACCCGAGGTACTACTGTATAGGGTAAGGTGGACAGGACTGCAGCAATAACTGCCGACTGAACTCCCATCCATTGACTGAGTCAGGCAAGAAGTCTTCTGCCTTGTTTTTTCAAAGACCTCTGCAGTTTGCAGTACTTTTTCACTGATAGAAATGCAAGATAACAATTCCAAGCCTGCTTCCATAAGGCAGCTGCTAGAGCTAATAACTGCAGTGAGCTAAATATGGAAGAGCAATCAACTCTCCACACTATCAGGGGCACTGTGTGTTTCTAGTGTCTACATCCTTATCTGTTCTGCCCACACAGAGCATGTAGCACAGCAGCTGTGGTTTGGGAGTGTCTAATTTGTGTGAGCAGCAAAAAGAAATAAAAATAAAAGTCTAAGTGATCCTTCAAAAAAAAAATATTAATTAACACTAAGAGCATTCACTGAGACTTGATTGGCCATTGTACTCTTCAGTAAATGCCAAAATGACAAGCAATTTAACATTTGTGTGGAAACGTAAGTGTTTAAATTGAAGGTGGGGGACAAAAGCATTGTTACAATAGTGGTGACAAGAAAGGCAGCAGGGTTCATTTTTAAAAATTGTATAGCTACAGCTTTAGAACATTTGTTCATTAAAAAGATCTATTTTAGTAATATTAATATTTTAATATAAATGCCTACACAAAGCTCTTCAGTGCTAATTAAAAGCTGGTTAACAAAAAAAGGTCTGGATGAAAAGCGAAGGGATTTTGAATGGCACTACTGTAATCTTCCGAAAGTCACTACATGCATCAAAAACCCTTTTTAAAAAATAAAAAATAAGCTGAACAGAAGCATCAAGGCTGTCTACACCTACAAAAACTGCACTGTTTTCCTGATCTTCCTCTGCAGTCTGAAAAATAAGGAAAAACCACAGGACCGCGTAACAAGTGTGCCCAGTAAAGAGTGAAAAAGGCACGGCATTCCCACACCAAGTGTCTAGTGTGGAAGCACCCAGATCAACAAATTTTCTATGCACTCAGTGAGCGTTCCTTTGGAAAACTCCTCTTTCCTCCTATTTACATTTTCCTTGCTGTGACAGTCATTTTGATTAACTGTTTGCATTTGCTGCAGAAGCATATTATGCTGTTATGCTGGGAGGTAACCGTGAGAAAAGGAGCTGAGCTTCTCTATTTCAGCAAGTATAGTAGCAATTCCAACTGATGGAGGGGGCATGCCTGCACTATTCTGTGGTCTTCATTTTTTCTCTTTTAGATATGGCAGCTATTTTGTGTCATGACACACCCCACAGATGCCTAGTGATGTGAGGTGATGCTAGAAAATTCTCTGGAGAATATTCTCCACAAACTGTAAATTCTGTGTCATCTACACAGCTGCTTTAAATGTACACACCTCATTAATCGAGATTATTCTCGAGAATTTAACATCACTAATTATGTCAAGTGCCCATGGCAGCCATTTTATGACTGGCAGATTCCAAATATGCCCACTGGCCCAACCAAGAAGGCTGGCGACCTCTGTCCTCACCCAGCTTAAAGCAGATCTTTTCTCATCTTTAAGAACTTAGGTTTAAAATCCTTCTACATGGACAATGTGTACTAATTAAGACACCAAACAATATGAAATGTGTCCATACGGATTCTCATTTTCTCATAATAACTAATTAAATATTCCCTTAGTTTAGTCACCTTTGGAGTGCAATGTTTCTATTACTTACTTGTTTCATCCTCTCATCAGTTCTCACTAATGGGGTTTCCACTGGTTTCAACTCTACTACTAAAGCATCAGATTCTTGGCTTGGAGATGGATTTTGATTATCCATAGGTAGGGCAGGGGTTGAAGATTTCTTCACTGCAGGTGCTGGCAGAGTAGTAGGCAAAGTCTGCTTTGTCTTATGTGATGGAATCACGGCTTTGCCTTAATAAAGCCAAGAAAGGGTTTACAGACATGATTTCACGTGACAGTTTTCTGTTTCCCTAGGTAGGCAATGCTGGAAGGCTCACACTCATTTCCAAGAACACCTCCAAGAGCAGTGGAATCTCAATATAAGCCAACAGCACAGCACAAAACCCTTTACTGTATTGTTTTATTTATCACTTGCATGTTTGAGCAGATACAAGATCACTCACTCATCAGCTCAAGTGCACAAGGCTTAGAACAAGGATCACCATTTTGCTTAACTGACAAAGCAGAAAGGAAGAATGAGCTTAATGCAGAGCCTTCAGGAATACTTACAGTCATGGGGGGAGGGGAGAAAGTACACCCTCTTTGAATTCTGTGGTTGTACATATGAGGACATAATAACAGTCATCTGTTCCTTAGCAGGTCTTAAAATTAGGTAAATACAACCTCAGATGTCATATTACAACATGCCGTGATTTATGTAACAAAAATAAAGCCAAAATGGGGAAGCTATTTGTGAAAAACTTACTGCTTCCATAGGAATTAAGGGGCTAAGTAGAAGACAGGTGCTACTAATCAAATGCGCTTGCTTAATTGGTCATCAGCAAGTGTACTCACCTCTACAAAAGCCGAAGTTTTATCAGTTTGCTGCTCTAGATAACACAATGCCAAGGAGGAAAGACATCAGCAATGCTCCTAGAGAAGCAATAATTGCTGCCCATGAAACTGGGAAGGGTTATAAAGCCATAGCCAACCAATTTTAATTCCATCATTCCACAGTGAGAAAGATTATTCAAAAGTGGAAAACATTCAAGATTGCAAGTAACTCAAGAGTTACATCTCAGAGTCTACAGGCCTTGGCATGTTAAATGTTAAAGTTCATAACAGTACAATCAGAAAAAGAACAAGTATGCTTTGTTTGGAAGGGTTGCCAGGGGAAAGCCTCTTCTCTATAAAAAGAATATGGCAGGACGGCTTAGGTTTGCAAAGTTGCATCTGAACAAAGCACAAAGCTCTGGAACAATGTCCCTTGGGCAGACGGTACCAAAGTGGAGATTTCTGGCCATAATGCACAGCGCCACATTTGGCGAAAACCAAACACAGCACATTAGCACAAACACCTCGTATCAGTTGTCAAGCACAGAGGTGGAGGGTTGATGATTTTAGCTTGTTTGCAACCACAGGACCTGGGAACCCTGCAATCATTGTGTCACCATGAACTTCTCTGTATATCAAAGTATTCTAGAGTCAAATGTGAGGCCATCTGCCTGACAGCTGAAGCTTGGCTGAAAGTGAGTCATGCAACAGGACAAAGATCCCAAGCACACCGGCAAATCTACAACAGAATGGCTGAAAAAGAATCAAGGTGTTTGTTGCAATGGCCTAGTCAAAGTCCAGACCTCAACCCAACTGAAATGCTTTAGTAAGCTGTGCATAAAGAGATGCCAGCAAACCTTAATGAACTGAAGCAATGTTGTAAAAAAGAGTGGGTCAAAATTCCTCCACAACGATGTGGGAAACTGATAAAGTCATACAGAAAACAATTACTTCAAGTTATTGCTGCTAAAAGTTGTTCTACAAGCTACTGAATCATAAGGCTTCTCCATTTTGGATTCATTTCTGTTAAATAAATCATGACACGTTGTGATATGTCATTTGTTGTTCATGTAAGGTTGTATTTACCTAATTTTAAGACCTGCTAAGGAACAGATGATTGTTACTATGTCCTCATATGTAAAACCACAGAATTCAAAGAGGGTGTACTCCCCCCGGCGGTATTTCACCATGGTTTTCAGTTTCAAATGCTACTGAAAAATATTTGGCAATTTGGTCATAATTTTTCAGTAACAAAGCCAAGCTCTCTGAACCTCAGACCACAACCTTTTCCCAAGTTTACTCTATTTACTGGCACCTGGGACAAAAACAAATCAATTGTCTACCTATAGAAATGAGCACATAATGTATTTGTAGATTCTTGCCCACAACTGTGTGCAATCTGCAGTTGGGTGCAAAATTCTACATGAATAGTACACACTAAGATTAATTATTTTAATAGAAGTGCACCAACATCTTTGCTTCACCCCACTACTCCCACTCTCATGCTTGGCTGCTGTCTGAGAAAGAGCAAGACAGAGCACATGCTCTCAGAAGGGAATTACCGTATTTTTCGCTCTATAAGACGCACCAGACCACAAGACGCACCTAGTTTTTGGAGGAGGAAAACAAGAAAAAAAATATTCTGAATCTCAGAAGCCAGAACAGCAAGCGGGATCGCTGTGCAATGAAAGCAGCAATCCCTCTTGCTGTTCTGGCTTCTGGGATAGCTGCGCAGCCTGCATTCGCTCCATAAGACGCACACACATTTCCCCTTACTTTTTAGGAGGGAAAAAGTGAGTCTTATAGAGCAAAAAATACGGTAACTCTACCCAGTACTACTCATTTTCCAGTAACAGATAGGTTTCTCAAAGTTCCTATATTTGTGATCCCACCTCTTCCAGCCATACCACTTGAGAGGGGCGCTTATCTACACGTTGGGGCAGAAGGAGTTTGTATGTTTAACGTGGAGAGGAACCATAAGGCTGCAAGGTAGTACTGGGTAAAGCAAACACGAGTTGTAGAGTCATCTAGGGTCAGCTAGTTCAACCCCTTGCAATGCAGGAATCTCAACTAAATGAAGGTGCCAAATAAGAGCAATTTTCCCCTAGAGCTGAATTTAAGCAAACATAAACTTACACTCTGGCAGCTTTTCTGGATTTTTCTTAATGGAGGGCTTTAGAGTCAACAAGGAGCCTGCCCTTGTCTGCACAACCGTGATGATATCTGAAGCTGCATTCAGCACTTCTAACATAGAGAAGAACCCAAAACGCATAAATTCAAACTTCCGTCCAAAGTGCCGACTAAAGGCTTTGTCAAAATCTGAAAGCAGGACAGGTGAAGATCTCAGCAGTTCCTTCAGTTCACTTTTTACCACAGCTGGCAGAGTAGGAGAAACCCGACCCCGCCGGGGCAGAGAAATTCGGGGGGGCTGAGGCAGGCCAGAGCAAGATCTGGCATTAAAAGAGAAATTTGGCTTTCCCCTGGAAAAATATGGCTTCGGTTTGCTTTTCTGTCTGGCAACCAAGCTTGCAATCAACTCAGTGGACTCATCTGGAATAGCTAAAAGACAGAAGCCCATATGGTTAAAGTTGCATGTTGACACAGAAAATTTCTCCTCTCCTCCCCCCTCCCCTTTCTTCTTGCCATCCTCTTACAACAAAATGGTACTGCCAAAGAAATACAGCTAGTTATCATAATACACAATATTTGTAGATTTGCAAGCATAGGTGTTTTCCCAGCTGTTCAGACCAGAAGATCCTTCTTTCCCTAAGTTATTAGAGCTCCCTTACCTCTCTATTTAATCTCATGTACAACCCTCCATTTCTATACTTACTTCCCTGCTTACCACCATCAAGGCAACCCAACCACCCACCCACCCCAGCCTACAGTATTTGTGATTCATGTATGTGAAGGGAAACACCCACAACCATGAAATCTGTTGAAGATGTCACATGGTGTGCTCTCTCCTGGAGTGCTGGCTCTTGTTAGGTAGACATTACACATCAAACATGACCAAAAAAATATGCTATATACATAGAATTGAAAGTACTTTGGATGTCTTGGGCTACGTTATGTCCAAATCTGTACCTTCTATTTGTTGTGGGAATAGCTTAATTCTGTTAACCCTGTGAGTGAAGTCTAAGTGCATTATACCCTGCAACATAAACACATTTAAAAAATACTCTTACATGCAGATTTCATCTTCTTAGGTTTAAAAACTGGTTCATATTTAAACCGTGTTTGGGGAATGTGTCACCATGACACAATACTTCAGAAGAATTGCCTTTATTGTAAAACAAACCGCACTCTGCGGGAAAATGCAAGGGAATGCCCTTGACTGCTTTATGTTCAGAGGGACCTCAAAATCAAACTACAGGACATATTTACAATAGGCAGCTCTTTGGCCAAGTTCCATTCTTTCTTGAACCACCCAGCCTAAACTCCCTGTATGCCTGCCAAACATTATTCCCCATTTATTGGCATTCCCTGCTCTTGCCAACTAATCCAAAACCCACCTCTGAGGACAGTATTGCCATTTCCACTAGGGCAGATGCTAACAACATCTGGCATATCCATCACCAGCTCCATGACAGAACGGTAACCCAGGGCACGAAACGGAAGTGGTTCTCCTATCATAGACTTGTATTCTTTGTTTAACTCCATAGGGGTGAGGCCTTCCTTGACTGGTGTCAGCAGGGACCTCACTACTTTCTTCATCGAGTTCATCAGGCGTTCTTGATCGGACATGTTGACACTGGGGGAGGTGAGAAGGAAGTGTTAAAGGACAAAGAAATACTGCTCTTGGCGATAACCGGCTTAATAATCACCAGATAACGTTACTGTGAGATGGACAAGGGAGAACACAGTACAGGTACACAAACTGAAAAAGAGATACTTTGGAAACCCAGAGGGATCTGAAAAAACAGGTGCTCAGAAAGAGCTGCTGCTTTGTTTTTACAACGGTAACCTTTGCATGGTTTTTAGGAGGGAGTGGGGCATATCCTGATCAGTTCTTTTTTTAATGACAGTGTTGGGATTAGTACCCCACCACAGAGCCTCAGAAGCACACAACTATAACAAACCCTTACGGTTAAAGTCTGAGCAAACTGGGTACAAGGTTTATCTTTCATCTCATCTCTCTTTAACAGCACTGATAAACCCCATCATCCAAGCTCCCCCAAAAGCAATACTTGCAAGCATCAAGAGCACAATTCAGTCAGTCATAAACACTTTAGAGCTCCGTCATGGACAACTGATAAATGTAATCCCCACTAAAACCTGCTGAATTTAGTAAGTGCTGAGATTCTGCTAGATTGCACCCATAAATGGATATAACAACTTTGAAGGTTCTGATCTAGGGGCATCAAGATTTAGGGACTATAAAAAGGACCAGCCCTACCACTAGGTAAAGTCAACCGCCTAAGGCAGCAGCCTCCTGGCTACTCCTCTTATGTCTCTTGGCCATTTCCCTTTGTGGGAGGACAGAGCTGTGCAACTACACAACCTGTTCCAGCTACCCTCAACTATTATGTTGCCTTTGGTGCAGTGGAGGATGCTATCCTGCTGCCAGTGTTGAATTCAAGTGCCACCCATTTAGTTTCTGTAGATAGAATGAGGCAGGGGTTGCCATCTGGCCCTAGCAAAACATCTTGGATCAGCCTTGGCTTGGTGCAATTTTAAGTTTTCACTATCCCATGGGGGAGTTTGGGAGCAGAGGGAAACGACGATTGAATATAAACCTGGAAAGTTATCTTCTGTTAACTTTCATAAGCCCAATAAACCCTTTCCTGGGACGGGACGATATGGGATTGAGGGGGCAACTCCCATCTCTTGCGGGGGTGCAATTAGTGCCAGCACCGTCCATTAAGAGTTTGGGTGTAATCTTCGATACCTCCCTCTCCATGGAGGCGCAGATTGCAGCTATAACAATCTCCGCCAAACTAAGCAGTTGGCTCCTTACCTCTCTCGCCCTGACCTAGCCACTGTGATCCACGCGACGGTCACCTCCAGACTGGATTATTGTAACTCGCTCTACGTGGGGCTGCCCTTGAGACTGACCCAGAAACTCCAGCGGGTGCAGAATGCCGCAGCGAGACTCCTTACGGGGTCTTTGCTGCGAGATCACATTCACCCGGTGCTCTACCAGCTGCACTGGCTCCCGGTGGAGTACAGGATCAGGTTTAAGGTGCTGGTTTTAACCTTCAAAGCCCTATACGGCCTAGGACCCTCGTACCTACGGGACCGCCTCTCCTGGTATGCCCCACAGAGGAACTTACGGTCTTCAAATAAAAACATCTTGAAGGTTCCAGGCCACAGAGAAGTTAGGCTGGCCTCAACTAGAGTCAGGGCTTTTTCGGCTGCGGCTCCAACCTGGTGGAACGCTCTGTCACAAGAGACCAGGGCCCTGCGGGACTTGACATCTTTCCGCAGGGCCTGCAAGACAGAGCTGTTCCACCAGGCCTTTGGTCAGGGCACAGCCTGACTCCCTCCTTTGGCAATCTTTACAAAACTTTAGTTTATGGTTGCCATCAATTCTGATTTTAATTAATTTTTATAATGTTTTTATAATGTTGCACTATTTTAGTGTTGTTAGCCGCCCTGAGCCCGGCTTCGGCTGGGGAGGGCGGGATATAAATAAAACTTATTATTATTATTATTATTATTATATTATTTCCCCCTTTTTTTTACAGGAAGGGGATGAGCCATACACAAGAGTCCATCCCCAAAGTCAGTGCCACTGCTCCCACAAGCCACACCTGCCCTCTAACAAAAACATTGCAACCAAGCCTGTCACCTCAACCTAGACATACCTGATTCTTGTAAGCTGTTTTATTTTATTTATTTATTTTTAAAAGGTAAGAAGGTATGTTTGTTTAATTAGCAAGCAGGTATGAATACGCCATCTTAAAATCAAACCAGAAAAATCCTTTGCACAAAAGCACTTCTAATGCAACGACTCTAGACACCAAGGACAACACACCATAAAAAACCCGCATTATTCTATGCTATCCATGCAACCCTGTACCTTCCACGTGTTATTTGAGGGAGGGATATTCGTGTAAGAAATCTAGGCCGCCCAACCAAGCTTCCATCCCACCCTTTCCCAAGGGCTAAAACAAGTCAGAAACAAGAAATAGCCAAATCACGACCCTCCCTCCACCCCTGGGCTGGCCCTCTTTGGACCTGCACGCCCGCGACCCCCTCCTCACCACTTCCCTTCACGTGTAGGAGGAGGAGGAAGCCCCTCGCCCGGACAGCAGGGTCGCGCCCTCGACCGACTGACACGAGACTGGGCGCGTTCAGACGCACGCGCCCCGCCCGAAGCCAAACTGCTCCGCCGCCCTCCGGCCCTCCCTCATTTTGAATCCCCTCCCTCTTAACGGCCGCCCGAATTTATATACGGGCCGTGTTTGTACCTCCACACGCAAGAATAGGCCCGCCCTCTCGCAGGCGCCGCTCTTTTGAAAGGCTTCTCAAGGAGCCAGACCTCAAGGCGGCGGCGGCGGCGGCCTCTTCTTTCCAACGTCTCCTCGCGCCTTTTTCAAATAATAATTAGAATAAAACGCGCAGACAAGCACAGCCCACCCCCTAACAAACCACCGACGCCAGAGCCGAGAGAGGAGGGCGGGAAAGGAGGGCCGCTCCCACCCCTGGGTGGCGGGCTCCGAGCGGGAATCGCCTCACGGGCGGCCGCTCCACGCGACGCCCTGGCCGGCCTGAGGAGAAAAGGGTGGGACTGGCCTGGGCGGGGGGGGATACCGGTCAGTGTGTTTGTGAACTGGGCTGGGGTCTTGAGTGAGGGGCATGACGCAATAATAATAATAATAATAATAATAATAATAATAATATGGGAAAGTTTGAAGCAGGTGAAGCACAGCAACTTTTGACAACGTGAGAGCTGCAGCTATGCTGCAAAAGTAAACGAGTTCTCAGTATTCCGTCGCGCCTGTGAAGCATTCTTTCCCTCAGATAATTCTGGGCAATGTAGTTTGTTAAGGGTTGCTGGGAATTGTATTTTTTTTTTTAAATGATATTTATTAAAGTTTCAAAGAATACAAAAATAAAAATACAAGAAAATACAAAAGACAGAAAAAAGAATAAAGTTTTTAAGATATAACAAAAAAAAAGAAAAATAAAGAAAAACATACAAGATAAAAACAGTTAAAAAAACACGTTAACTTTCCATAGCATATCTTCCTTACACTTATTTCCCCGGACCTCCTCGTACCTCCCTTTTTTGTATTCCAGTTCAGTTTGTTAGTTCAGCAAATCCTTACCATTAAGCTTTTACCCATTTGTAAACCTTTTTTTCGTATCTCTTAAAGCATTACAGCTGGAAACCACTTAGTTTCTATCCAACATCCTTCTAAGATTCATTAATTTTACAATGTTTCTGTAAATAGTCTTTAAATTTCTTCCAGTCTTCTTTCACCGACTCTTCTCCCTGGTCTCGGATTCTGCCAGTCATTTCCGCCAATTCCATATAGTCAATCACCTTCATCTGCCATTCTTCCCTGGTAGGTAGATCTTGTGTCTTCCAATACTTTGCAATGAGTATTCTTGCTGCTGTTGTAGCATACATAAAAAAAGTTCTGTCCTTCTTTGGCACCAATTGGCCGACAATGCCCAAAAGAAAGGCCTCTAGTTTCTTCAGGAAGGTATATTTAAATACCTTTTTCAATTCATTATATATCATTTCCCAGAAAGCCTTAATCTTTGGGCACGTCCACCAAAGGTGAAAGAATGTACAGTGGTGCCCCGCAAGACGAATGCCTCGCAAGACGGAAAACCCGCTAGACGAAAGGGTTTTCCGTTTTGGAGGTGCTTCGCAAAACGAATTTCCTATGTGCTTGCTTTGCAAGATGAAAATGTCTTGCGAGTTCCTGAGGGTTTTTTTCCCTCCCCCCCCCTTTTCCCAAGCCGCTAAACCGCTTATCAGCTGATGGCTAAGCCGCTTATCAGCTGATCTTTAAGCCGCTTAACAGCTGATGCTAAGCCGCTTATCAGCTGATCGTTAAGCCGCTTATCAGCTGATCTTTAAGCCGCTTATCAGCTGATCCTTAAGCCGCTTATCAGCTGATCTTTAAGCCGGCTAAGCCGCTAATACTGTAGTGCTAAGCGCTAAACCTCTAATGGGCTTGCTTCGCAAGACGAAAAAACCCGCAAGACGAAGAGACTCGCGGAACAGATTCTTTTCGTCTTGCGAGGCACCACTGTACCTTCAGGGTTGCTGGGATTTGTAACTCTGTGAGGTGTAAACTACACGGCCCAGAATTCTTCAAGGGATGCTTTGCATGTGCTTCAAAGGCAGGATGAGGCTATGCAGACCAAGAGGCAGAGCTACAGAGAGACACCAGCTCTATTCTCTGGTAATCCCTACCTCCATGGGTAGGCAACCTAAGGCCCGAGGGCCGGATCCAGCCCAATCGCCTTCTAAATCTGGCCTGCGGACAATCCATAAATCAGTGTTTTTATATGAGTAAAATGTGTCCTTTTACAGTGGTACCTCGGGTTACATACGCTTCAGGTTACATATGCTTCAGGTTACAGACTCCACTAACCCAGAAATAGTGCTTCAGGTTAAGAACTTTGCTTCAGGATGAGAACAGAAATCGTGCTCCGGCGGCGCAGCAGCAGCAGGAGGCCCCATTAGCTAAAGTTGTGCTTCAGGTTAGGAACAGTTTCAGGTTAAGAACGGACCTCCGGAACGAATTAAGTATGTAACCAGAGGTACCACTGTATTTAAAATGCATCTCTGGGTTATTTGTGGGGCCTGCCTGGTGTTTTTACATGAGTAGAATGTGTTCTTTTCTTTAAAATGCATCTGGGTTATTTGTGGGGCATAGGAATTCGTTCATTTATTTATTTTTTCAAAATATAGTCTGGCCCCCCACAAGGTCTGAGGGACGGTGGACCGGCCCCCTGCTGAAAATGTTTGCTGACCCTGCTTGCCCCAAAGTGTACCAATTCATCTTTCTGACATAGCAACAGACCCGTTAATGTGCATAGCTGTCAACCTTCCCTTTTTTTTGCAGGAAATTCCCTTATTCCAGCGCCGTTTCCCGCTGCTATCCCGGATTGTTAGATATCCCATAGACTGTCCCCGGGACAGGTGAGGCTGCTGATCCCTTATTTTCGAGGCTGGTGATCCCTTATTTTCAAATCTGAAAGTTGACAGCTATGGTTAATGTGTGTGCTGTTACGCTTTGTGTGCTGCGGTGTGGAAGCTTGTGTGGCAGGCATGGCATTGTGCGGCTCACAGGTGAGACCTTTGTATTTTGTCAAAACATTCATTTTGACTAGGTGCAATATTTGTGGCCATGCCTTCACTTCAGCATTGCGCTCTGCACAGTGCTCAGTGCCAACTGCTTCGCTGTTTAAATTGCTTAGTCACCACCACCTGTAAGAGCAGAACTCTTTACTTTTTCTAAACTGCTTACACAAGGGGTTTTTAAAAAGCCGAGTCACTTGTGCTTACTTAGCAGAGTGGCACACATTTCTAATTACAAAGGAATTCAAGGAGGGGGCAAAAATAACACAAGGTTACCTCCTGCAGTCCCATTCATTTTCTTCTGCACGCACCATGATGATTATTACTAAGCCAGTGCTAATTTCAAAAGCTTGAAGAGTAAACAAATACAGCAGGAAGACGTAAAATGGGAGGTGGGGAGGCTCAGGCGGTGATCCTTATAATAATGACTGGGGTCTTAGCCAGGTGCCTAGTCCCATCAGTGAAATATTTTTATTTATTTAAATTATTTATAACTCTTTTTTCACACAATCCGAGAGCAAGAAGCATTAAAATACAAAAGAGAGCACTATTTCATGTAAATACAACATAATTACCGTATTTTCTGCTCTATAAGATTCACATTTTTCCTCCTAAAAAGTAAGGGGAAATGTGTGTGCGTCTTGTGGAGCGAATGCAGGCTGCACAGCTATCCCAGAAGCCAGAACAGCAAGAGAGATTGCTGCTTTCACTGCGTAGCGATCCCTCTTGCTGTTCTGGCTTCTGAGATTCAGAATATTTTTTTTCTTGTTTTCCTCCTCCAAAAACTAGGTGCGTCTTGTGGTCTGGTGCGTCTTATAGAGCGAAAAATACTGTACATCACCCAAGTCAAAGGCCACATATCATGGTTTTATGGTTTTATGTTGTTGTAAACTGCTGTGATATATTTTTATGGTTTGTTTATTTATTTCATAAAATCTGCATGACGATTGGTTGTAGGAAGCCTCAAGGAGGTTTTCAAAAATATAAAACAAGAAAATCAAGATTTTTTTTTGACCCTATTTCAAAACATACAAAAGTTAAAATACTAACACAGATTAAAATTTCCTCACTTTCCTAAGCATCTGGGTAAGCATGTCTAGGCAAGAATGTTTTTAGCAGGCATCAGAAAGACTGCAGTGAAGGCATCTGCTTGATCTCAATAGGCAGGAAGTTCCACAGTGCCAGTGCTGCCACTAAATGATCGAATGCTGAATGGGTATTATGTGGCACCTGTATAGTGCCGCTTCTGCCAATCAAAACAGTTGAGTGGGCACATGTGGGGGGTAAGGCAATCTTGTAGGTAAACTGGTCCCAAGTTGTTAAGGACTTTTCATGCTAATAATAGTAACACCTTGAACCTGGCCTGGTAGCATATCAGCAACCCGTGCAGGTCTCTGAGCCCAGGTGTATGTGCTGACGAGGCCTCACTCCTGTCTGCAAGCGTGTTGCAGCATTCTGCATTAACTGCAGTTTCCGGATCCAGCACGAGAGAAGCCCCACACAGAGCACATTGCTGTAATCCAGTCTTGAAGCAATCAGCAAATGAACTATTGTGGCACGGCACTCCCAGTCCAGGAATAAGCCATAGCTGTTGAACCAGCCACAGTTGGTAAAAGGCAGCTCTAGCCACTTCTAGCTCCCTGAGCCTCCAGTGACAGAGCAGGATGCAGAAGCAGCCCTAATCTGCAAACCTCCTTTTTATAATATTTTTTATTTGGCATCGGAAGACCATCTTCCGATCTTGTATCTGAGAGGAGAGGGCATTCTAGAGTTGAGGTATCACAGCTAAGAAACGTTGGACACTATTTCTTCTCCACGTGGTTTACTATTAGTTCCTCAAGGAACTATATTCCTGACATGAGATCTGGGACCTGTAATTTGTATCAGCAACAATGACTACACTGCTCTTGTGATTGTTCTTCAGCAACCCTTTCCACCCTGGCTTTCTCTGGCTGTTTTAGACTATAACTTCCATCAGCCTCTGTTAGCAGGTGCTGGCTAACCAGAGTGGTAGTCCAAAAAACACACACCTGGAGGACACCTGGGACACCCTATTCATCCTGTTCTAACACTGCTTCATGTCCCATAAAATCTGAAAAATTGATATATTTTTCCTAATGGTAATGTGCTTGCACCTCCAGTTCACCCCACCTGCTCTGTGGGTTCTGCTTTTCCAACACCACATTGATTGTACTGAAGGAGAATTAAACACATATGTAAAACAAATGATTTCATAATGGATCAGATTCAAGGCTGTGGAAGCATATTTGGCAGATTAGGTCTTGTTTTGAGAGATCCACCTCTTTTGTTTACACTGTTGTGTTTTGAACTGTTTTACTAATTTTTTTTTAATGTAATGATTCTGTTGTCATAACTCACCCTGGGACCTTATGGTGAAGAGCAGGTAAAAAAAGTCCACAATGCATTGATATTAATGTGCAGCAGGATGCTCTCATTTTAGTCACAGCATATGATGCTCAATTTTTAAAAAACTTTTATTGATAAATGCAATACTTACAAACACAAACCAGAACACTAAACACACTTATTATACATAGATACATACGCCTCTCAACTTAAATTGCAAAAAAAGAAAACATACAAACTAAACATACAGACATATATTTTGACTTCCCTCCACCTATATGTGACTTCCTTTGTTTCTTTTCTTCTTTTTGCTGTGTTATCAATATTATTTTTGACTATCTCATCTTATACCCATTTCTTCTTAATTTTTTACTCTATAAGTTTCATTCATTGCATATTGATATGTTAATACCTGAACAATGTTTTTTGATGTATTCCTTCACGCTAGCCCACTCCTCTATCAGTTTTTTGTCTGATTGGCCTCTTACCACTGCTGTAAGTTTTGCTGATTCTATGATGCTCATAATTTTGACTGATTTCATTGTCCAATAGCTCCAGTGGCGCAAATAAACATCCTCCTCCTGGGTAATGGCTTTCCCCTCTCTGGCCCTCCCTTTTGGACAGGATAAATGGCCAGGCAGCACAGACTCCCACATCCTCAGCGAAGAGTTGCTTTTCCTTAGCACAGGCTCCCTAAATGAAGGCAGAAAAGAAGCCGCAGAGCTCTTCTAGGGAGCACCACGGGAGAAGCAGAGAGCAGGCCATTCAAGATGGCAGGAAGAAGGACAAAGTGGAACACAGCCGGAAGACTAGCAAAGAGAGGCAGCAGGAGTTCGGGAGAAGGAAGAGGGAAAAGGAGACCCAGAGCAGCCTTCTGGCAGACAACCAAGTCCACCCTTCCACAGTAGTGGATGTGGATGATGTCGTGTCGTTTGAGGAGGAAATGGAGGTGATGGCCTTGCTTGAAAGCGAGAAGCAGGTTGAAGGTAAGGGGGGAAGTAGTTAAGGGGCATGCAAGAGCACGGAGAGCTCAGAAGGGCTCCAGGATGACCCCACTGAGCTTTTCTTACTATGCCAGAGTTTGAATCTACTGTGCCCTGCTAAAAAGGTAAGGGAGCCCTGACTTAAAAGGTAAAGGTAAAGGGACCCCTGACCATCAGGTCTAGTCGCGGACAACTCTGGGGTTGCGGTGCTCATCTCACTTTACTGGCCAAGGGAGCCGGCAGACGGCTTCTGGGTCATGTGGCCAGCATGACTAAGCCGCTTCTGGCGAACCAGAGCAGCGCACGGAAACACCGTTTACCTTCCCTCTGGAGCGGTACCTATTTATCTACTTGCACTTGATGTGCTTTCGAACTGCTAGGTTGGCAGGAGCTGGGACCAAACAACGGGAGCTCACCCCATCGCGGGGATTCAAACTGCTGACCTTCCGATCGGCAAGCCCTAGGCTCTGTGGTTTAGACCACAGCGCCAAATAATAGTGTGAATAAGACTGTGACTGCATAAGGTGGCCACTTACATTTCGCCAAAAAAAGGTAGGAAATGCATCACCAAAAAGGGGGCACAAATAATCACAGAGTGTGAATATAACATTGGCATATAGATGTGCATTTAGAAATAACTGCCGTAATTTAAATTTGGTACATCTCTCCATAGTGGGGAAGACTAGATCAGGTAACAATTGTTGGTGGGGAACTTCAGGGCTTGCTCACCTTTCTAATGGTGCTTTAACTTCAAAACCAGTCCTGGAGCTGGGACCCCTGAAGCTTCAAATAGAGGGCTATCCTCTCACAAGCCTTCCAACAGAGGATTGTCTTCTGTAAAGTAGGATACGTGACCATAGTACCAACAACAGTGGCCTCCATCATCTTACTGTGTTTCCCCAGTAAGATTAAAGGTAGCACAATGTCATCACATTCCATTTATGTAGTAGCTAATTAAGTGGAATGTGAGTGTATAAAAGAGACATGCACTCACCAGGGAGACTGGAGAAGCTGTGGTCCTCAGACTTCTTGCTTCCTGACCATCTTTATATTTTTTTACTCTCAAGGCACCTTGACTTGAGGCCAGCAAAGCCAGAGTGTTTTTTTTAACTGAAGACAAACAGACACAGAAGCAAGCAACTTGCAGGAGGTGGAAATGTTGTCGTTGTTTAGTCGTGTCCAACTCTTTGTGACCCCATGGACCACAGCACGCCAGGCACTTCTGTCTTCCACTGCCTCCCGCAGTTTGGTCAGACTCATGTTTGTAGCTTCGAGAACACTGTCCAACCATCGCGTCCTCTGTTGTCCCCTTCTCCTTGTGCCCTCCATCTTTCCCAACATCAGGGTCTTTTCCAGGGAGTCTTCTCTTCTCATGAGGTGGCAAAAGTATTGGAGCCTCAGCTTCAGGATCTGTCCTTCCAGTGAGCACTCAGGGCTAATTTCCTTAAGAATGGATGCGTTTGATCTTCTTGCAGTCCATGGGACTCTCAAGAGTCTCCTCCAGCACCACAATTCAAAAGCATCAATTCTTCGACGATCAGCCTTCTTTATGGTCCAGCTTTCACTTCCATACATCACTACTGGGAAAACCATGGCTTTCACTATACGGACCTTTGTTGGCAAGGTGATGTCTCTGCTTTGGAAAAACTATCCAAGTACACTTCATATTGTTCACAGCCTCTCCTGTGAGTGTAAATTAGAGCCATTTTTTAATGGTAGGTCAGATGTCAAATCTCCCAATGGAGTTGCCCAGGTGTGAAAATAGGAAGGGCGGGGGGCTCATGTATGGATTCTACCGTGACATTTGAACTTGAATGCAGGACTGTTGGATCCATCTTCTGGGGCTTGCTCCAGGTATGAGTTGGCCCCATGCAAAGCACCCCCTGGCAAGATCCCTTTCCATTGCTTCTGAGTCTAACTGCCTTTTTAAGTTCCTGCCAATGTAGTGAGGCATTGTGGGAAAACTATATGGCAGCAAGACATAACTGCCCAGGCCTGATCAGAACACTGGATAACATTTACTGCAGGGCTTAGATCAGGCATTTGTAGTAGCAGTTGCCCAAGGATGCCAGGTGCTGACAACAGCCCTCCCCGCCATCTGGCTGCCTGTGATTAATTAAGCTTAGCAAAACACGCAAGGAAAGGCTATTCTAGCAAGCAAGATTGGCAGAAAGCCCACCCAAATCCCAGACTACACGATCAGGCCTCACGGCACTAGGCTTCAGAAAGGAATAGGAAGCTGCTAGCTACCTGGCTCAGTAGTCCACACTGGCTGGCAGCATCTATCTGAGGTTTCGACGTTGGGATCTCTCCCAGCCTCACGATCTCGAACCATCTGCATTCAAAGCAGATGCTCTACCAACTAATTCTGGCCTTCCTCAGATAAGGGATGCTGCTGTGCTAATGGCTTCCATAGACATCTGGCTGTCCGCCATGATAAACAGAATGCTATTATTATTTCTGTTGCTCTGTGTTTGTCCTGGTTTCTCTTTCGAAGCCCACAAACCCAGCATGCTCCAGTTCTGGTCTCTTGGGAAGTGCAAGCAGGAACTCCAATCCCGATTTTTAAAAGAACACTAGCAGATCCCCCCAAATCCAGGGATAATTCATACGGTCCCTCTCAAATGTTAATGTTCAGTCTCACTGGAATGCTCAGAATTTCTGTCAGGTAGGGTTGCCTGGTCTCAGGAGAGGCCTAGCCAGAATCTAAGGGATTCTATATATTTTTCTCACTGGGTTTGGATGTTTTGGCACTGACTCTGCCACACTGTACCCATTGGCTCTACCTGGTGGCACCACTAGGCTCTTCCCTAGACCAGGTAGGTGCCATCCTCCACGTAATCTTTTACCCTGCCAATCTGCCAGTCACCACTTCCTTCATCTCCAAGTCTGGCTTCAAGAGACCAGACAGTCCTAGGTCATCTGGACTTCCTTTGTTGAATTATCGGTACTTTCCTAAAAGAACTACAAAGGACTGGGTCCTGACAGTCACAGTCTTGTATTAATATTATATTTATATCCTGGTATTCGTCTAGGTGCTGAAATGTATTGGGCAGGTGTGACACACACCCCCCAAAGACTGAGATGGAGCTAGCATGTAGCACTTTCCAGATTAGCCTGCAGGTTCTGGAGCTCTGCTATCATAAAGCTTTTGAGACGTCTATACAGTTCAAGTTGCCTAAGCAGCATCTGGTGTTTGGGTTATGTATCAGGTTCCCACCAGAGTAAGTCACAGCCGGTGGTTTGGGTAACACATCAACTTCCCACAAGAGCAAAAGACTGACAAAAATTTGGCAACCAAGTCAACAAAGATAATTTCCAAGGCTAGCCAGACTCCTTATTCAAGGTGTCAGCATGAGATCGGCAAAAGCTTACAGAGAAGGTAACCATTCTCACACAGCGATGTTTTGGCATAAGTAGGCATGAGAAGCTATCATTTTATAGACTAAATATAATTAAAGGCCTAGGCCAACAGGATTTTTCTGGGCTTTATCTGGGCGTTTGAGGGGCAATTGCTGGCCACTATCTTAATTCTTTTGACATGACATCTTCCACTGCTTGGCAGTGGCTCCCTTTGTATGCTGTGGAATCAGCAACACACCCACCCATTTAAAATTTGCAGCACCCATCGCTAAGAGGTGTGGTGAGTGGGCATAATTTAGCACACATGTTTAAGAATCCAGTACAGGTTTGGCTATTAGGATAAATAAATACTGCACAGAGGTGGCAAAGAAGAGCCTCCCAACTTTACACAAGGGTTAATAAATAATTCTTAGTGTGAGAATAGAGCTGTTACCATACATAAGGTGTTTCCCGTGGAAGCTGGGCATTTTATCTCAATTCTTTCTCCACTTTTCTACCCTATTTCCAAAATAGCCCGAGCCAGTCAGGCTACATTCAACCTCAATATTTATTGAGCATCTGATTTGTCCAATGATACAAGCAGGTTTCCATCTATGGGAAAGACCCTGTTCCATCACCTACTCTTTATCTGTTCCCCTGTAGGTACAAAGTCTCCAGGCCTGGGCATTTGTGAGTGGCTTCTTGTCGTCCTTTCTCTCCTCCTCCTCATAGTCACGTTCCCCATTTCCATCTGGTTCTGCATGAAGGTAAGTCATTGGGGCTGTTGCACGTGCAGGAACTATAATTTATCAATTTCCAGAGTTCGCGTACAGGCCCAAACAGAAGACCAAGCATATCTCATTCACACACGCTGCTATGTGTATGACTCAATGCGAACGAGGTTTTACAAAGGTTCTGTGTAAGTAAACAAGTAGTTCCGAATTGATGTGAGTCAAGCATCCATATATAGACCTCAGATAACACTAAACACTAATTCTTCCAGAAATTACAATCTGAATACCAAAGTCTTCACAAAGCCAAGAGGTCTCCTTCCTGCTCACAGCAGTCTCCCTCATCTATTTTATCATGTTCTTAATTACCTATATTGTGAATAAAAGTACTACTGCCCACTTGTCTTCTTTCACCTCAAGGTGCATTTGAAGTGGAGTAATTACTGCTACTTGGAGGCAAAGATAATGATAATTAATTTTGCTTCTGTTTCATTTATATGCCCAAGATCTACTAGAATTGTTCTCATTTGTAATCGTTTCTCCTTTCAGATGTAGTAGCTATTCTACACCACCTTACATAAACAGGGTACTTTGGAATAATCTAGGTAGGCTGAAAGAGCTTACCTTAGAAATAATGCCGCTTACGTTTTATTCAGCTTTCTTCTACATTTCCCTTCTGAGTTTTAAAAAAGAGCCCTGTTTTCTTTTGCAGTTGGTCATGCAACTTACAAACATTCCTTGTGGTGGCTTGAATTGCAGGGAAGAAGTTAGCATGTAGGTGTAGACTGTAGCAAACACTGTGCAAACACTCCCACAATCAGACATGAGGCATGACAATGTTTGGTTCCTTCCATTGCTGGCCCCTTCAGACAGCCAACTCCTCACACGGGCTAGAGCCTCTGCACATGCTGTTTTTAAGAAACTGAAGCCAGAAACAGCAAGTGAAGCTCTTTTAATCCTCAGTCACAAACGCTTGTGGCCAGCTGGAGGCCCCTTTAGCCTCACATGCTACACTGATCCATATCCTACATTGAAAACATGCGCCTTCCCCCCCAAAATCCTAGGGAAAGTAGTTTGTTATGGATGCTAGGAATTGCATTCCACTTCCCAGGATTCTTGGGGGAAAGTCATGCGCTTGAAATGTATGGTGGCTGTGAAACAAGATGATTCTTCCCACTCAACAAAGGCCCGTCATCATTTTACATTTGCTGCAGCAGGAGGCACCAGGCATTTCCGTTCTCCTGGGCTTTTAGAGCAGAGGTTTCCACACGGTACGTAGTTCCGCTTTATCTTACAGATTCCCACCATCCATTTTTCCATGACAGATTGTACGGGAGTATGAAAGAGCCATTTTGTTTCGATTTGGACGCCTTCTTCGCGGAAGGCCCAGAGGGCCTGGTAAGTATAGAACTATCAGCCTTTCGGGAAGCCTCAGGTTATGTACCAGCTGGGGAAGTTCTGGGGAGCCAAATAAAGGTAAAGGGACCCCTGACAGTTAAGTCCAGTCACAAACGATTCTGGGGTTGTGGCGCTCATCTCGCTCTACAGGCCGAGGGAGCCGGCGTTTGTCCACTTCCGCAGACAGTTTTTCTGGGTCATGTGGCCAGCATGACTAAGCTACTTCTGGCGAAGCCAGAACAGCGCACGGAAACACTGTTTACCTTCCCGCTGGAGTGGTACCTATTTATCTACTTGCACTGGTGTGCTTTTGAACTGCTAGGTTGGCAGGAGCAGGGACCGAGCAACAAGAGCTCACCCCGTCGCAGGGCCTTGAACCGCCGACCTTTCGATTGGCAAGTCCAAGCGGTGCACTGGTTTAAACCACAGCGCCACCCACGTCCCTCCAGGGAGCCAAATACCTTCCTCCAAACCGCTCTGATTGGCTCTTGGAAGGCTTTCGAGGCAATGCCTCCCCTTATCTTCACCTTCTGACCCCAGGCTGTGCCCTTCAGTAGACGTGTGCCACCCAGCTCTGGAACTGCTGTTGCTTGCCTACTTGGAGAGATGTGCGTGGGTGTGCACAGACCTGACATTTGAACAGCAGGCTACATTTCAGTGAGGCAAGGGCTGGAACCCCACCTGCTGCTATTCCCACTTTTGCCCATTAGGAAATGCAGCCCTCAGGCTGGAAAAGGTTCCCTGCCCCCATTACATGCCATTGCACATAGTGGCCTGCATGTGGATTGTACTATTGGTGCTCAAGTAGCTGAACTTGACATTTAGATGGACCCTCCCATGGCTGAGTTGAGAAACAATTTCCTGTGTACAGTGGTGCCCCGCAAGACGAATGCCTCGCAAGACGGAAAACCCGCTAGACGAAAGGGTTTTCCGTTTTCAATGCGCTTCGCAGGACGAATTTCCCTATGGGCTTGCTTCGCAAGACGAAAATATCTTGCGAGTCTTGAGATTTTTTTTCCGCTTTCCCCCCCTTTTTCTAAGCCGCTAAGCCTTTAATAGCCTTTTAGCAGCTAATCCGCTAAGCCGCTAAGCCTTTAATAGCCGCTAAACCGCTAATAGCGCTAAGCCGCTAAGCCGCTAATAGGGTTGCTTCGCAAGACAAAAAAACCGCTAGACAAAGATACTCGCGGAACGGATTAATTTCGTCTTGCGAGGCACCACTGTAGTTTTGTACAGATATACCACGAGCATTGTGTGAAGGGAAGGTACTGTCCCCTCTCCTCCTTCAAAGTCACATGCTGGTCTTTGTTAAATTCTCTACCTGGTAAGCTGAAGCGCAGGGACGCGGGTGGCGCTGTGGGTTAAACCACAGAGCCTAGGACTTGCCAATCAAAAGGTCAGCGGTTCGAATCCCCGCAATGGGGTGAGCTCCCGTTGCTCAGTCCCTGCTCCTGCCAGCCTAGCAGTTCGAAAGCACGTCAAAGTGCAAGTAGATAAATAGGTACCGCTCCGGCGGGAAGGTAAACGGCGTTTCCGTGCGCTGCTCTGGTTCACCAGAAGCGGCTTAGTCATGCTGGCCACAGGACCCGGAAGCTGTACACCGGCTCCCTTGGCCAATAAAGCGAGATGAGTGCCACAACCCCAGAGTCGGTCACGACTGGACCTAATGGTCAGGGGTCCCTTTACCTTAAGCTGAAGCGCACATCAGTTAGTAAAGCTTTATGATTATGGCTACTTCAAATGTTCATTACCTTTGGTCCGCATTTGTGGAGGAATGAGAGAAGAGGTGCCCCATGTATATATGTAGACTCAGGCAGGGGAAATGCAACAAGCTGGTGATGCCAGGCTGCTGTAGGAAGGCACAGGTGAGGAGGGCACGGTTTAGGGAGAGTGCTTGGATGAAGAGACCAGGCAGGACAGACGATGCCCAGGCACTAATGTGAGCCCATTATGGGGCCCATGAAACCACCAGTTTCTTCAGGGCAAATAACACTCATTATAAGTCTAAGAAATAGGACAATCATGACTCAGGATTGTTAGACAGATGAATGAGAAAGAGAATTTTGCTGAATGAGCCAGCACCGTTGGGTCAATTAAACTCAATTAAAGACACAATTGCAAGGAGATCAAAGTTATCAGTATTTACCCCACGGGCTGGAAAAATAAACAGCTTTAGGTTCCTTTGAATAAGTCTGAAACTGGAGGCCAGAAAGTTTGTCAGAACATCTCCCCATTGTTCCTGTTCAGATTTGTAGCACTTCAGAAACCTGTTTGAAAAGAAACAGCACCAAAACTAAAATTTTTGTGTCCGTGTCTGTTTATACATGCATGATCAATCTCTCTCACACACACACACTGATGTAAAAATTGGGGATTGGCTTTTGCTGCCCAAGTTCCCTAAGTCCATGATCGGTCAGAGAAGAATGGATGGAGGCAGGATCCAGTGGAAAGCAAGACAGATATTTATTTTTCTGTTGCAACAAAGTTCCCTCCCTTCCTACCAAGGAGGAAGAGACCCTGAACAAAAATGTGCAGGAACCTGTAAGTCCTTTTGACATTGCCCAACCCGCTTAGCCAAAGACCACCCCAAAATCATCATACATACATCATAGGAGGTGGTCTACAGGAGAAATCCTGTCTGCCACGATACCTGATAATGGTCACTGATTGCATTACCTGGGTAGTCTGGCCATTCTTTTGTGATGGTTAATACTTTAGTTCCTGAAACCAGGTCACTGGCTCACCCTATTCAGACACAAATACGCCCTTAAGACAGGATGCATAAGCAAAAAGACAATGGGAAGGCTTTCCCCATTTGCCTCCCTTACAGCAGAGGAATATTTGAGGTCATTGGGAGAGTCAAAATGGCTTCAGGATTGCTCTCTCCGTGCTATTTCAGATAAATGGTTTATATATATTTAGATATGTGTGCATTTATGAATATTTATTCTCCATTTGAGACCTTAGAATTCTTACAACACACACCTCTGTTCTACATCTTCAGATTCCAAAAAAGCACTGCTGCCTAACTAAAAAGGCTGGATTCTCTAGTCAGTCCAGGCCTATTACCTTTTGCATTAAGAAATGTGAGTTTTCTTCTTTATTTACACCATCCAGCTTGCAAGTGCTGCTGTTCTCTTTCTCCTAACAGGATTATTCCTTTTCCTGCCATGTTTGGACACCTACCACAAAATAGACCTTCGCCTCAAAACCTTAGAGATCCCTTTCTATGAGGTAAGAGAGACACAGTCTGCCCCTTCTGCTCTTTGAGCTTGTTTGCAGGAGGCAAAGTCAGTAGAAGTTTACTTAGATTCACCATTCCAATTAATTAGGAAGCCCCTGGTTCAAATCTCACCTTGGCTTTGAACTAAATGCATTGCTTTTCGGCAAGCCATTTGACTCAGCCTCATCCCCAGCCCCACAATAATTATACTGATCTATCTAACGGGACAGTTGTAGGATTACTTAACGTAAAAGAAGGCTGTAGATCAGTGACAGAACATCTGCTTTGCATGCGGAACATCCCAGGTTCATTCCCTGACATCTCCAGCGAAGGTTAGGAATCAACACAGTCTGATGTTTATTTGGTAATACAGTGGTACCTCGGTTTACAAACTTAATCCGTTCCAGGAGTCCATTCTTAAACCAAAACCGTTCTTAAACCGAAGCACGCTTTCCATAATGAGACCTCCCGTCGCCGGTGCCCTTCCACCATTCAGATTTCATTCTTAGACCGAGGTAAAGTTCTCAAACCAAGACACTATTTCCGGTTTCGCGGCGTTTGTAAGCCAAATCGTTCTTAAACCGGACTGTTCTTAAACCAAGGTACCACTGTACCATATTGGCCCGAATATAAGTCACACCCGAATATAAGCCGCACCTTTAAATTCAGGGGAGGGGGGAGAAAAAAAGACAATACCCGAATATAAGCCACTCCCTTAAAATTCCATAGGCACTCACACCTGTTCTGTTTTACTGTATGTCTGTTTAAGCAGCAGTATCGTAAAAGCCCATTTTTGTAAGGTTGCAAATTTAAGCCGCACTTTCAACTTTTCATGGTTGGAATTGGGGGGGTGGGGGAGTGAGGCTTATATTTAGGCCAATACGGTACGTAGAAACAGCTCAATCCAGCCCAGGGCTGGAATCAGATTTCCTGTTATTTTTCCATTGGCAAAACTGTATTTTGTTATAGATTTGAGGGGACCCTCCAAAAAACAACCCTAGGAATGAATAAATACTAGGATTTTGATTAATTGGGATATGGATTAAAGTACAAGCTGAAGAGCTGTGCCAGACAGGGAATTCCTGGGCTGGCTTCTACAAAGCAGCCTGGCTGGCTTAGTGAAGAACAAAAGATGTTGTTGGGCCACTGGAGAATGAGATGTTACCAAAGTGATGGGGTGTGTGTTTGAGGCGACAGGAAAAGGGATTTTTGAGCAAGGGTTGCTGGGAAGGAAAAGCAGGAAGAAGAGCTGAGATCCATCTTTGGAGGAGGCTGGCTGCAGAGATGCCTTGGGCTATAGGGCCACACTGCTGTGGGGGACAAACCCCTCTTGAAATGACTGTGCAGTAAGACCTGGACTCCCTCCAGGCAGACTGAAGGTGTGAATAGGTGAATAAACCATATTTCTTAAAGCCACAACAGTCTCTGCTGCGTCTTCAATTCTCCAAAGGAACACGGACCCTGGGTGAGTGCCTGGGACCCCATGGGCTCTTGCCACCACTTGGCAGACAGGGGGGCAGGCACCCAGCTTTCATAACATTCTATTGCAGGGGTCAGCAAGGTTTACCTCACCTGGGCTGGTTCACTCCAGCAGAGATCCCTCTGTGGGCTAGATTGCGCGCGCAAGTACGCACGCCTGCGATTTCTGGCGTCTGCGCAGACGCGATTTCCGGCGCATGCGCAGATGTGATTTCTGGTGCCATCCCCGCGCCACACTGCACCCATTTAGTGCAGCACACTGGGACTCATTGGTTAAACGACTCCCGTGGGCTGCTTGTGGCCCATGGGCCTTAGGTTGCCGACCCCTGTTCTATTGGATGGTCACACAATGCCTTCTGCTTGCCCTAGACCATAACCAAGGACATGGCAAGTCTAGAAATAGATACCATCTGTTACTATCGAATGGAGAATGCCACACTCGTCACGACCACCCTCGCCAACCACTCGAAGGCAATCCAGCTGCTAGTGCCGACCATCGCAAAGCGCTTTCTGGCACAGCGGTCGCTCACAGACATCCTGATGGAGAGGAAGAGCATCAGCCAGGAGATAAAGGTGGGTTGGCTATAGCGCTGTACAGAGGACATGGTGGGGAAGTCCATCACTCAGGGTGGGAGGCTTGCCCAGTGGCTGCTACAAGCAGAACTGGGGAAATGGTATGGGAGCCAATGAAAGGACACGAGGGAAATGCTTCTGCCTTGCTATTGGGCACCTTCTCCTTCCTGAAAGTGGCTTTACAGTACGTAAACTCAGAACTGCCTTGCAAGATCCACCCAGGGCAGCATTTCCTTTCAAACAACAACAACAGGCAACCAGACACTATACTGCCTCCAAACACAGGGTTGCCAACTGGCTAGGTGAACCAGCCTACTGTTGTCTCCTGCGCCTTTAAGAACAGCTTGGCTTGCAGAAACTAGAAAGTGATGCTTTGAATACCATGGTGATAAATGCAATATTTTGTGAATTGCACATTGTCTTAGTCTATTCTGGTTGATAGGGAGAGACAATTGTATAAATATAAGATTAGCTGCATGCCCTTTTAGTGAAGTGAGTGGCTAGAGAGGTCTTTTTCTCCCTCTCATAGTAGACCTTTAAGTGGCCCAGTAAATGATGGGCAGTTAGGTTTGGGGCAGACAAAAGGTACTAGACTTTGCTCCAGTTTAGGTAACTTTAGATAGGAATCTGACAAATTAATTAAGGATTGACCTATAATCAGCTAGTAGCCAAGACGGAGAAAAGGGAACCTTTTTGAAAAAGCTGTAATCCTTTATTGAACAGCTCTTTGCTAACCTAACTCAGGGTAGCTTTACTCCTTGGTTTGCATCAAGGAGACAGCCATCCCTACTAGAGCACTTCTCACTGGAAATGTTAGGACACTGCTGTTTTTGCATTTTTAAGTTGCTCATCCATCATATAAAGCTGCTGCCAATAAGAAGACACTTTTTTTGCAGGTGGCTGTGGACGCCATCACCTGTCAGTGGGGGATCAAGGTGGAAAGGACAGAAATGTAGGTATGAAATGTGAGATCTGCAGAAATACTTAGGTGACAAAATATCAGGAGAGGGGTCTCCGAGACCTTTCACTATTGTTAATGCCGCCCCTACAAGTGTAATCAGTTTTTGTTATTTCTCCCCTTGAACAATCCCTGGACATAGGGGTCACCCTGGTACAAGCCACCATTTTGTGGGCCTCCTCCTTGATCCTTCTGCTGCTGTCTCTTGCAGGGGCACAGCTAGCTCCTCACCCATCTGTTTTGACATGGCTGGGGTTGAAAAGGGTTGATTTCAATGACCAGAAATGTAAGAGGTGCTGCTTAAAAACTGGCAGCTCAGAGCACCAAAAGTTACCCCATTCCTGCAGTTTTATGGATCTACATATGGCCAGAAAGGCTACAGCTGACCACCTCTCCATTTGTTTAGTCACCTTGGACAAACATTTGAGTGGCTCCCATTTTGCTATGATATCCTGAAGGCAAGGGTGCCAGGTGGCAATTGGCTCCACAGCCCCACCAAGAGCGGGGAAGGGAGGGCTCTGGCCAATTACTCCCATCCCTTCTGGCAGCCAGGCAGCCTGGGATGTCTTCTCACTGATCACAGTGAGGGCAGAATAAGAATTGCCTCCTGTCCTGATCCCAGCACTGAATCAGTTTGGCGCCATCCAGAAAAGGCAGCTGTGAACCAGATGTATTGCTCAGCCTTCCTGGGCTGTCAGTTTTCTGCTGCTTCTGCAATCCTGCTGGGGAAGTGGAACAGGATGAAAAAAGCTGAGGTTTTATTGGGTTGGTGGGAGCCAGAGTCCAGCAAAAGTGGGAGGGCAACAGGTTCTTGATTCCAGAGCTACGGGAAGTATTTGTGCATATATGCAGCCATGAAGGACATCCTAGGGCCATTTAAAACTTCTTCAGGACATTCCTACAGCATTTGTTCTGTTCCTAACAGAACAAATGAGAACGAATCCGACACGGATACATCCCACTGCCAATGTAAATGTCGCTAGAGTTGCTAACAAATGAGTAGGCCCACTCAGGAGTGGCAATGAGAGGGATATTCAGCCAGTGACTGGCTTTTCACAAAACAAATGAAATACCATGAAAATCCCTGAAACAAGAAGTAATTGACTAGAAATATTATCTTATAGAAATAAACTAAATAATAAAAATCAAAAAGTTTTAAGGCTTTGTTCAATTCTAGTTTTTTCTAATTTTTACCTTAAACTTTTTCAAACCATTATTTCATTTGTTTTGTGTAATTTCTCTGTTCCGTGACTGTCTTTTTTTCTACTAGTGACTGGCTTTTCAGCTGGCACCCAAGACAAAGGTCCCATTTAACCTGGTAACTAGCTGGCCAGTTGGCCAGCCAACCATGTAGGCATGCTGATAGCTAGCACTCATTTCCCCCTGATGTAGTACAAAGTTTCCTTCCTGAGCTAAATGGTTGTCTTAACCACAGTGGCTATGTTCCCCCTCCAACCTCTGCATACCAGCTGCTGGCAATCACAGGTGGGCAGAGTGCTGCCATGCTCAGGTCCTGCTTCCCACAGGCATCTGGTTGGCCCTGTGAGAACAGGGTGCTGGACCAGATAGGTCAGTGGTCTGATCCAGCAGCCAGGCTCTTCTTGTGTTCTTAAACAGAAAATCATTTACAGTGGTACCTCTGGTTGCGAACGGGATCTGTTCCAGAGGCCCGTTCGCAACATGAAAAGCCTGCAACCCGAAGCACCGTATCTGCGCAGGTGCGCAGCGCGATTTGGTGTTTGTGCACATGTGGAAAGTGCAATTTAGCGCTTCTGTGCATGCGCGAGTGGTGAAACCCGGAAGTAACCCCTTCCGGGTCGCCACAGGACACACCCTGAAAAAACGTATCATGAAGCAAACGTAACATGAGGTATGACTGTACGCTGTTTCCAGTTTGGGTCTGCAGTCCCAGATTTCATTAATTTCATTCATTTCAGTAAAGATGTGCGGTTGCCAACGGAGCTTCAGGAGTCCCTGGCTGCACAAGCCGAAGCCCAGAGACAGGCCAAAGTGAGGGTAAGGCAATACACTGACACGGTATGTTTTTATTACTGGAAGCTACGGGCAGGAGGGAGCTATGGGAGAGAGATGCTGTCCTCCCAAGCTTGCTTCTCTTCAGGTCTAATCAGACAAGCGTTGGCCATGGTTCTGCCTGCATCTCACAGCACATGGGAGTGAGTCACTGGTCAAAACTAATTCTGTTGGTTATCCAGCTTTTGTTAATCTAAAGCAGGCAATCTCAAACTCGGCCCTCCAGATGTTTTGGGACTACATCTCCCATCATCCCTAGCTAACAGGACCCGTGGTCGGGATGATGGGGATTGTAGTCCCAAAACATCTGGAGGGCCGAGTTTGGGGACGCCTGATCTAAAGCAATGAGCCCTTCTCGTTTGCACTAGTTAATTTATAGGTACTTAATGTAAATCCATTTCCTTTGGCTGGAAACCTAAGAGATGGAGGAGGTACAACACGAAGGCTGTTTGGGAGCTGCACTGGAAAATGGAAGCTCCAGGCTGTTTCAATTCTACGCAGCACAAGAATGAAATAAATTTCTTCCACGCTAACCCTGCATGCTTTCCTTTGGGCTGTCGGAAACAAAATGGAAATTGAAGTGATGTGGCACCCAGGAAAATATCACCACATGTAACACACTTCAAAACATCCAATATAAAGTCAGGTAATAAGTGACTTTATATTGACTTTTCTTCCTTTAATGGATTATCCAGAGATTGGGAAAATCCAAATCCATTGACAGGGGATTATGGGCTGCCACTTGAATAAGATATTGTCTGGATGCTGTCCCTTATAAGCCAGTTGTTCCCCTGTGGTGGGAATTAATTACAAGTTTCTTTTCATTATCCCCACCACCACCATTTTATTACTTTTTATAGGAAAACAGTGCTATTTTACTAAAAAAGAAAAAAAATGCAAGGAAATAAATCACTTATCCCTGCCCTCCTCCAAATAGGAACAAATGCTGACTAATAAGAGGAAATTACCTCAGGAAGAAACAAACGCCCAGAACCTGCACATAAGTAGTATCTAATTAACACTGGAGGGCTTTTACTCAGTTGAACTTGCTTCTGAGGAAACATTAGAGGTGGTTTTTGGCCTTGAGGGTGAGCATTCAATGTAGCACTATTTTAAGTGCTGTGCAGAACCTGTTTTTGTTTTACTTCCAGCTGACGAACAGCGTTGCTTCTACAACACTGAAGGGCACCATTATGGAAGGAACCACGGGCGGTACTCAACAAAGTTTTACTCAGGGTAGACCTATTGAGATTATTGAACCCATCAAAGTTAGTCCCATTGATATCAAGGGATCTACTCTGAGTAAAACTTCGTTGCCTCCTGCCCCAAAGGAAGATCTTCTAAATACCTTGTGTTCTAGGTCATAGCTGCTGAAGGAGAAAAGGCTGCTTCCGAATCGCTGAAGGTGGCAGCAGAGGTGCTTTCCCACACACCAGCCGCCCTCCAGCTCCGCTACCTTCACATGCTGCAAAGCCTGTCTGCAGAGAAGCCGTCCACCTTTATTCTTCCTTTCCCCCTTGACCTCATGAATCCTTCATCAGGAGACAACATGAAATCCACAGGCTGCAACCGCTCTTCAGATGTCGCCAGCAACCCAGAGGCTCCAAAGGCGAAGGATTCCCCAATGTTGTAGGACTAAGCCAGGGGCAGCATCTAGGCCTCTCTGTCTAGCTTCTCGGGCCGTAACCCATTGCCTAGTCCATAATTCGTACCCACCTGCTTTGCACCCTCCTGAAGTGTTTTTGCCTGGCTGAAATGTGCCCTTGAACTCACCTGGATGGAGGGTGAGAGAGGGGATGTTAGTCTGTGTAGGGGGTGTTTGCCTACTGGATGAAGGCAAAATTCGCAGCTGTTGCTCTGCCCGCATTTGCCCTGGGTCCCATTCACTACTGGAATGCGGCCCCTTGGAGGCTGCTTATGAGTCAATGTGGCCCTTGGTCTGAAAACATTTTGCCACTCCACTACAGGAATTCAGCAGAAGAATCTGCATTTCAAACTGTAGCTGATGTAGTCATGGTTGATCCTCTATTGGGCCCCCTGTAATTAAATCTGCTTAAACTTTTAAACTCCTGAACTGAGAGGTCAGCAGCTGGGCTACATATGATGAGGGCGGCTGCTTTGCCACCAAGTGTATAAAACAGGGAATTGCAGCCAGTCCTAGCTGTGTGTGGGGAGTGCATCTCAGCCCTGTTTTTTCAAATGTGTATTTGTTTCTTTCCACACTATATTTTTAGATGCACAGTCAAAGCTTGCTAGGAACCACCCCCATGTGATATTATTCCCAGTTAAAATCCAATACCGAGTTCAAATTATTATTCTGCTGTAAAGCTCACTGGGTGACCCTGAACCAGTCACAATTGCTCAGTAGAGACATCACCTTGCCAACAAAGGTCCGTATAGTAAAAGCTATGGTTTTCCCAGTAGTGATGTATGGAAGTGAGAGCTGGACCATAAAGAAGGCTGATCGCTGAAGAATAGATGCTTTTGAATTATGGTGCTGGAGGAGACTCTTGAGAGTCCCATGGACTGCAAGAAGATCAGACCGATCCATTCTTAAGGAAATCAGCCCTGAGTGCTCACTGGAAGGACAGATCGTGAAGCTGAGGCTCCAACACTTTGGCCACCTTATGAGAAGAGAAGACTCCCAGGAAAAGACCCTGATGTTGGGAAAGATGGAGGGCACAAGGAGAAGGGGATGACAGAGGACGAGATGGTGGGACAGTGTTCTCGAAGCTACCAGCATGAGTTTGACCAAACTGCGGGAGGCAGTGGAAGACAGGAGTGCCTGGCGTGCTCTGGTCCAGGGGTTCACGAAGAGTCGGACACGACTAAACGACTCAACAACAGCAACACTTTACCTTGCAGAGCCATGTCATCAAGATTAAAAGAGGTGTAGATGTTGGGAAAGATGGAGGGCACAAGGAGAAGGGGACGACAGAGGACGAGATGGTTGGACAGTGTTCTCGAAGCTACCAGCATGAGTTTGACCAAACTGCGGGAGGCAGTGGAAGACAGGAGTGCCTGGTGTGCTCTGGTCCATGGGGTCACAAAGTCAGACACAACTAAACAACAACAACAGGGACGGAGAAAGTTAATGCATGCTTCCTTTTAACATCTTGGATGAAGAGCTGGATAATAAGCTCATCCGTTGGGCATTCTTGTTCTCTAGTCATTCCGCTCCTTGTCCCTATTTCGAAAGGCAGATACCATTGCAAGATACGAAGATAAGAAGTGTTGGTGGTGGAGCGAAAGAAGCTTAAGGCCAGTCCTCCCACCTCCTTGAGCCTGAAAATGGTGTGTCCTGCCTGAGGCAGTTCACAGAGTGAAAGTGAGCAGCACAGCACAAAAGAAGTTTGGGAACTTGCTGCGAAAGCTCTTTGCTGTCTGTTTGCTTTAATTGTTAATTGGCTCAGGGAGTAGCCCTCCCTTCCCGGCTATCATTAAAGCCAACAGAGGCGGGACACCATCTGTGTCTCTTTCAGCAGAGGGACAAGGATTGGGCTGGGCCTGGACAAAGCAGGCTGGCAGTTCCATCAGCAGCCCAAGAGTCTCAGACTCAGTAGAGACGATTTAGTGGAAGGAGCAAAAAAACAAATGGGTGGTTTCTACTGAGCGGAAGGAAAACACAGGAGGACCGGAGTGGGGCTTCCTGACAGACACAACTTGAGCTTAGCCCTTGTTCTGTTCTGTTGTTCCCATCAAAACAAAAGAAAACCTTTGAACACAAAATGGCAAATTCTACAAAAGAATAAACTCAAGCTAGTCAACAAATTCATCTAACGTGTGCTAAATCCGAGGTATATTCAGGGCCAGGTGGAACCTTCTTACTTGATCAGCTCTTGCTAAGAGCTTTTAGAATGGTAAATTTTGTCTGCTGTTCTTATTGTCAGCCTCACTGCTACTTGTTTTAGTATTTTTGTGGTTTCTACGTGCTCTGATATTATGTGAACTTTGTTAACATCACCCTTGGAGACTCTGGGCTGAAAAGCAGCCTATTATATTTTTTAAAGTAATAATAATAATAAATATAATCTTCTGACTGCGCAAATTTCCTTTCTTCCTTTAACAATTGTAGTGGGTAGAGTGTCCTTCCTTTCTCCGGCACTGGCCTCTGGTATTAAAAAATATTTCTAAAATAAGCAAACAGGCATTATTTCCTATAATTTCCTATATATTTCCTTTTCGAAGACATCTGAAGGCAGCCCGTTTTAGGGAAGCTTTTAATGTACTATTATATTTTAATATTTTGTTGGAAGCCGCCCAGAGTGGCTGGGAAAACCCAGCCCGATGGGCGGGGTATAAATATTATTACTATTACTATTATTATTATTATTTTATTGCAAGGCTCCTTCCTCCCTGACTACCACCATAGAAACATGGTCCCTCGCTTGTCTTCATTACAGGTGCCCAGCTTTTGGGGCAGGATTAAAGCTACAGCAACCAAAGCAGTTTGGGAGGAAAAGCACTCTGAGAATCTTAAACCTATCTCCAGCCTGAGTGATGTTGCATTTCCTCCAGCATCTATATTAATCTCATTTTAAATGAAGTCTCCAACTGAGCAGCACATGGAGCACCTATAGCTCAGTGGTGCAGCCATTTCATGCATTTCCAATTAAAAGGCTCTTGGGAACAGGGAACAGAAGACACTTCTGCCTGTGATTCTAGAGAGCTGTTGCCACTGAAAAGAGAGAATGCTGTGTCAGATCAGGGGCAGACTTTGGTAGTATGATGTCCTGAGCAAAAGCAAAATTTAGTGCCTCCTCCAGTATTTCTCTCCCCTCCCTCGCCTTCTGTTCTGCGCATGCTCTCAAGTGCACTATGTCATAGTTGTGGCAACTCAATCGCCTGTCTGACCAGGGCTTAACGGTATTAGTAACATTGCTATTTTGCAACCATTCAGCTCAACGCCCTGTGTTGGGAAACTGCCTGCACCGATCTAGATCTGGCACTGATTAGATGAACCAATTATACAAATCAGCTTTCTATGTTCTCTGTAGAAAGGAATGTGGAACGTGCTTAAATAAATCAAGCTGCATTTCTGCTCATTTCTGCTAGATGGCGTCTTTTGGCCATGATTTTACAATGCCATGAACAGGTGTACGCAGCCAAACTTTGGCTTACTCTGCTTTCCTGTTCAAAATACCATGCTAGCTCTTATTTCCCCCTGAAGGAAGAATGGGATGGCAGTGAGGCAGAAGACAAAGGGGCAAAATATGTTCCCCTTTGAAGACACATTTCTTCAGGAAAGGCTGTAGAACGGATGCAGTGTTGGGACAGAAAAAGTACTGATACCAGATCAGAAAATATTTGATAAGTCAGCTTCCATTCACAAAGGATCAGGGTTTCACAAGTGCCATTAGCAACCACCAATCTCTTCCTGATGACTTGTGAAAAAGGACAGCAGCCGTGACCCTCCCTCCCACAGAGAACTTGGAAGTTGTGAGGGAGTCTCTCGCTTCATAATAGGGACTACAAGTCCCATCATCCCTGACCGTTGGTCCTGCTAGCTGATGGGAGTTGTAGTCCAACAACAGCTGGGAACCCAAGTTTGAGGGAAAACTGTAGGGCCTTCCCCTTCCCCGAGTCCTCCAGCACAGGTACAGGATCTGGGTGAAGTAATCAATCAGGATTGCATCTTGTGACAAGGTAAGAGCGTCTCAGAAGCAGTTAGATTCCATCTGGCTAGTTCTAAGTGTCTCCAAAGCATGGTGTGGTGTGAGTGAATAGCCTGCCCTTTGCAGAAGATTCCACAGCTAGAAGAGTCTTCTTTCTGTTTACTTCAGGCTTTATGAGTAGCCAGGAACAGTGGAAGTCTCTCACTGCTTCTGTCAACTCCAATACCTGCATGAGATTAGGGAACTATCCCTCCCTGCTCTTTGGAAGGCTGGGCTTGTTCATCCACCTTGTGCTATGCTTGGGAGACATTTGGAAGTGCTGCTTCTAAGTCTCCTACCTTACATAAACAAAGAGAACTACAGTGGTACCTCTGGATGCGAACGGGACCCGGTCCGGAGCCCTGTTCGCATCCTGAAGCGAACGCAACCCGCATGTGCTCAGGTCGCGATTCGCTGCTTCCGCGCATGATGTCATTTTGAGCGTCTGCGTATGCGCGAGTGGCGAAACCCGGAAGTAACACGCTCCATTACTTCTGGGTCGCCGTGGAGCGCAACCCAAAAATATTCATCCCAAAGCATATTTAACCCAAGGTATGACTGTACTAGAGAACTTGAGGGAAGGGAATCATGCCAAGTTAGTAAAGGTAAAGGTAAAGGGACCCCTGACCGTTAGGTCCAGTCATGGCCAACTCTGGGGTTGCGGCGCTCATCTCGCTTTATTGGCCGAGGGAGCCGGCGTACAGCTTCCGGGTCATGTGGCCAGCATGACTAAGCCACTTCTGGTGAACCAAAGCAGCACACGGAAACGCCGTTTACCTTCACGCCGGAGCGGTACCTATTTATCTACTTGCACTTTGACGTGCTTTCAAACTGCTAGGTTGCCAGGAGCTGGGACCGAGCAACGGGAGCTCACCCCGTCGCAGGGATTCAAACCGCCGACCTTCTGATCGGTAAGCCCAAGGCTCTGTGGTTCAACCCACAGCGCCACCCGCGTCCCATGCCAAGTAATTACCTGATACGAAACCCTCTGGTCCAAGATACTCCCAATGCATCTACTGGTGAAAAACTCCTAAGACGGATCGAGTGTTCTTTTTTTGGGGGGGGGGGGAGTTCAAACAAAACCCCCAAATATTTCCTATTGAGTTATTCTTAAATTCAACCTGTATAGGTAAACACAGTGAAATTTCAGGGCAACTCCGACCTAGACCTTGAATATGTTCTATATAAATAACAGAAACTGGGAATCAATCCCACTTGGTTGAGTTAACTCCTTTCCATGTACTGAACCAATAGTTTAACAGAGCTGGGAGAATTCCAAGTAGCCACTAATGCACAACCCTCCATCTGTGTCCAGTGCCAACTACAAGCAGGAGCCAAAGGCCTTCTGGAGGTCACCCTCTTCTTCAGCGTTTGGGCTTGGGGAATTTCTTCATTCGTGGCTTAGGAGTGCTGGGCTGTGAAGGTGATTCAGTTTGCTCCTTAACGACAACTTCTGCAACGACAGATGCACAACAGGAAGCACTTAAACACTGACATTGTCAACACCTAGACAATATGAGAACTAGTAGCTCAGAGAAACCTCATACTCTACTCTGCGACAAGTCCAGGTTTCAGCCCAAGCATAGCCTTGAGGGAATCAAGACCAAACCCAGCTGCCCAGAGAATGGTTATGAACAGCATATGCATCCACAAACCCATGTTTGTCATGTCCACACTTCATAAGTATACCTGTTCTCAGTGAGAACCTCATCCATAATGGGAATATTCCAACAGAGCATTATGTGCTCAACCCCACTTATTTCAATGATCTAAGATACACCGATCTCTGACATGTACACAGTACTTTGTTCAAAGTAAATCAACAATCCTGATACGATCAGTATCACGCTGCAGATGAGCAGCTTAGGCTGATAAATGCTTGCTTGGACCACCAACTGGGTTAGGTAAGAGTTCAACTAGGGGCTTCCCTGCTCACATTCTTAGCCAGTGCAATGCAGTTTGCTTCTTCAGCTCCCTGGGTTGGTTCATAACATGCATCTTCATTACTTCATGATTGCAGCATCAAGTGAATTATGACATGTGAATTATGACATTATTAAGCAATGAAGAACTTTCCTTTCACCCCACAACACACTGCTTTTCAACAGAAACATCACCTATTCAGGCCAGAGCTACACATGTAGCAGATTGAGGATGCATAATGGGTTGTGCCACTTCAGCAATGCAGATGGAAGAATGGTCTTCTTCTTTGGCGATCACTCGTAGCTGAGTAAGATTGTCTTCCATGAACACGGTCTCAACAGTGAGTCCGTAAATGACTGTGGAGGCCAATTCTGGACCCACATGTCCTTCCACAGTGGGGACATTGGTTTCCAGGCGGGAGTTGATCACGGTGGATTTGCCAAGCGTGCCTTCCTTTTAGCACGTTTCTCCCTTGCGTCCTGAGTTCGAGTGTCTTCAAAGCCCATGAGACCTTTGGTAAAGGCTGTTCTCCAATTGGAGCACTCACAGGCAAGTGTTTCCCAATTGTTAGTGTTTATAATACATTTTTAAAGCTTTGCTTTGAGACAGTCTTTAAACCTCTTTTGTTGACCACCAGCATTACACTTCCTATTTTTAAGTTTGGAATAGGTTTCTGAAAGTGGAAACCTAACACACCAGGGAGAAAAGTTCTAGATTAGTCCATTCCCTGCTGTGCTAACATTCTACTTACTTTATAATAAAGAACAACCAAAAAGGTGATTTTCCTGGCTGCTGTCTGTAGTGGCACAGTCCAGTCTACTACCTCACCCTCCTGGGCACACCACGTGACAGCTGCCAGTCATCAAACACTAATCAAGAACAGATAAATCAAGCAACTGATACACAGGTGTGAATTAGGCCTCTGTTTGTTGCCCGTGTGGAAAGGATTCCCCTATCAGACTCAGGAGGTGGACTGGGCAAGTCAGCTAATTCTCACGTTACCATTTTTAAATGGAGAAATAAACAGCCTGCTGTTATTGAGGGGGCGGGAATGAAAAGACCTTCAATTAGCAAATCATCTCTCTCCCCAGCCTGCCTTAGGTACAGCCTATCATTTTGATTCTTGCAACCTTCAGGGAGTAGTCATGATGGGGAAGTGGCTACACATATTTACTTACTAAGAGCAGAAACAAAGGAACACAAAGGCATCTGGTACAACTTTTGCAGTAACATTCCATTTCTGACTACGGGTGGAGAGGGGGGAAGATGGTGGGTTGTATCCAAAGTAGTGCCAAGCCAAGCATTCTGCCAGAGCCTGCCCTCTAGTTCCCCCCAACCTTCCAGAGCAGATGGGGGGATGTCAAGGGGAGGAGGAACCCCATTGCGCTAGCACAACGTATTTAGCACAACCTGTATCTGGGAATGCTCTCCGCTCTCCTCCAAAAGCACACTTCCTGTACATTTTTTCCCATTGTGTGGTAGGCAGCGTGGAAATACAATACATGTAGTCTGAAATGGCACAGCTCAGCAAGACGTGCAACATGTGACTTCCCGATGCCTGTTTTGTCTATTTTGAGCCATTTCGCAGCAGCAGCAGCAGCATACTCAATTATACCACCCAAATGTATGCTTGAAAGTGCAGCCAATCCTGGTTCTCCGACACATTTGTACTTTGAACACACGTGAGCCTGCAAACCAGTTTATCACATTCACATTTTATGTTTTCAAACGTACGCCTAAACGTGTGGTGCATGAAATTGCCCTTAAAATTCCAGAGCATTTTTTTAGAGCCTGCAATTCCACCTTTCAAGTCTTTAGCCATACCTGCTTTGAGTTTTGTTTCTTTTTGTTCAGGGTCCTTCAGCTTTGGTTGCTCACCCTCCATGTTCTGGATTTTTGCCAGAGCTTCTTCCAAGTCCTCATGAAGGACTTCAGATTTTTCCTCAGCTTGCTGTGCTCGCTTTTCAGCCTCTCTGAAAGAGTAGGTGTCAGAAAGAATTCATAGCCCTGACCAGGCAAGAAACCAGTAACACTAATTTGATTTACTCTAGCTGGTCGCTTCCTACTGTGAAAAATACATTTTCTCTTGCTTCTTCACTCCCCAAAAATGTTCTTAACGGCCAATATTACTGCAACCTATGTAAGAATCCACACCTGACTACTACATTGCAAGTCTATAAAACCTACAGGAGAATCTATTCCTAGCACTGCAAAACCACATGAGAACTCACATATCACTAAAGGTAAAGGTAAAGGACCCCTGATAGTTAAGTCCAGTCACGAACGACTCTGGGGTTGCAGCGCTCATCTTGCTTTACTGGCCAAGGGAGCCGACGTTTGTCTGCTGACAGTTTTTCCAGCTCATGTGGCCAGCATGACTAAGCCGCTTCTGGTGAAACCAGAGCAGCGCAACGGAAACACCGTTTACCTTCCTGCAGGAGCGGTACCTATTTATCTACTTGGACTCTTGGGTGTGCTTTCAAACTGCTAGGTTGGCAGGAGCTGGGACAGAAACAGGAGCTCACTCCATTGAGGGGATTCGAACCGCCGACCTCCCGATCGGCAAGCCCAAGAGGCTCAGTGGTTTAGACCACAGCGCCACCTGCATCCTATTTTTGTTTAAAAATGGAATGTGTTGTGGCAGAATAGACACCTGCAATCACATAGGCCACCTGTTCAAGATACCCTCTAGTCTCTAGTCTGCACAAGAATGCACACATCCATCCATCTCTTCCCTGTGGTTCTATACTCACACGAGTCGCTCTTCCAGAATTTCCAGTGACGCCAGCAACTCAAATTCCTTCTTTGAGGCCTTTGTGGTCCACTGGCTGGCATGCAACTCCCTCTGGAATAAGAAGAGTGAGTAACTTATAGGAAATGAAAGGAAATAAATCAACAGGCTACTTTCTGTCTCAGAACTGGCATACTGAAGTCCCTGGCTCAAATCTTGCCTCAGCTATGAGCACACTAGGTAGCCTTAGACAAGTGATGCTCACTCATCCCTTACATCTTCAGGGGATAAAAATTCTGGCCTACTTTACAGGGTCATTGCACTGTTTTATTTACAGAGGCACAGAGTTGGAAGTTGCCATTACTCTGCCTCTGAGAAGAAAAGATTTATCAGGGCACAATTGCCTGAGAATATCTCCTGTAAAAACCCCATAACGGTGTTCATGCACCACTGCCGTTCTTTTCAATGGGGCCATTGCAGGAGAACTTCCCAGATCTATTTTCCTGCTGTAATAGTGTGTTGTAGTGGCCATAGAGTTGGACTAGGACCTGGGAGTGTTAGGATATAGTTCCGTTCCACCTTAAATGGTCAGGCATGATTGTTGTGTATCACATGCCTGTTTCGTTCCAGCTCTCGCTGGGAACTTCCGTTTTATATATAGCTTTTGTTCCGGCTGTTTTCCTGGACACGGAGGCAAGCAGTCATGTTTTTCCTTTGTTCTGATCTACGTTGAATAAAGCTGTAAATATGCTCTCCTGTCTGCATCTTCCGTTGTGGAGACTTTGCTGAAAGGGTGTGCACGGGTCTTGGAATGTCTCTGAGGCTCGTGTTGCTAACTGACTGATGCTGTTCCACGGGAGACCGGGGATTGTCCGGAGACGACTGGGGGCCTGCCTGATGCCTTCGTCTCCCTGGCAGTATCCCAACAGGGAGTCCAGAGTTCAAATCCCCACTCGGCCATGAAGCTCACTGGGTGCCTTTGGGCCAGTCACTGCCTCTCGCAGCCTAATCTGCCTCATGGGGGTTTCATGGGGATTAAATGAGGAGGGGGAGAACCATCTATGCCACCTTGAGCTCCTTGGAGAAAAACGGTGGGATACACTGGTCTACTACCATTAGTATTGCAAGATTGTCATGGGAGCACTTGGACTAAAATCTACTTTTCTGGTTTATCACCACAACAGTTATTAACATCTGGTTTCAGTAATCAAATAATTTAATTAGACACTGCCTATATGACACTGAGCAACAGAATAATCTGGCCAAAATAAGGAACTTTTGTCCATGGTATGATTATTTTCCACCTAGTCACTTTGGCACCCTATTTGCAAAATGTAACAATTTCAAAATACAGACACGCTTTCACTTTCGCAAGATTGAATATACTGCCTTTGGCTGTACTCGAGGGTCAATTTCAAAAAAATCCACTGGAAAAATGGTTATGTCTATGCGGAGATGGCAGTATTGAGTCAGTGGCTCATGTGCTTCTGGCTTACACTCTTTATAAAGATTTGAGGAGTGAGGTTATTACCCCTCTATTACTGTCCATGCCAGGTCACTCAGCCGTTCCTACTGTGTCCTTTCTTTTAGCAGATCAAGATGATCAGGTGACAGCAAAAACTGCAGGGTTTTTAGCGGGGACAATTAGAATAAGATCTATTATTTGATTATTGATGTAAACCCCCAAATGTATTTTCTATAGTTAAGTTTTTACCTCTACCTTCAGTACATTTTATTTGGTTTTATTGCTATGGCTAGTGGCTGATGCAAATAACGATTCTTCTGCTGCAAGGTGGGATATAAATAACTAACACTGAGAACCTGTCCTCTAAAGCAGCTGCCACACCTTGTTCCAAATAGACACACCTCTTCGGAGAAGATCTATCTATTTATATGTACATACATACCCGTGACACTGTGATTTCTTGCACTTGCATGGTTTTGACATACACATTAGAATCATCTCCAATGTATCTGACTGGGTAAGTGACCGCAAGACTCTCGGCCTGCTCACCAGTGCTGGTGCTGGGCACAGGCGGCTGTTCCTGCAAGGACAAAGAGAAGGAGCAAGGGGAAAGGGAAGGACCACACAATGCAATGGTTGTTTCCTCATCATCAAGGAAACTGCGCACAGAAGAGACTCAGATAGTGTATGGAAGGATCATGATGATCAACGCCAGTCCTTTTTCCCCCTGGGGGTACTCGACAGTATGCAGTACCGGCGCCTTTTTAATGGCTATGTTAAAAGTGTGGCACTTAACTGTAACAACTTCGCGGTGAGTGCCGGCACCATTTTTTCTAGGAAAAAAGCTCTGATCAACACAATCTTCACTTATTTTCATATTCCACATAAGGCTACGCTGTCAATTGTGGTTCAAGAGCTCCTGGAGTCAGTGTCCACAGCAGTGGCGGAGGAACCCTCTCTGGCACCAGGGGCAGGGCAGCCCGTGCGAAGTGCGCATGTGCGCCATCCCGTACGGACTGCACATGTGCGGTATCCCACACGTGCGCACTCCGTACAGGCTGCCGCTTACACGGTGACTGTATGGGTTGCCACACAAGTGGCATCCCAGAGTGTGCATGTGTGGTAGCGCGTACGGACACCATGCAAGCGGCATCCTGTACAGACTGCACATGTGTATGGGCAGCATCTGTATGGGCTGCCACTCTCATGTGCCACTTGCACGCGGCGTCCATATTGGCTGCTGCTTGCACGGCGACTGTACAGGCTGCTGCACAAGCAGCATCCCGTACAGAGTGCGCACGTGCGGCAGCCCATATGGACACCCGTACAGATGGCACGTGAGAGTGGCAGCCCATACAGATGCTGTGCAAGCAGCGCCCATATGGACTGTGCGCGCCCTTGGCCACTCTACAGCTGGGGGGAGGCAGGGGCCATCTTGTCACCCGCCCCTCCCGCCCCCCCTTCCTATGTCCCTGGTTCACAGACCATGCATGAATTCTGGGGCTGATTCTCTGCTGCTGGAGAATCGGAAGCGTATACACTCTTGGCTTATCCACTTTCCATATTTAAACATGCTCAACCACCCTTGAAAAGAGAATCCGCAGCACTTCATCAAACTACAATTCCCAGGATGCTTTGTGAGAAAGCTAAGTGGTATACAACTTTGTAGCATAAAGTTTCTGACTCAAGTAGACACTTTATGACCAACAGCTGGAGAAAGGGGGTGCCTCTCCTTTGTGAGGCTTGTTTTTGCTGCACTGCCCACAGTCCTGCTTATGTTCTGCACCAGAAGAAACCAGAATCCAGAATCTGTAGCAAGGAATTCTCAGTTCAGTGACCAGTATTTACTGGCATCAAATTCCAATTCCTCAGATTTTTCAAAGCTTTTGCAATTTTTCAGGAAGTGAACAAAGAGGGAGGTGTTGGATGTATGATCAGAACAGCAAGAAATTTAAGTCACAGAAGGGGAGAACCCAAAGCATTAAATGGGCAGTTCATACATATCCAGCAATGTGATGCAGCCAACGAATACCCCATTGCTCCTGATAATATGTAAAGGAAGCTTATCACGCGGGACGTAGTTGTAAGAAAAACAGCCACGTTGACAGCCCCATCCATGCAAACTGCTTCCTCCACACTACCAACCCAGGGGCCCAGCAGTGATGCCACTCCTGACACCATTAACAACTTCTGTGTGGCCTACTGGAAGTAGCTTTTTCAGGTAGCAGCCACCATATGTCTCCAATCTCTTCTCCATAGTCATGAGGGATAGATATATATTTCTTCTGTTTGTAAACTGCAGGCTTCCCTTTTCATGATGTCAAAACTTCCACCAGATAGCAATAAACACACGGCCAGGAGCCCCAGCGAAAAAGAAAGAAGCCCTGAAAGAAGAGGGACAGCTTTCTACATTTCCTAATGGAGATGCTCACCTCTGCTTCTAACACTTGCTTCTGTTCTGGTGCTTCCTGATCTTTTAGAACATCCACAGCTTCTTTGTCTTTTTTCTCTTCCTCCACAGGTACATCTGTGGTGGTGGAGCTCTCCACTCTCTGCTCCGGACGAGGAGGAAGCTGTCGTTTCAGCTGAAGCACCTGCAAAAAGGTTGCAAGTGAAATTCTCCTTCTGAGATATCGCCCTGCGCCAGAAGAGAGGTGGAGGGCAGGGGAGCAGAGGGAGAAAAAGTCCCCACCACCACCAGTCACACCAAAGGTTATTTCTGCCAGTACCTCTAATCCAAACAGGCCAACCAGGTCTTCTTGGCTGATTAAAGTGGTGGGAGTGGTCTTCATCCCAGACAGGAGGAGGTTGCAGGTTTCAATCCAATCCAAGCACTCTGTCTGGAAAAAGAGAGAGCGAAAGAAGCAACCAATCACCAAAAGGGAAATACAGTGGTACCTCGGGTTACAGACGCTTCAGGTTACAGATGCTTCAGGTTACAGACTCCGCTAACCCAGAAATAGTACCTCGGGTTAAGAACTTTGCTTCAGGATGAGAACAGAAATTGTGCAGCAGCGGCAGCGGGAGGCCCCATTAGCTAAAGTGGTGCTTCAGGTTAAGAACAGTTTCAGCTTAAGAACGGATCTCCAGAACGAATTAAGTTCCTAACCCGAGGTACCACTGTAAAAACAGTTGCCCTGTGGTGCTCTTCCAGAGGGCTCAAACAGAGTTGCTTATGTTGAACTATGCTTAGAGGAATCACTTCTAAACTTCTGAAGTTGTACAGTGTTTTGCTTAGCATATGGCTCTCCATTTCAGTTCCCAACCCAAATGGGCAGTAGGTGGAGCTGGACTTTGTAGGGGGCCAAGGATTTTTGAGAGGTCCACCATTCATCCCAGCCATTATCTTCCCTGCAAATGCATACCGTGACCTGTCATTCACACCTGTACTTGGACTCTTCGTCATCATCGATAGGTCCATGTATTTGCTGCCTAGGGAGTAACAGACTTTGGGTTGGAAAACCCTTGCCCTAATTGCAGGTGTGCTGTGGTTGCTTGTGTTTGTGTAACACCCACCAGTGAAAAACACTATTTCTTACATTCTCAGTGGTACTGTTGTCATAAATGGAGATTATGAGGGATGACTATTAAAGGCCCGCTAAAACCTGAAGTCCCATTGGGCCAATGCCCTGCCCCTACCGCTATCACTATGCAACATCTCCTCCAGAGAGCCCCAGCCTTCCAAAATCCCAATATCCCACCCAGGAATTCAGTCTTTGTGAATTCTGACATGAACTGCACATCTATCAGACCGATTTGATTACTAGAACCAATTTATTTGTTATATTTGTTTCCTGCCTTTCCACCAAATGAGGCTGGCTTTCACACAATAGAGTTCAATGCGACTTACCTCTGAGTAGACATAGTTAGGAGTCTAGCCTGTGCTCTTAAGACTCATTCCAACTTCCTTTTTGTTTGGAACCAGCTATTTCTCATATCACAGGGCTTATGAATTTGCTGCCCTGAACTCCTTTGGGAGGAAGGGCAGGATATAAATTCAATAAATAAATAATCCCATCTAGAACCCCCTTGCCTGAGAGCAAGCCTCATTGAACTCAATAGGACTTACTTCTGATAAGACAGGATTAGGCCTGCTCTGTTAGGCTTCTAATGTCAACGTGGACACACTTCAATTCCCATGCAATAGTAGCAGCAGATTGTATAAACACACAATATTGCGCAAAAAAAGTTTGCACACTGCAGAAGACATGACTGGCAGGGATTAAAAGGCTTGGAGAAACTCCAGGTTATGGGAACTGTTTCATTAAGAAACAGTAGGTGCCTTGCGGAAGTGAAGTTGCAATTGCCTCACAGAGATTTACAGGGTAATCTCATGCATGCTTATACAAAAGCAAATTCCACTGGGTTCAAAGGAGCTTGCACGCGAGGAAGGTAATCAAGTTTCTGTAATGTTATTACGTAACGTTCACAGCTTTGGAAAAAATCAACAGTGGTGTCAGTCAATGCTGCTTTCATTCACATGAAGTGAACCTGGTCCTGAAAATGAGAGAAGATGTGAAGAGCAACAATTTTTGCACCTGTTTCTGTTTCCATCAGAATCCTCCAACATCCCTAGTGATGTCACAAAAGCGACATGGGCCAAAGAGAGACACGATTGTCCCAACCCAACTTGAGACTTTCCGAACAACCCAGCCTCAGCCTACCTTCCCACTCAGCCTGAAGTGGCCCAGACCTTACTGCATGCCTTCAAACAGCCCACACTTCTCTTTTCCAATCTATTTCACAAAAATGCTTCCCAGAAACATGAGACTCATATCCTCCCTTGCTGATGGCTGCCATAATTGACACTACCACAAATTTTCAGCCTTTTCTTCCTCCTGCCTAGGGAGGAACATGAAATATTGGGGGTACCTTCCATGCGCCGTCATGATTTCTGTGACACTACTGGGCTCAACTGCAGATTTTTTCTCCTCCTCTCCAACTAGGCACCCCCTTAACAGCACCAGCCCAGTCTGGATATTGGAACTTCCTGAACAAGGGTCACCACAGCCCGGATCAGCAGTGTTAACAGAGTTCAAATTTCACAATGCGTAAGAAAAACCACTTAACTGAAAACTGGCTGGGCTTTAAAAAGTACGCACGGCATTGTCCGTGGGCAACTGTGAGCAAGCCATCTTTAAAAGTAGGCAAAAGGTACACAATGTACCAAGATTTACGGAAATTTTGATGGCAGCTTGTTAACCGCAAATGTAGAACCCTCTGGCTTTTGTGTGGCTGGAATGATGCCTACTCTGCAAAAGTTAAGAGTCACAAGAATCCCACTTGTCCTCTTTCGCCTGCGGCCCCATCCACCCCGGCATGCGGACCCTGGAAAGCTGCCCACAAGAGAATGTGAAAAATGTTTCCCATTGCTTACATGCAGACATGGGGACCGCAGAACTATGCGTGCAGGGAGCCAGGCCCAGAAGCAGCACTTGGCACAGTGGGGCCATGGGCTTGAGAAGACCCGTCAAAGCGGCTGATCCTCTCCTTTCTGTTTGCTTAGTGTTTCCTTTTTGGTCCAGTGCTCAACAAAGAAGTGACAGGCTGAAGCTGCTGAGAGAGACAATGACATCTTTATCACCCCAGAATGCCTCGGGGTTCTGATGTCGTGCCCAGGGGTATTCTGGGAGAATAAAAATGGTGGCGGCTGAAGCCACATTACACAGCAACTCTCTTGTTATCGCTGGACTGGCTGCCATCCGACATCCCCCTCTGACCTAGAAAGCTCACCAGAGGCTGCGAATGAAGGACAGCCTTAAGCCCCACACTGAGAAGTGCCCAGCAGCTGAAGTCATCTCCATTGCTCCAGAGAGCCTTTGCGCACTGTGCTGAGGCTTGAAGGCATTCCAGGGTAATAAATAAGGCAGTGTCATGGAAAAAATACTTAATTTTGAACAGCAGCTGATAAATTCACATCATCACCATAATCAATACAGCAGCGGCAGGAACAGCAACAAAGACCATCTCAGGGTTTGAAATATTGTGAAGGCTTTAGGACAAGTAGAGTGACCCAATCGAGGAACTATTTCACTTATTCAATGACCAACTTCAAAACCAAAAACAGTAGGATGGATTTGGACAGTGAGGCACAAAAGGCAAGAGACCACATTTGGTCTTGCTTACCTTGATCCTCTCTAACTGTTGCAATTCATGTTCTGCATCTGGTTGAAGAGTTACCATCTTCTGGCGTGTTATCGTTGCTACCATCTCCTTGCAACAGCTGAGGAAATACATGATGTCAGCAATAGGTTACGTCACAGCAATGCCACTTTAATATGAGAAAGCCAGTTTCGTCACGTTCCTTCTGTCATGAGGACCATTTACATTTGAAGTTTACAAATGAGAAAAGTGGGGCAACTAACTGTAGGCAAGGGGGGGGGGGGCTAATATTTGAAAGCCAGGAATTACTTGTTTCAAATCTTATCTCTGTGAATTCTCTAGGAAGCCCTGAAAAATGTCAACCCATTATCTCAGCCTCCGTCCCCATTCTGCCTTCTGAAATATGAGAATGATAACACTAATCCTAACTAATAGCATTGATCAGGATTACTGAGAGAATGTATGCATGGAGCACTCTGTCTGAAGTGCCCAGTGCCATTCTTACTGACATCATTATATGCTCAGTATAATTATAATTACAGTGGTGCCCCGCAAGACGAATGCCTCGCAAGACGAAAAACTCGCTAGACGATAGGGTTTTGCGTTTTTTGAGTCGTTCCGCAAGACGAATTTCCCTATGGGCTTGCTTCGCAAGATGAAACGTCTTGCGAGTTCTTGCGAGTTTGTTTCCTTTTTCTTAAAGCCGCTAAGCCGTTAATAGCCACTAAGCCGCTAAGCCGTTAATAGCCGCTAAGCCGCTAATAGCCGCTAAGCCGCTAATAGCCGTGCTTCGCAAGACGAACAAACCGCAAGACGAAGAGACTCGCGGAACGGATTAATTTCGTCTTGCGAGGCACCACTGTATAGTGATAATAATCATTTCATTGAGGACACAAAATCTTTCATTTTCTAAGCAAGCTTTTCTGATGAGCATTATTCTAGCAAATTAGACCAGGAACAACTTTACCTGCTTCCCTCTCTGCTGACTCATATCTAGAGAGATGGAATGGTATCTGTTTGCTGCCTGCAATCCTGGTTTTGGCTTTGTTGCCTAGATTTCTGGGAGAGTCCCCAGAAGGCTTGCTTAATAACCCAGATGAATTTTAGTATTTATAGAATATTTTCAGAGTGTATGAAAAGCTTCACATACATTATCTTATGGCAATCCTTACAGCAACTAGATAGGTCAATATTATTGTGTCTAATCTTGCAAGGGAGGGCTGAGCTTGCCTAATGATACCCCGTTCATCACAACTGCAAGAGTCAAAACATCTCCTAGGCAACACCAGCACAATAATAATAATGATAATAATAATAGGTAAAGGTAAAGGGACCCCTGACCATTAGGTCCAGTCGCGGACGACTCTGGGGTTGCGGCACTCATCTCACTTTATTGGCCGAGGGAGCCGGTGTACAGCTTCCGGGTCATGTGGCCAGCATGACTAAGCCGCTTCTGGCAAACCAGAGCAGTGCACAGAAACGCCGTTTACCTTCCCACCAGAGTGGTACCTACTTATCTACTTGCACTTGATGTGATTTTGAACTGCTAGGTTGGCAGGAGAAGGAACCGAGCAACGGGAGCTCACCTCGTCACGGGGATTCGAACCGCCGACCTTCTGATCGGCAAGTCCTAGGCTCTGTGGTTTAACTCACAGTGCCACCCGTGTCCCTTTTAATAATAATAATAATAATAATAAATGATAATAATAATAATTTATTATTTGTACCCCACCCATCTGGCTGCGTCTCCTCAGCCACTCTGGGCGGCTTCCAACAAAGATTAAAAATACATTAAAATGTCACACATTAATAACTTCCCTGAACAGGGCTGCCTTCAGGTGTCTTCGAAATGTCAGGTAGTCGTTTATCTCTTTGACATCTGAAGGGAGGGCATTCCACAGGGCGGGTGCCACTAGCAAGAAGGCCCTCTGCCTGGTTCCCTGTAGAACCAGGTGGAACAGGTGGGGCTGAGGCACTAAAACAAACCAGGCCACAAAAACCTCCTTCAGTATTTGGCCATGTCATGATCTACATCTATACCACATATAAATAAAAATGTGCGTTCATCCTCCAGCAACCTTGTGAGGGAAACATTACTGTTCACTTACTGTGTGGGTAGCTGAGACAGAGATATCACTAGATGTGCCCTATCATGGTGCTCTCTGTCATTGCCACACAGCTTTTCTGTCATGGCATGGGCTTCCTTCCCGCCTGGTGGGGTGACTTTATGAAGCAGATGAGATTCAGTGGGATCAGCAATACCTGACTATGTAGCAGGAGAATGTGCTCAGCTTTGCAGCCAGGCCTGTGGCTTCTCCTTCCAGCTTGAAAATGTTCAGCAGCTTCCTTTCCGCCTGCCTTGCCGCTTCTGCATCAGTCAAGGGGAGGGTATCACGAGAGATGTGGTCTGGAGCCATGTGGATGAGCAGGTTGACCATCCACTTGCTCAGAGCATTGTGGAAGTCGTTCAGCTGTAGGAAGTTTAGAGCAAGGTGGATTCAAGCTATACCACAAAGTCACAGCATGAACACTAGGGCTAAAATCCTAGGTCTGCTTGCACAGGAACAAGTCCCAGGGACTTACTTCTTTTCTCTGTACATCTGTACACATGTACAAGACAGACATCATATAGGAAGAAGAAAGGGGGAGCTTTTCAGATCCAAGACCTATCCTTAGCCTGCAACAAGACCCACTTTTTATGTTGTTGTTTTTTAGCTTTGCTATAGAAATCTACATCTCTCCAATTCTGCATCAGCTGCAAACTGACCATTTCAACTGCTCTCAGTACAGACACGCAGCAGAACTGCTGGCCTTCAAAAAAGGCTGCCTCTTCTCTCTCTGCCTGACTTACTTCTTTGGGATTGGCTGCTTCTAATCAAGACACACGCTCGGAAGAGTGACACATGCAGAAACACAAGGTGGGCCTCCTCTGAGCAAAGGTAATTATTACGTTACACATAAAAAAGCTTACATTTAGAGGGTTTTAAGAGTGAAGTTTGCCCTCCATTTTAGTTTGAAACAAGTGTGCCTCTGCTGTTAGAAGTTGGAAAAACACCAGGACACCTACTTCATGGCTGAGCTGATCATTTTCTTTCTCGGAACCACTAGTGGTTGTCAGGATCCACTGCTGAATCTTCTTGAACACATCCTCAGGTATCAACCTTAAAGGAAACAATTCAGTCAACAACAATAACAACATCATAACCAATTAGATCAGGACCAGACACTACCTTAGACTCTTAACTTCCAAAATCATTATTAAAATGGGCTCAAAGAACCCCCAAATTCTGAGCTGAGAATAAAATTCCACACACTGGTCAAGCTGAAAGTATAATTTCAATTTCAAAGGATGCAACACTGATCTGGCAAGGGCTGCTGAACGCTCTTCCTCATAACGGTCTTCTCGGAATCACATCTTCCAGACTCTTTTGCATTCATGAGAGAAAAGACATGGAGCTCTTCTATATTTTCTTTCATGGTAAGAAAACAAGAGATGAGCCAAGATTACAGGGGAAATCATTTTTGGCAATGACAATACTTGTCTTCACCAGTTGCCATCTGTCTGACTGGTTCAATATTATGGGGATTGATGACAATTTTTTTGCTGGACCCCAGCAATCCAAAGACGCCTTGTTGCTCTCTCCCGTACAAGCCAAGACATGGACAAAGGACTTTTAAAATTGCATGGCGTAACATAGGTTTTTGCTGTGCCTCCCTGTCTATTTGTCCTATTGACTGCTCTTGAGGGCCCTTGACATATGCAAGAGAATGAGGTGGGAATGAGGTGGTGGAGAGCTGAGAGATGGAGTGGGGCATTTCCATCTGAGCCTAGCAGAAATTTGACACTGCATAAAAACGAATCCTCTTGCAAACAGAAAGCAAAGGTGTCGGGGACAGAGGTTCTTGCATGTGTCCACCAGACTTGTGACACAGCCAAAGCAGGAGGGTGTGTTGGGGCAGAGCTGTGGCAGGGTAGGGCAGATCGGCAGTGAGGGCAGGGCTGAGCAGCTGGACCAATTCCCCTCCAGGTAAGGTGTAGCAATGGCATCAGGAGGGAGGCTCCACACAGCTGACCCATACTGATCCATTACTGAGCCAAAGGGCTCTTTAGTCCAAGCCTCAGTGTGACCAGCAGCAAAGGCTCCTTCAGATTACCAGCAGAGCTGCAAGGAAAGGGAGAGCTCCATCTACCCCCCTCTCACTGTTCATGCCGGAGGGAGGGGTTAAAGAGCCCCTGCCAGCTTTTTGATTGGGGCAGGAAGAGGTCAGTGGTGAGTGCCAATATTGCTGCACTTTAAACTCTTGCTGAATTCAAAATTCTGTTAAAATTATTAGTTAACAGTTATTCAAATGTGTCTCCACCCAACCATCTGATCTCAACTGATGACTCAGAAGTGAAGGGCTCTTTCATCTGAAAGTTTCTATTAAAAGATTGTTATCTGTCCAGATACAAGTGCTCTACAGAAGCAAAGCAAACAGCTTTGAAAATCATCTTATCTTACAAGCTATGAAATGCTCTAAGCCTTCGGTCCTCTACAGTGTCGCCGGAACCAATGAAGCTCAAGAGATCGTCTATCTGGGCTATCCATTCAGAAACTGTCTGGAAAAATTTTATCCACTCCGTTTCATGCATAGAACCCTTTTGCTGGTTGGCAAGCAGCTTGAAGCTCCAGTCTTCCAAGCTGTTGATCAAAGACGTTAAAATTCTAGCAGATCCTGGAGAGAACATAAAAATGTAAAATAACAAGAAATGATGTAGGAAGGCAATTCGAGTTAAACATAAACCTAAGAGGTGGAAACACCATGCTAAGGCAACGGTTTCGCCAGTGCAAGCAAGCGTTTCTGCTTGCCCCACAGAACGATGCTGTTATACAAATCTACGGTGCAACCACAGTTGGAGTACAGTTTACAGTTCTGGTTGGCTCATCTTAAAAAGGAAAAGGATCAGAAAAAGGTGGGCAAAATGATCGAAGGGATAGAATGCAGCCCTACGAAGAAAGGCTGCAGCCTTTGGAACCTTTTAGTTTAGAGCAGGCACCCCCAAACTCGGCCCTCCAGATGTTTTGGGACTACAACTCCCATCATCCCTAGCTAACAGGACCAGTGGTCAGGGATGATGGGAACTGTAGTCCCAAAACTACTGGAGGGCCGAGTTTGGGGATGCCTGGTTTAGAGAAACGCCGAGTGAGAAGCAACATGATAGAAGTTTATAAAACGATGCGTGGCATCGAGAAAATGGAGAGAGGAAGTTTTTTCTCCCTCTCTCTCTTGTAACTTTAGAACTTGCGGCCATTCAATGAAACTGAACGTTGGAAGATTTGGGACAGGCAAAAGGAAGGACTTATTCAAACAGTGCACAAACTATGGAACTTGCTCCCCAGGAGGCAGTGATGGAGGGCTATCAGTGGCTACCAGCCGTGAAGACTATGCTCTACCTCCACGTTGGAGGCAGCAATTTTTCCAAATACCAGTTGCCGGGAACCACAGAACGGGAGAGGTGCCCTTGTGCTCATGCTCTGCTTGTTTCCCATGGGCATCGGTTGGCCACTGTGAGAGCAGGATGCTGTACTAGGTGGGCGATTGGCCTGATCCAGCACGCTCTTCTTATGTTCTTATGAATCGTATCAGGAAAAGGTTCTTAATTTCCTTTGCCAGAGGTGCTCCAGAAAATCTTTTTGGGAAAACCCAGCTGTTTCTCACCGTTATCTCCGCAAATCCTTATACGGTACTGCTCACAGAGAAGAGTGGACTGCTTGTTGATTCTCTCCAGCATTTTCAACTCAACAGGCATCCTTCCCTTGAGAGTCTTGTGACGCCCATGCACAACAAGTCCCAGGTCCACCCATTGCTTCTGTAGATTAGTAGTCACCGTGAGGGGCTCTTGTCTCAGAAGGAGGATTTCTCCACCAAACTGCGCCAACTCCTCATTCAACATCTAGCAGGAGAAGGAACAAATGCCATAATTTCCTGAAACCTTTCTCAGGGACTGTATGCTCAGTTCAAGTCCACGCAACAAGGTGAGCTCCTATTGCTCTGTCCCAGCTCCTGCCAACCTAGCAGTCTGAAAGCACACCAGTGCAAGTAGATAAATAGGTACTGCTGTGGCAGGAAGCTAAATGACATTTCTGTGCACTCTGGCACTCGTCACGGTGTCCCGTTGCACCAGAAGCAGTTTAGTCATGTTGGCCACATGACCCGGAAAGCCTAACAATTTTAGGACCAAACAAGATGTGAAATCGTGGGCACTGGAAGGGTACCACTGTTTATTTATTTATAACTTACAGAAAGTCAACCCTTGCTCCTTCTGGAGGCTCCAAATTTGATTGAAGTAATGAGTGATGTGGGGATACTCAACCTTTTCCCCGTGAGCAATTTGCCTGGTAAGACTTGCTCTGCCCTCCCCTATGCTGCTTTTCTCCACACAGAAGAAAAAAGATAACACATAACTTGTGTCCTTTCACACAAACTGGAGAGGAGTGAAGCAGCAGAGGTAATTTTGGTGAAAACACACACACACATAAACAAATCCGAGGAGAAGCATGAAATTCAACATGAAGACTGCTGCTTTCCTTGAATTCAGAGCCCTGCCCTACAGCTGCAGTAAGCAGAGGAATTTCACACTCTTCCTATGCCATATCAAGCTTGCCCTTTACTGGCTGCAGTGATAATATGAGTCAATGAATGCATTGATAAACATTAGCAGAAGCAGTCCTAATTAGGGACTGAATGGCCGCACAAGCCACTTTTAGCTTCCTAAGGCAGAAAAACATTTAAGGACAATAAATAAAGTGATGCATGATCGGCTGCCTACAAACAAGCATGTTACCTGCAGGGAAGACATCTAAATACCCAATACATAATCATATTTAATACTGTGTTCGTTGTGATTGGTACTGGAAACCCCTTACCTTTTCCCAGACCTTCAGATCCACAAGGATTTGATCCAATAAAGAGGCTCCTTTTGCAAAAGTGTAAGTTCCTTTTCCACTGGGAAGTCAAAGAGAGGAGGAGGGAATTATATAGCAAAAAAAAAACACACACTCTTGTCCAGGGTGTCTAAAATCGGAATAAACTCCTGCTGTGTGCATACCTTGCTTGAGACACAAAGAAAGAAACTGAAGCACCTTCAAGAGCCTATTGTTTGGAACTTACTCTGAATGGGTTTATCATTGTGGCTTTGCTTGATTCATCGATGCCACAAAGGGTCACCATCCCTAGTTTAATGCATTGCTTGGTCAGTCTAGGGATCTGACAAATGAACTTTAATATTCATTTATGGCCTTTGCAATGCAGTACCTATCAGCAATTAGGAGAGCACAAGAAATAGTTCAGAGAGAGCTTTCCAGTTTGAATTTAGGGAGAAGCAACTTGACCATGAAGCAACTTGTGTGAATATATTCTCTGAGAAATACAGGCAGGTTTGGTGGATTCGCTGCCTGCTGCACGGTTATCTGTTTGCTTCAAACAGGTTTTGCTTCTATAACTGTAAATAAACCAAGTATTTCAAAGATAGCTAAGGAGTAACCCTTGCACAAATTTCAGGATTGACAAGATAGGTCAGCTGTATGTGAAATCAGTGTTAGCTCAGTGCTGATGGCAACCTGATGTTTAAATCAAGTACACATAGTGGCACCCTTAAAAAATTAACCTCCTTTTCTTTTTAAGGAATCAGAGGAAGCTGAGCTGATAAAAAGACAGTTGGAAAAATATATGTTAGCAAAGCTATATTCGACGGATGAAAGTACATTATGTTTGACATGACTGAGAATCGTGGACTCAGGGACAAAGAATTATGAAGCGTTAAAATCGAGATGTGGAAAATATGGAAACAACGAGGAGAAGCAGGACTAAGATGTGGAGATATGCTTCAGAGATCCAGACCATGTGGAGCTCTGAAAAATTAATACATATAATTTGGACCATAATTTGGTCTTTTTTATTTTAGTTTTTTATTTTAATTGGAGTAATATGATTGGATATATTAAATGGATGTTTTTAACTGGACAATCAATAAAAATGATTTTAAAAAATTTAAAAAAATGATCTTTGACCATGTACTGCTCCAGTGAATGTGGAAGGCAGCACCGAGGCCCCCCAATAATAAAGGATCATTCCTTGAGACTCACAGAACATGATTCTGGAAGTAACTGAGCCAACCAGCCAAACCATTCTGAATACTCCTAGCCCTGTCCCTACTGGTTTCTTCGATTTGTTCCAGTTCTGTGGCAATTTGGCTCACGCGTTCCCGAAACTCCTGTGTCAGCTCCTGCAGAGTGGAAAGATCAGTCGCATCCTGAAAGAATCACAAGAGAAAAATGGGATTGGGGGGTAGAGAAAGAATCCATAAGAAAAATAGATTTTAAAAAAGCCATAAAGATCAAAATAATCATAAAAGTCTGTCTACAGCAGACATCTAAATTGCTAAGCAAATAATACTATGCATATTTCCACAGTAAGGTGGAAGACCCCTGACCATTAGGTCCAGTCGTGGTCGACTCTGGGTTTGCAGTGCTCATCTTGCTTTATTGGCCAAGGGAGCCGGCGTACAGCTTCCGGGTCATGTGGCCAGCATGACTAAGCCGCTTCTGGCGAACCAGAGCAGCGCACGGAAACGCTGTCTACCTTCCCACCGGAGCGGTCCCTATTTATCTACTTGCACTTTGACGTGCTTTCGAACTGCTAGGTTGGCAGGAGCAGGGACCGAGCAACAGGAGCTCACCCTGTCGCAGGGATTCGAACAGCTGACCTTCTGATCGGCAAGTCCTAGGCTCTGTGGTTTAACCCACAGCGCCACCAGCATCTCTTATTTCCACAGTACACACAGCTAAAATCTTACAAGTGCAACACTGGCATTCAAACATGCATTGCTGGACATATTTAGACTGGGACATAGACTTTTAATCATATGAAGCACTAGACACACTGCTGCCAGTCAACACTACCAGCTTTTTAGCCATTTTGCCAGCCTGGGCCCAACTAACATGGAGTGTCATAAAACTGTTCTAAATATACAGTCGTCCCCTGCTCCCTGCCCCACTTCTCTATGAGTACTCGAGCAGAGATGTAATCCAGAAAAACAGACTGTGTAATGGAGACACATATGCCCAGAAACAATATTGTTGCTGTTGTTGTATTTGTATGCCGCCCTTCATTCAAAGATCACAGAGCAGAAAAATACAACACGAGAACACAAACTACATTGGAAAACAAAAGCAAATCAATAATCCCCCCTCCCACAAACACATTTTAAGGGCCATAAAATGTTTAATCAGCCAAAAGCCTGGTTATGGAGAAACATTTTCAGCTGGTGCCTCCCTGGGGAGAGCATTCCACAAATGGGGAGCCACCACAGAGAAGGCCTGTTCTCATATTGCCACACTCCAAGCCTCTCATGGAGGAGCCACATGAAGAAGGGCCTCAGATTATGATCAGGCCGGTTCATATAGGAAGAGGCAGTCTGTGAAGTATTGTGGTCCTGACCATTTAAGGCAGGGGTCCCCAAACTAAGGCCCAAGGGACTCGTTTTATCCGGCTCGCAGCGACCCCCACTGCCGCAGACCGCTCTTACTGGTGCTGCGTTGTGTGGCTGCCCACGTTCGGGTCAGAGGAGCACAAGAAATAGCTTGTGTGCATGCGCAAGCGTTATTCGTGCATGCGCAAGCATTATTTCCGGTGCACATCCGGGTCGGAGGAGGCCCGTGCACGTGCGCACAAGCTATTTCCGGTGCTCCTCCAACCTGGAAGTGCGCTGAAATAGCGTGTGCACACGTGTATGGGCACGCGCTCCCCCACCCTCCGGCCCGCCACGTGATCGGCGCTGGAGACACCGGCCTGAGGCATGGTAAGTTTGCTGACCCCTGATTTAAGGCTTTATAGGTCAAAACTAGCACTCTGAATTGGGTCCAGAGACTAATGGGCAGCCAATGCAGTCACGCCAGGATCGGTATAGTATGCTCAAACCATCTTGCCCCGGTGAGCAACCTGTCCACTAAATTTAGCACCAGCTGAGGTTCCTGAACTGTCTTCAGAGGCAGCCCTATGTGTAACACATTGCAGTAATCTAACCTAGAGGTTGACAAAGCACAGGTGACAGAGCATAGGCTATCCTTGTCTAGATAGGGGCACGGCTGAGTCAGCAGCTGAAGCTGATAGAAAGTACTCGAGCCTCAAGTGACAGCAAAGGATCCAGGAGTACCAGCAAGCCACCTTTCACACACAGCCATTCTGGAACAAACGAACAAAACTAGCTGACATCCCTTTCCCAGTTAGGTGCTCTTAAGCAATTCTACCTGTGATGCCAACATCATAATGAAATGCCTCATGCCTTTGACCCAAGCCTTTTCACTGTCATACATTCTGCGAGCCAAGATCAGCTTGTTCTTTTCAATTACCTGGAATGGAACGTAAGAGGATTAAAGGGATGGAGCGTGCCCAATTAAGTAGGCACAGCACAGCTTAGACGTTTGAGGTGTTTCGTCAACAAAGCTGTGAAACTAAATTAAAAGCTGTTAATCGGTTCTCAGTTAATCTGAGCAGCATGTTTTAAGTGTTAAAAAACAACAACCACAGGTGGCAAATGTCCTCTTTGCGGCATTCTTCCTTCTTATAGAAGAAGGGATATTTCTTCTAACCTGACACCCGATACAACTCATGCATGCATCACAACCCAGCACTTGTGAGTGGCAGACACCCTCTTAGAAGAGCGCTTCTCTTTGGAGAGAAGATGGGGAATGTCTTTTCAAGAGGACGCCTACTGGCATCACATGATAACATTGAGACAGCTGTTCAGTAGTCTCCTTGTTTCGCAAAAAGACCTAAGGTGTGTTCCCTCAATACAGCTTTCTTCATCAAATGACACTCAAGATTACAACATGGAGGAGGAGGGAATTGTGAATTTCACTGGCCAGGAAGGTGCATTGCAACAGCAGTAGAAGAGGGGCAAAACCATCACCATTCTCTTCCCCACCCACCACAAAAATAAGAAGCAGTTTGCACTCTGCAAATTTGTACTTTCTAATTAGTTTGAAATTAAACTTAGTGCATTGTGCTATGCACCACATATGCACAGGGATGTTTTGAGTTCTGGTGGATGCCTACAATACCAAGGTACCAAAATATATTCCCCTTCCAGTGAAGATCCATTTCCAGAATTACAACTAACTATTTCAACACAATATTTATGTTTTTAAGGAGAATAATGGCTGGTTAATGCTCTCAAACAACAACAACTGCTGTGTTACATTCATATGGAAATCTTCCCATCAATTAAAATTAATACAAACAAACAACTTTAAGGCACAATCCCTTAATCCTTGAGTTTTTCAGGATTTGATGGAAGGCCCCTATACTAGCGTATGTTGAGATATGCCCACATTCTGCCAAAATGGGACAGTGGCATGTCTCGGAAGGAGTGGGACTATGTCAAACTCTGAAACTCCTTCAGATGTTGTTCTTGGCCCCTACTCCAAAGTCACACAATTCAAACCAAAGAAATGGTATTCAGTCATAACACTGCCACTGTTGCGAAGGTCACTGGGTGAGTGGCTGCTTTGTGTTTTGTAATGCTTGTCTTTTCTCCTCATTTTTTGTACTGGGAGTACATAGGATGGCAACTAACTTATGCCAGCATAAGTGGGTCATTGGCTGGAAGGCCCACAAGATTGCTCAACCAGACTTTTTAATTGCGTGACAGAAACTGATGTCACAGAAATTAATGTTCTTCATGCCTTTCACCCCTCTGTTCAAAATGGGATGGTGGGTGTCCAATCCTGGCCTCCAATGAAAAGAGGGCACGTTTGGGGAGTTGTCTGTTGTAGAAGAGGCTGAATCAGTTCAAGCAGGAACTGAGATGAAAGAGCAAACTGACTCTTGTGCATTTTTGAAAATATATTTACTTAGACCTTTTGCAGGCTCCATAGGAGGCAGTGGGCACAGTGGTGCCCGCAGCACCGTGTTGGCGATCCCTGACTTACTTGCCACTGTAGAGATATATTTTAAACTATACAGCTAGCAGAGAATGAAATGCAATGTGCCTATTCTTTGTTGCCCTCTGTAAAATGGAAATAATTTGTTTTAAAGGAGATACTTTTAGTTTAATAAGTGACAAAGCAACAGAAGCAGCCAAAACAATCCAAAGCAGGGGTCGGCAACCTAAGGCCCATGGGCCGGTAGTGGCCCACGAGGCTTGCCTAACCGCCCCATGGCGCCCCCTGCTGCCCCTGCCACCTGCTCTTACTAGACCGACTTCTGGGTTGATGGCGCCTGTGCGCATGTGCACGGGCGCTCCTCTGACCCAGATGTGCGCCGGAAATAGCGTGTGCGCACGCGTGCGGGACGGAGAAACGCCTGTGCGCATGCACACACACACTATTTCTGGCGCACTTCGGGTTGGAGGAGCACTGGAAATAGCGTGTGCACACACACACGGGCGCTCCTCCGTCCCAGAAGAGCGCGTGTGCACACATGCTCTGGCCCAGCCTCCGACGGACGGAGCGTCCACCAGCCCATCCTCCGATTAAGGTTGCCGACCTCTGATCTAAAGGATCTTCTAGCAGAAGCACCGGACATAACAGGGAGAGAATAGCATTTTTAGCAGAAGCAAAAGCACGCAATGCCTCTTTAGCCAGCTACCTTGAGAGCCAACTCATAAGTAGCATTGCTCCACAGCTCTTTTTCTTGGGTTAACTGGTGGATCTGGGCCTCAAGTCTTCTTCTCTGCAATTCATACAGTTCACGATATTCATCCAAAAGGCTGAAAGGGTAATGACACGAGATATAAATATAAAGGCCTTCTACTATTCTCCTACGGCAACCCTTGCTTCCAATCTTATCTGGAACTCACTTTGCATTCATCTCGGAATCCTGGACCGCCTTTGCCAGCTCCTCATAGGCTTTCTCTGCTTCAACAGTGACTCTACGGTCATGTTCTCGGATGGTATTTAGCTCCCTGCATTGAACAGAGCAATACCCTCAGCTGCCTTGTACAATCACAACTTTTATTTGCAAAGTTGAATACAAACACCAGTCAATATCAACACCTTGTCAGTTTTCCTATAGCTTCCTTGAAATGGAATAATTCATCTGTAATGTGTTTGTCCATTACTCTCTGTGCCATCATTTCTCTGTAGAGATTTCTCATCTGTCTTGGAATTCGTTCTAGCAGCTCAACATACCTTTGTCTGTAAGAGAGACGATGTCAGAAAAAGTGAGGCGGGTGGTGGTGGTGGAATAGCCCTGTTTCACTCAAGCATATTTGCTAAGCAATCATTTAAAGAGAGAATCCTTTCTGAAAATAGCTGGGGAACAATAAATATAGAATAAAGCTTTTTGCACACAAGCAGTTAGAACTCTCAATACGCTCAGAATGCTGAAAACAAGTTGACACTACACAGCAAAACTGCCTTATCTGTCCTGACACCCATCAATATTATAACCTCAGGAAATATATTGGTGTATGAGAGGGGTAGCCAACATAATGCCCTCCATATGTCCTTATGGGGAAACTAGCGCTAGTTGAACCCATGCAAAACCAACATTTAAATTCCATTTCCAGCTGACTGCATGCTTCGGCGCTGCAAAAGGGCCCTAGCGCAGAAGTCAGCTATCTTTGTCATCGTGTGGATTGGAATCCTCATGCAGCATTATTAAAATGTAATAATCCCTGAGATATGTGTTAGGGTTTCGTTTCATACTTTGCTAATGTTTGGGCTTGCTTGCTCTTTGGTAAATTAATAGATTATTAATGCATTTATTGAGGTGCATGAGCGACAACTTGAGTCAAACCTCTCTGCACAAGGTGGAAGGCTTTTATATTTAAAAGGTGTCAAAGAAAGATGACAAAGATAGCTGACTTTGCAGTGCTGCAAAATGCTGCAGCTTCATAATTCTTCTTCTGCTATCCATGGAGATGGCACGCAGGGCAACGATGTCCTGCCTCCTGACCCCTGGAATCATATTCAGACACCTCTGCTCTCTCACATTTCACCAGGCATTTCCCGCACACTTTCAAGCACATCTTGAAAGAGGAAATAAAGAATGTGGGATGCAGCGGCGTAGCGTGGGTTGTCAGCACCCGGGGCAAGGCAAGTAATTTGCGCCCCCTAACCCCTAATCTGCCGCCGCTGCCAGCTTCTTCTTGCTGCTGCCTGGGCTGGTCTGGTGTGGTTCTCTCCCACGCTCAGCGCTGCGCTGGGCGGCCGCTGCACTGTCCCTCCCCCAGATAGTCCCTCGCTCTCTCTCCGCACCGCACGCCTGGCACCCACCCCCTCCACAGTGGGCGGCGACCCAGCGGCTCGGATCGGATTCGCACAGCCAGCACTGCAGTGAGAGAGAGTGAGTGAGCCAGGTAGGGGCAGAGAGCTGCGAGTGCGAGCGCGCCCCCCCCCAGATGTTGCGCCCGGTGCGGCCGGCCCCCCCTGCACCCCCCACGCTACGCCACTGGTGGGATGTGACATCACATGGACTAGCAAGTAGTTTTTAAAAAAAACAAATCAAAGGCAACATTCCCAGAAAGCTGACTTCTGTGTCTAGTGCAGTACCACAAGCTGTTTTTTCTCTGCACTTGCATATAATTGCACAGACACTCAAACCTGCAGTGCAGGCCAGAACAATCACATACTCCTCTTCTTGCAGGACCAATTTTAAGGTGTTGAGCTCCTTAGATCGCTGACCTGAGCTTGGAAAGGAGCTCTCCCCGTTCTGCGCAGTCCACACTGACTTGCCGGATGATTTCATGAAACACTATGTTGTAGATGTTCTGTTCCACCTTAAGCACCTCCAGGACATTGTGCATCTCGGGAAAGAGGCAAGAAAGAAGTCGTGATTTTTGTAGAGCTAAGCACAAGCTCCTTGATACTGCCTTTATTGTCATCATTGGGGGTTTTTATTGCTTTTATTTCTAGGCACCCTTGAAAGTATTTTTATTGAAAGGAGGCATATACATTATTTAAATTAACAAATGAATGCCAGTCAGTTAAATGCTTCAGTCATGTTCTTCATTTATCAGGTGGATAATATTTTTAAATCACAAATGTGTTTGCTTGCATATATGTTTGTCCCTTATCTTAAATACTGTATTATTAAAGAATTTACAAAGCAGTGAAAGTGCTAACAAACTTCCCCTGCCATTCTTAAAATGCTATGTCTGCCTTTGCCCTAAATACTAGATTGCATGTTGTACTCCAGTATATTATTTCTCTCCATCAGATAATCTAAGATTACTTCCACTTATTCTTTCAGTTTGACAACACAACAAGAAGCCTCTTAATGGCAACAAAGCACCTGGTAAGTCAGGAAAGAACTATGTCCAAACTCCACAGCAATATTGTGTCATAGTATATGAATCCAGGACAAGGCTAGTGAAGAATCCAGATTCTTCCTTCGTAGCCTGGCTTTAATTTAAGCCATGGCTGCAGAGGAAAAATGCTCCCTTGCAGGTGCAACTTAAATCTAAGCCAGGGATGCAAAGGAAGAATTGGGAGTGTCCTGAGAGTGAACTCCTGCTTCTTTCTTTGCATCAAAAAGTCAGTTCTTTTTGAATGTGGCACCTTTTCCCGTTGTCATGGCAAGGCAATGAAAAAGAGTGCCAAGTGTGGATATTTCACCCCTCCCATTGCAAGAATCTCCTGACAATGTTTTCAGAAAGGAGGGGGCAGAAACTGCTCATGGCTTCTTCCGCTCCAGTCTGAGTGTTATCTGTGTAGAGATAAGATGACTGCTTAAGCAACTGTAACACTCATGCAGTCCAGCAGTCTCCATTAATCTTTAGTTTCTAGTTTATTTTAGTTTGCAGTAGCTGTAAAAGAATAAAAGAATAAAGAAGTTATGCTTCAGAGCCGTCGTTCATGTAGTTCATACTCTGCTGTGCTCCGCTGACTTTGGCACCGAGTTTGGTGCTCACAGCTCAAAGTTGTGAGTCCATTGCACTTAGACCTGTTTCCCTGGAGTGGAAGGTCTCTGGAAGTGCTTTCCCAGCTTGCCTGGCCCAGTCAGGGCTGAAGAGGTTGAGCCCAGTCATTGGCACTGGCTCAAAGGTGAAGCCGACACCAAGTTCGAAAAGCGATGATGACGTTGATGCAAAGGAAGAATCGGTAGCATACTTAAGAATGCACTGCCAATTCCCCTTCCTTTAGCCAGAGCTGCAGCTTGAACTCTCATATATGACGTCAGGTCTAGGGGAGGTGGGCACCGCTTGCCTCAAATGGCTGGGGGACAGCCTCTGAGGTCTGGCAGGCCTAACGAGGCCCATAAACTAGAGGTTCACCAGCAATGATGTACAGTATAACTAGAAGTGGGCAATATCAAGGAGGATGCGATTGAATCAGGATTGGCAGGAATTATTTACCTGTGAAACCCCTGTTACGCCAACATCCTTATTATTTGTTCCAGCCCTTTCCAGCATGGTGTCCATCACCTTCATCAGCTGCAGGACCTCCAGCCTCCCAGACGGCTTCCTAACAAGGCAGCAGCAAAGGGACATGCCTCTGATTTAGAACACCTTCTATAGCATGCGCTACAAAAGCATCTTGATTTAGAGTGTCACTCACATGGATGGGAAAACCCGCAGTCTGTTTTCATCGTCTTCAAGTAGGGTTGTATATTTACTGCAACAGATTAATAATGATGATGTTAACAGCAATAGACTACTGTAGTTGAAAAATCTCTTTGGACTCTAGGATTCAACCATTTATTTTATTTTTATTGTGTAAATTTAAAAATACAGTAGACTAAGAGACGGGCCACTCTGTTGCAGGCAAGTGAATTAATTGAAGAAGTTCTCTGTTACAATGAGACTCACGGTGACATAAAACAACTACAATGAACCTGAGTAAGGAAAAGAGTGGGGCTGGGGAATGGTAATCTGCTATATATTTCTCATGCAGAAATGGGGCCTAAATGAAGGGCTAGGCTAGATGAGATTATGGATCCATGTTTGTCTTTGTTCTTTTCCCACCTTGTGTCATTCAAATTTATTTTCCTTCCAGTCTTAACTCCAGTACAAGAAGTTAATCAGGCTGGGAGAAAAGTGCCAGATCAGAGATGCCCAATGGGCAGAGTGCAACCCTGATTCACACTTTCAAGTCCTAATTCAGATTTCTGGCCTCTGGGCTCTGTTAATCGATCCATAGTAAACAAATCTGCTTGCAGTTTCCCTCGTTCACATCTACGTTTGAGATTTTTTTATTTAAAAAATCTAATTCTGAGACCAACTTCATTATACTGTCTGGCCATCCATGAGGGAGTCAGTTTGGGTGGCATTTTCAGTCCCTGGGTCTCTGTCTGAGAATATATGCAAGTTGAGCATCCCTTAGTTGAAATATGGAAAGTGTTGAACTCGGCAAAACGGTAAAATAGACTTTTTACAGGTTTCCTGCCCAGATGCAGGTGCTTTTGGCCTTGCCACTTCATCCCATTTAGTAGGTGCAGCCAGGAGCAGCTCGACAGGTGGAGTAGAGTTGCAGCACTGGCCTCCTGGCAGCTGAGTCACTGCTGCTCACCAGGACATGGAGGGGCAAGGCAAGGCGGTGGAACCGACCTGGAGCTTCAGCTGGTACACAGGCACCACTGCCTCACCTGTTCCCTCCGAGTAAGCAGTAGCAGGTCCACTGCTGGGAGGCTATTATTAGCCAAGTGAGTCACTCCTGGATGCAACGCAGGAGCAATTAAAAGAAGTGCAGGAACACTCACTCATCATAATACTCCAAGCGCAGGACACCTTTGTTCTTTAGAATATGAAATTCCTCCGGAACAAGACTGTCTGCTATACCTGCTGGCTAAAGACAGAACAGACAGAGAAGGTCTTAAAATATGCTACTATGAGACATAGGGAATCCACATACTCCCAAGAGGATATTTAGAGTTGGGTTTTTATACAGGCACACACACCTCCACTTAATGTGCATCCCACTCACACACGACCGTGTTTATGTGGATCGCCACGAAATAAATATATAGACTTGCTTTCCCTCGCTGGAGGCCTCGGCTTGTTTTACAACTGCCTGCTTGTTTATTTGCCTGCCTGCCTATCTGCATGCCTGCCTTCTGGCTGGGGCAATTATTCAGATTAAGTGCTTAACCATCTTTAAGAAAAACTGTGATTAAGTGCTACAACTGCACAGAACTCTTATGTACAGCCTAGAAATCAGTGGGTAAATGTTTTCTAACAGATTTTTTTTTTCAGCCAAGCAAAATAAATAGGCAAATGCCATCTCAGACTCCTTGTGGCTTTGGGGAGTGAATTTAGCAAGCTTAGAAAACCATGGTACACAAAAATGGTAAAGTCCTCATTTTCAATTCCCACTGCTCATTCCAGATTTAAAATATTATGCTGGGTGGGGAAAAAAAATTCAGAACACTCTAGTCAATGCTCAGCTCAAAGTCCATCTTGTCTCTCAGCATTCTGAAATAATTTGTAAAAGCTGATTCCTGTGTTTAAAGTTATCACAGTTTCTCGATACAGAGTCAGATTCAACTCACAAGTTTAGTTGCAGTGGGTTCCTGCTGCTGCAAATTTGTTGAAGTTTTGTGAGAGACAGGAGTTGGGGGAGGATTCTTTGCCTCTTTCTCAGCAGCGAGGTCATACAGAAAAGAGACATCCCTTAAAAACACAAAGAAAACTATCACTCAGTTATGAAGGCGAAACTGGTCCACTGTGCAGCCGCCACCTCTCTTCTGGTTATCAAGAATTCACTAAGTATCTGATCCAAAGGCAAATCCTTTGCCATTTCAACCCAATAGTGTGTCTACCACTTTCTGCCAGAGTGTTCTGCCTCAAAACCCTTGCTGCAGCTACAATCTTCCCATTTTCCCTGAGTACCCTGATTACGGTTAGCCACCTTCATATAACACAGAATCATAGAATTGTAGAGTTGGAAGAGTGCATGAGTTCTTTCTGATGTAGTCAGAATCTCCATTCTTGTATCTTGAAGCCATTGGTTCAGGTGCTACCCATGTGACAGCCCTTTAGATATTTGAAGATGGCTATCATATCTCCTCTCAGTCTCCTTTCCTCCAGGCTAAACATACCCAACTCCCTCAATTGTTCCTCATAAAGCTTGGCTTCCAGACCCTTAATTATCTCAGTTGCTCTCATCTGCACACATTCCAGCTTGTCAATAGCCTTCTTAAGTTGTAGACACAGTACTCCAGGTGGGATCTGACCAAGGCAGAATAGAATAGAACGCGGGTGGCACTGCGGTCTAAACCACAGAGCCTAGGGCTTGCCGATCAGAAGGTCGGCAGTTCAAATCCCCGCAACATGGTGAGCTCCTGTTGCTCAGTCCCAGCTCCTGTCAACCTAGTAGTTTGAAAGCACGTCAAGGTGCAAGTAGATAAATAGGTACCGCTCCGGCGGAAGGTAAATGGCGTTTCCGTGCGCTGCTCTGGTTTGCCAGAAGCGGCTTAGTCATGCTGGCCACATGACCCGGAAGGACCTTACTTGTTATCCAATAACCCCTGGCTATTACCAATGCTGGCCCAAAACATTTTGCTGCCTGAAATGAACCCCAAAAGGTGTGCCAATCAGATGCTTATGGAAAGACCACATGCAAGTTATGAGTACAGCAGCCCTCTCATGTTATTGTTCCCCGGTGACTGGTATTCAGAGACATGAATGGGGCAGAGAGCCAGATGAAGTGATGGAAGTGGGAGGGGGGAAGCAGACTCTGCAAGTGATCAGTTGAGAACTCTGGCAAGGAGGAGGGAAATCATGGTGGTGGTGGTCTCAAAACGGACAGTGCAATGGAAGAGAGGGGGGAAGTGCACTGCAACCAATCAGTTCAGATCTTTTCCAAGAGCAACAGATTGCTTGATGGGAAGAGGTGGAGAAAGAGAAAGGGGATGACAGAAAAGGAAAGAGAGAAGACCTGCCTGCTTCTTGCCTCTGCTCCCAGCCACTTTTGGTCTACCAACCACCAACATCTACCCTCTAGCGGATTACTCTCAGCGGAAGGCAAACTCCTTCATGGTTCCCCCTATCCCTGAGTTAAAATGGAGCAATGTGTTGACAAGGAGGGTCTTGAAAGGGCTGGTTTTCAAACAGTGGTGGCCACCGCTTTGCCAAGTGCGCCACAAGTTAAACCCAAGTGTGAAACAGAGCCAGATTGCTGAATGCTGAGCAACATATGCAGCCTCCCGTGGACTGGAATGGTTTGGCTCTGTGGGTGCAGGCAGCAGCATGAGGAAACAGGCAGCAGTGCAGACTCTAGGCCAGTCTTCCCCAGCCGGGTGCCCTCCTACCTTCTGGAGTACAACTCCCATCATCCCTGATCACCAGCAGAACTGGCTGGGTCTGGCAGGGGTTGCATCCAACAACATCAGGAGGGTGACAAGTTAGCAAAAGCTGCTCTAAGGTCATGGCTTGGTTCATGGGCATTCCTGCTCATCTCCAAGCACACCATCACCTCTGGTTAGCCACTCTTGTGTAACATACTTAATGGGCATTTCCCTAGCACTCTCCATCACCCTTGCACTGTGGCTCCCAAATCCTAGCACTGCTACTGGTTATTGCAGAGAGGCATGTGACGTGCCAGGGCCCTATTAATTCCATTCTATTACCTTCCAGCTCCTGTGAGGCAAATCGGATGCTCTATCAGATATCGAAACTTGTTTCTGCGTACAGGATGTTGCCAGACCCCATCAGTAGTACGAATGCACCCCTGAAGAGTCAACAGAAAAGACTAGTTCAAGAGGTTCTTCGGGATCAGGTGGTAAGCACAGACTACATCTCCAATACTGATACGCCTAATGACGCATTACACACAAATGCACATAGCAGTGAGACCCTGTCAGCTGTTTCTTCTAAGTCTTAGCTGAAGTCTTTTTATGAGCTGGCGAGAGATGCATGTGAAATATACATCAAAAACAGGAAGGAGAACATGCAAAAGACAGATGCGATAAAGGGATGGGTTCTTTATTTATAGGGACGCGGGTGGCGCTGTGGGTTAAACCACAGAGCCTAGGACTTGCCGATCAGAAGGTCGGCGGTTCAAATCCCCGTGACGGGGTGAGCTCCTGTTGCTCGGTCCCTGCTCCTGCCAACCTAGCAGTTCGAAAGCACGTCCAAGTGCAAGTAGATAAGTAGGTACCGCTCCAGTGGGAAGGTAAACGGCGTTTCCATGCGCTGCTCTGGTTCACCAGAAGCGGCTTAGTCATGCTGGCCACATGACCCGGATACTGAGGACAAATGCCGGCTCCCTCGGCCTATAGAGCGAGATGAGCGCGCAACCCCAGAGTCGGTCACGACTGGACCTAATGGTCAGGGGTCCCTTTACCTTTATCTCTTTATTTATACAACATGCCCAAAGCATGTTTATTTGTTTCTTACTGAACCAATCTCAAAAGTTTCTGTTGCTGAAAGTAGTTTGTGATATGTCTGATAAGCAACAAAAGCTGAAGTACTAAAACCTCCTTAATAAAACTCTAAGTTGCCTGACAGTGCCAGTTCTTTGGCCCAACTAGTCTCTTGCCTCCCCCCCCCCCCCCCATTCAGTGAACTTCAGGTTCTTAACATTTCTCATGCTGCCATGTTCCCAATAACGCTCCCTCTTGCAAAGTGTTGTCCTAAAATACTGGTGTCTATGTGCACCTGGCATAATTCGCAGTCACCAGCAGACATCTATAGCAAGTGGGTTTTGTGGCAAATTTTGTATTTAAAAAGCAAATATTCATAGACTGGAAATGAACTTATGCACCTGAAAGTCTTTTATACTTTTTGTTTTCTTGGGGGGTCTTAAAACACTGGGACAGGGGATTGGGTTGGCAGCAGAGGTCAGTGCAACGAAGATCTCTTCCGGGATGAAATCACGCTGTAAAGATGTGGGAAGAGGCTTTGAACTGTCTAATGCAGCTGACTTGTCTCTTAACTGAGGGAGTTCTAGAAAAAAGAAAGAAACAGCAAGAGTAACTGTTAATATTTGGTGGTGGCAGCAGATTATCTCTACCCCCCCCCCCAAAAAAAACCCTTAAAGCTGACAATTCTATCACACACATTTCATGTTAGTGCTCAAGAATAACATTAAAAATCCATATTTATGCCTAATATAAACTGGCCTTTGAGTAAAATTACAGAAGCCCCTGCTATAACTGTTTAGTAGGAGCATTGCTAAAGGAGGAAAGAAGCAGCAGCAACAGAGAAAATATCCACTTACATACCATGGGCGTAGCCAGGGGGTGCATGGGAGTGCAATTGCACCCTCAATCAAGTAAATAAATAAATATACTTAACTAACTGATCAATGGCATCACAGATAACTCAGTTCTACCTGCCCCCCACATAAAGACTGCCACCCTAAAATAAATCCTGCCTACGCCCATGTTACATTCGCAGAGTTCTTACTTTACCGCAGAGCTTCCCAAACTGTGTGTCGCAACACGTTAGTGTGTCAGTTGAAGTGTGTCATGTGAACAGTCCCCGCGCTCCTCCCGGGGCTGGAAAGGGGTCAATTTAACCTCTGGTTTGCTAGTAAAACTGAATTACTGTGTCATGAAATGGTGCACGTCTAAAAAATGTGTCACCAACATGACTAGTTTGGAAAGCTCTGCTTTACAGGTACACGATACTCAGAATTTTTAAAAGGTGCTTGGAGCACTCAAAGACTCACATGAGAGATACATTGTGATATGCGTTTAATTTCTGTTCTTTGATCAAACTGCAACATCTATGCACTGAAAAGAGCCATGTGGCAGGACTGAGAGGACCCGGGCAAAGTGCTGCCCATGCTACCATAGACCCTCCATTGCCAGTGCACAACTGTCCCCTCTTCTTTGCCACTGTCATCATTCTGCACCCTCCCAACACCACCACAAGTTGCCAGATGCTCTGAGGAAAGGATTCCTTTTTGTTGATTTTCCCCATTTCAAAATGTTGTGCAGTAGATTCTCTGTTCAGCCAAGCATCACCCAAACTGGCCCCAGCCAAGCACGCAGCCTCAGCAGCACACCTGCTGCCAAACTGTCTGTGCTTTTTCGATAAGAAGAAAGGCACCCTTCCCAACGCTGCCTGATAATCTGGCAGGGAATGGTGGAGCAAATGCCAGGGCTGCCCGCTGCCCTCTTGGTTTCCACTCTCCACTCTCCTTGTTGACCAGTCTTCTCTGTGTGTGCCTATAACTTACAACCCATCCAAGTCTTTGTGAAACGATGGATCTACATGCAGAGACAGACCAATAACAGCAAATCCATAGCACAGATATTAATTCACACAAGGTTGGCTTGTTCAGCTAGTAACCACTGGCTCCTAGTTCACATGCAATCATGGTTTTAGTTAAACCATCACACGCAAACACAGCCTGAAAGTACATCACTCTTCTCAATATTTTTTGCCTTCTTGCTCATTCCTACCGAGAAATGCTAAGGTGCGAGTAAGGCAGACCCTTATAAAATCCCAGACTAGCAAATGAAACAGGGGGAGAGAAAATTCACTCAAGATTTACAGAAAAATAATTTGATATGGGACCAGTGGAGACGGAGAGCTTTTCAAGCCTATCATAGGGACATAGGAAGGTGCCTTATACTAAGTCAGATCCAGTGGCCCATCTAGCTGATACTGTTTTCTCAGACTGGCAGCAGCTCTCCAGGATTTCAGGCAGGTGGCATTGCCAGGGAGATGCCAGGGAGTGAGCCTGGGTTCTTCTGCATGCAAGGCAGATGCTCTACCTAGCTACAGCCCTTCCCCAAATTATATCAGTTTTTAATCTGCAAAATTTGTGCGGTTTTTCTCAAGGAAGAAATTTTATTCTAGAAACTCTGTTTTTCCTCAGCACCCATTGTTTTTCTGACTCCACCTCAAGCATTGCATCCAACTGCAGTTTTGTTTTATTTCTGTAAACTGCTTCAATATTTTTAGATGACAGCGTGGTATATAATTTTTGTTATAAAGAAATAGTGATGTGTGGAACATGGTTACCAGACTCTAAAGGTCACTTATTACATAGCACCTTTACCCACACTAACAGTTAGCAACAGATTGGCCTCCCCGATGCCGGCAACATTTTGTGACCATGTGTTTCATTCTAAGTGTTTTTAAATTTTTTAACAAATGAGCACCCTGCCACTAATGAAGAATAGGTTTTTTAAAAAATTATTTTAAAAAGCGTTAAACATAAGTAGCGCTGAACATTCCTGTCTTCAACACCAACTTGGCATTTCATTAATTATGCCCCCACTAAAAGTTCAAAGTTGCTTAATGCCTCCTTTACCAACGCTAAACTATTATAATTTGATTTTTAAGTCTGCAGCAGGGCTGCAGGACAGGATTTTATAGTGATGATGGACTCACCAAGGTTTAGGACTACATACAAAACCAAGGGAAGATAGCCTGAGTTAGACATTTTCTCCTCCAGTTATCTTAATTATTGGAAAGCCACTTCTTTAAATGATAAGCAACCATATGTAAAGAGGCATATTAAAGGATACTTATAGAAGAGGTGGAAGAATTGATATTCCTGCTATAGGCAGTAACAAACAGCAGACACAAGGGATTCAGGTCCAACCACTTCTTCTTAACCTGATGCCCACATGTCCTACTTCCTTGTCTCCAATACACTCCTGAAGGACCTGTTCTCCCCATGCACTCGGATGGCAACAACCACGTACCTTGTTAGGCCTAAAATGTGCTTGAACTGAACCAAATAGAAACGGTCCTACCCCTACAAATATATCACAGTACTTTCAGGAATCCAAACACTGCAGACAGAGGCAGTCAACAAAACTCAACCCTGGCTGCAGCTATTCGTTACTGAACAACCTGCTGCAAGATTTACCATTACTATCCTTGCTGACAGATACTAAGGAAGATGCATCTCTCAGTTTTTTGTTTTCTTGCTTTGAAGTAGATGGCGGCACAGGAGCGAGTCCTTTGTTTGCAGACATGCTGAAATGTTGATTTTGGCTGGCTTGCTCACTGACTCAGATTGTTGGCTGCTGCATATATCTGGAAGGGATATATAACCCACATGGTTGGACTGTATGACCGCAATGGATGTGATTCAATTTCAGATTCGGTTTAAGAAGGTATGCTAGCCTGGGGAAAGGATATCAACTCCAGGAGGCACACACTGTGTTCCTACATTTCTGCTTGCGCTGCAAGCTGCTCCATCTGTGGCCGTTAACCCATTTACAAGGAAGAAGTTGGACTCCTGCAGTAGAGAGTCACTTGCCATCAAGATACACTCCGTTTCAGACCACCTTCTCCCTGTAAAACTGAGTAGAGAGAGGCATGAATACGTCTAAGATCATGTATCTGTTTTGAAATGGTCAGTAGATTTGGGAAAACGGCAAGACGAGGGAGCACTGAAGAATAGGGAATAGTGTGAGGACATTTGGTCGGACTGTTTTGTTTCTTTTTTAGTGCTCTGTGTTTTGCTTTGAGAATACACCCGAGTAGAACCCCCCGAGCCCCGTTTCCCCAGCCCGGGATGGGGAGGTTTTGGGGGCTGCCTCTCCCCTCCTCCCTGGCCAGGGCTGAGCGGAGTCGGGAGTCTGGCCCCCCTGGCCTGCTGCCTTCCGAGGGGCTCTGGATCCGGTCCTGATCCCCCTTCTCCGCTCTCACCTCCGCAGAAGGTTCGTGGCCTCGGGGCTGCCGGAGGCTCAGTCCGCCCGCTGCATGGCGACCCCGCTGTCCTGAGAGGGAAGGGCGCACGTGTGAATGGCCTCCCGGGCAGCTCCCCTTCTCCCTTCCCTCGCCCCCCCCCGCCCCGCCCGGAGCATCTCGGGGGGAGAAGCGGAGGAGAAGCGGCGCCCCCTTTACCTCTCTCCGCGCGCTGCCCGTCGGCGTCTGTTGCCATGGGAACCGCGCGCCTCTGGCAGGCGTCCCTCTCAGCGCCTGACAGGGCAGAGGCCGCTTCCGCCCAGAACTTGCGCCAGGCGCTCCCTGCTTTCATCCCCGCTATCCGCCCGCTTCTCTCCCACGCGCCCCATTTTAGAAAGGTTGTTTTGTTTGTTTTCTTTTAAGGCACCGAGTTAGACGCCTTGACAACGGCGATGGGAGCCGCGAAGGGTCCTTGCCCTAAGAAGCAACGAGCATGCGCGCCAGGAAAGGCCGGTCCGCCGCGCTTGCGCCCAAAGAGAGAGAAGGGAGGGAGGGGCAGTGACGTGTCCGCCTCCCTTCCAGGCCAAGGACATGCGCACAGAGGGAGGGGTCCCTTTTATAGTCACTGAGTCCAAGCAGAGCTGCCAGCTTTTCCCTTTTCTTGCGAGGAATCCTATTGGGAATAAGGGGATTTCCCTTGAAAAAAGGGGGAAGTGGACAGCTATGGTACGAATAGTAGAAACGAATTTAGACAGTGCTTTGTGTCCCCTTGCCGGTCAGCAGACTAGCACACTGAACAGACACACTGCACGTCTCAATGCACACCACAGATGCGCATAGATGATCATGATGATGATAATTTAGATTTGTAGCTGACCCTTCATCCCAAAATCCCAGGGCGGTTCACAGCAGAAAAATACAAAATGAGAATACAAAATACACCATAAAACAAAAACATAGAATGGAGAATACAGTGGTACCTCTGATTACGTACTTAATTCGTTCCGGAGGTCCATTCTTAAGCTGATACTGTTCTTAACCTGACACCACTTTAGCTAATGGGGCCTTCCACTGCTGCCGCGCCGTCGCCACGCAATTTCTGTTCTCATCCTGAAGCAAAAGTTCTTAACCCAAGGTACTATTGAGGCATCTGATCAAGATCTGTATTATGAGGCATCTGATCAAGATCTGCTTTGAGCTTAAAAAATATATTTGTAAATATTTATATCTCTCATGCCAGGGAGAGACCAGCTGAATACTCTGGCAGCTGTTCAAGGGCCCCACTGATTTATAGCAGTATTTCAGGGTTGTAAAAGGAAATTACAGGCTGGGAGCAAAAGGTCACACTGACCATACAAATTACAGAATACAATCAAGCTGCAAAAACACAATTAAGAGCTGGTAAATAGTGAAATTTATTGTTTAACAGAAGACTCGAGCCATATTTTCATAAGGTTAAAGGGTAAATTGAAGAAGTTGCTTTTAGAAACAGCAGCTGGCTAGTGAAAGAGGCGTCTCTCCGAAGCTGCTCTGAAGCTTCAGAGAACTTAGAGAACTTAGCTTTTACTAAGTTCACTTTGAAAAGGCCTTTCCTTCTAAAAATCTATCTATGTTATGTATGAAATATATTGGCTTAAATGTAATTATGCAAAGGATTTAGAAAGTAAGAAATGTTAGATTCTTATGTTAGATTATTATTTCATAGATGGTGTGTGAGAAGGTGAACTCAAGATCTCTTTAAGATAAAAAATTAAAAACCATGCACCATCTGCTTTAGCCATCTGGTTTGCAGTAAATAGGGCAACAGGGGCCAAAGGTTATCTGGTAATTAAGGTGCCTGGTCGAGGTAAATGTAAGATATATGGCTACTTGTCTGCCATTTATGGATAGAAGGAAATATAGCTCTTTGTCTCCCATAAAAGGTAATAGGAAATGGGTGTATCTTTTATGATTGGTTCTAGCAAACAACCAATAGGAATTTCAACCAGGCTGATTGGACAGAGGCAGCCAAAGGAGGAGCAAGGGGGCTGGGCTGAGGAAATATAAGTGCTGGCCATCAGGGCTGGAGTAGGCAGAGCTTTGGTATCCATATACCACTGTGTCTCTCATTTATTTGTCTGACAAATAAATTATTATTTTAATTTCTCTATTGCTGCGTTGAATATTTCATTCCAGCTAAGCGTTAACCACAAGCAGGGTGCTACACTATTTCTGGGTTAGCGGAGTCTGTAACCTGAAGCGTCTGTAACCTGAAGCGTATGTAACCCGAGGTACCACTGTACCACACTTGCAACCAGTTCGTTGTCTAGGTGCAGTACATCAAGGCTGGAATGAATGCAGGCAGACGAGTTTCATGGATAGCAAAATATATTTCAATTTCTGTAGTACAGTATAGATCACATAATCCCTTGCAAGTAACAGAATAGGTCACAACAGACAGTTCGATACATTTTGGAATCGGTTAACAATTCTATATCCCACCATCAACAACCTTCCCTGACCCACAATGTTCTCCATATTACAAAAGATGCAAGTGAGGCTTGGGAAGACCATTTCAGTGTCAGGTACAGTTTGTCCTCTTCTCACCACCATCTGTGCAAGAAAATTTTTTCATTGCTCACTCTGAGAAAGAGGAAAACTACAGCCTTGCAATCCAGCACCTTCCAGGTTAACAGGATGCCTCGTCGCAGAGGTACAAAGGTTACAATCAGTTGTGTAGATCATTCGCAAGAGATTTGCAACCATGTTGTGCCCATTCAGTTTACATTCACAGATTCAGTCCCAAAGCATGAGGTTGATTACAATTAGTATACTGATCTTCCCACACGTCCCCCTTAGAAAAAAGTACACATATTTCCCAAAGACAACAGGATTTATTTGATAAAATTCTCAAATTATATTCTGAAGATGGAGGTTTGGGGGAGGTTCTCTTTAAACAAGCAGCAGAAAAGGACACAATGTGATGAAAATTCTTTGGGTGGATCCCGGCCATCTTATAATGACAATTACAGTGCCATCATAGACAATTTAAAAACAAAAGCAAAAAGCTTTTTGGAATGGATGAGTCAACCATGTTAACACTGATTTAGCAATACTACAATCTGCACATATAGTTTGTAATGTTCTAGGAACAGAAATCTCTCTCACACCTCTATCTAGAACCTGCAAGTGAGTAGCCTCTAAAAACTGTGTGTGTGAAGGGTACTTATCAGACTCCTTCAGAGCTTACAAAGGGAGTTGATCCAAATTCAGATGCTCATATTTCCTCATCTTTTTCCAAAAGTGGATACTGTTTCAGTGCATTTTTAAGTTTTGAACTAGATTAAATACTGTACTTGACGTTTGGCATCTTGAAACTACTGTTCATAATATTCAATCCAGGTGGCACTTCCCCCAAAATCCACAAAAATTATCAATGACACACCCACCTTAGTCAAATAAACCTGGAACACATGGCTTAGCTAAATGGCAATACACTTGGGTCATATCAAAGTACTGATTAAAATTAGCACACTTATCACGTAAGCTGTTTTCTGCAGTATAAATCAGAATTAAGTTTCTTTTTATTTTTTGCTGCAGTTAGATGACATGAGAAAAGCCGCCAGCACCTAGAATTTACTAGGGCACCAAATTTAGGACAATACAAAGGACAGCAGCTCAAGAACACCCAAAAACTTGCATTTCCCCTATGTGCCTACGCTATTATATAGCCCTCCCCCCCCCCCTTTACACTCTTAGAACATGTCAGAAATGCGCTTTAGGGCGGCTGAGAGAAAAGCTCCAGATTATAGACTACACAGTGAGCAGTCAGCAATATAGGGGTATTGTTTTTCACAATGACATAGTCCCTCCTTCTGTAGCTCTAAGCACACCACCCACCCAAGGCTGTCTCACAAAGTAAACCAGCGTTTTCAGTGGAGCAGCATGATCATTGCAAGCCAACACACTCTCTAGGTTCTTCAACACAAACTGCATTTGCCCTCCAAATCACTGCAGTAATCCTAAGTGAGGAATGCAAGAAACTTAAACTGGACATGTAGCAAAAGGCAGCATTTTGCTGCTTATAAAAATTTAATCCACATAGCACTGTGGGGATCCCCCTGATCAAAACTGGCAGCCTATTGTTAAAGCTCCTCAGCCCTATGCCTCAATTCCAATCCACATTGGGGCTCGACAGATGCTACTTATTTTCATAAGAACTAATTGCATAAACAGCATCAGGTCCGCTTGGGTCCTTAGCTAGAGAGCAGGAACCCCTGAAGACACTGGTTCTGGTTAAAATGGGAATGATACAGCCCTTAGTAGCAGACACCACCCACTTTTGCCATAGCTAAAGACAGTTTCCCTTTAAAAAGTCTGCAGTCGTTTTAACACGCTAACCCAACTTGTTGTCATTGTTTAAAAGACAAGCATCTTCTGGCCTTGACGCGGAGGGATATCCCAAAGGGTGTCAGACCTTAAGATTGCAAGTCCAGGAACGCGGTTTCACATAGTCAAGAAAAGTAGGCTATAAAACACAAGAGGAAGAGTAATGTTAGGCAGGAAATGCTGGGCACTTTCACTTCTGTAGAGTTATCCGTTAGCCATGTGAACAAATGCCAGTGATGAAACCAAAGTGTTTTACTTTGCTGTCTCTCAAGCCTGGGCGGCCACCCAACTTGCAACAGCCAATCTAGGCAATTAGAAGTGGGGTGGGGGTGGGGAAAGGCTTGCCTTTCCCTGTAAGACCCCCAAATTGGCTTTTCTTTGGGTCAGCTTCACCCAGACACTTTAACTCTCGGAATGGCAGATCTTCCAGGTCAAGCAGAACTGCTGTCTGTAATCCTGAAACTACAATCCTACTTGGCTCCAGCTACTATGAGGCCTCGACAGTCCAAGAACCAGCCCCAGGGGGTTATGCATATGCATGTGGGCTGATCTGGCACTACATATTAAATAAGGAAAGGTAGTGGGCACCGCATATTAAATGCGGCAAAGATGTAGTGAATTTTCTCTGTTTGAACCCAGGAGTTCCAAAGGTGGCAGTTGAATCAGAGAACACAGCAAGTAGAATAAAGAAACCACTGTGCTCCACTAAGGCCTTTCACTCTTTTCCATTACCTTCCTCTCCCTCCCTTCTTTACTGCCGCCTTCCATCCTCTCCAGAAGGGCAGAAACTAGCTCAGAGCTTTACATTATTCATATAAAAAGACATGGAGGAAGTTTCAAAGGTGTTTTTTTCTGACCCTGCTGCTTGTTATTCTTGTTAGAAAGAAACCTCTACGGTAGCTATTCTGGGCAGAATGCAACCTTCTAAAAATCTGGTTTTCGAATTTTACGTTCACATCTTAGGCCTTGAATGAAGTCCAGAATAGCAGCTCAGCTCTGTTCCTCTTATTTCCGATGACAAGTGGGATACTCACATTTTTCAAAGGGCAGTGCTGATGGGCGTTCCATTCCAGGCTGTAGAGGTACTGTATCATAGTTATACCAAGCCCAAGCGTAAGCCACAGGATCACATTCCAAATGGGGCCTTTCCGACGGTCGCTGAGAATGAAGTTGAAAAGCGCTGACGGAAGAAAATTAAAATGCACTCAAAATTCCTGTTAAGGACACCAGCAGCATTCTTTCCTTGATCCCCAATTAGCAAAGTGTCCGTATCACTATGACACGTTGTACCTCTTTCCATAGAAATAAATGGCTCTCAATGGTTTTTAGGAGTTTCAGTGGAAAAGAGACAGGGCTTTCCCTTTAAATCACACAGAAAAATCAGTGGGCCACCTACTCATATGAAACAAAGTTGGCTATATGATAGGAGAAATACTTGTCCACCATGACAGATGGTTGATACTGCCAGTGTCAAGCAGGGGGAAAGGGCACCTCTTTTCAGGTTGCAAGCTGAAGACCTCCTGTCAGGGAACTGACATTGGAGCTAGAGGCGGAGGCAAGGCTCCCAAGCGATGCTGGAGAAGGGCCCAGCAGGGAGAGAGGCAGCTCATCAGCTGGGGAAGGAAATCAGCGTAACACCAGGGAGATGGGGGAATCGGCGAGGGGGCTCCAGGACTCCTCGCCGAAGACCAGCGGGGAGAGCACGGGTCCTCCGCTACCCACACCCTCCCTGCGCAGAAGACTTCCGCGCAGGGAGAGTAGGAGGAGACTTGGCGTCAAACAGCTTTTATGCTGGAAAAGGTTTAAGAAACGCCCACTGACGGATTCTGCTAGCGACTGAAACAGCCACGAAGTGAAGGGCTGTCCAGACAGAAAAGGTTTAACAAGGCAACCTAGCCAGGAGTGGCGGCAACTTATGCACGAGCAACCCCTATATTTATTACACCTCCAAAGCAAGGATCATCTCAGAAGTCTTTGAGAAAGCCGCATATTACAGTTTGGAGCATTATCAGAACTTCTTCCTCAGCCAAGCCAAGGAAGCCCTCTCTCCTACTCTGGCCATGATCAGTCTCAGAAAATGGAGATTTAACTAGGGTCAGGAGAGGCTTCTAGGTTTAGAGGGAGCAAATGGTAAGGCAGGCTGCAACACAAGCCCCTTGCATCTTAGAACATTAAGTACAGATGGCAACTAAAAGCTAATCCTCAGAATTTACAGAAACTGCTGCTGCCGGGAGGTATATTTGGTAAGGTAAACTAAAGGGACCCCTGACCGTTAGGTCCAGTCACGGACGACTCTGGGGTTGCACGCTCATCCTGCTCTATAGGCCGAGGGAGCCGGCGTACAGCTTCCGGGTCATGTGGCCAGCTTGACTAAGCCACTTCTGGCGAACCAGAGCAGCACACAGAAATGCCGTTTACCTTCCCGCCAGAGTGGTACCTTACCTATTTATCTACTTGCAGTTTGATGTGCTTTTGAACAGCTAGGTTGGCAGGAGCAGGGACCGAGCAATGGGAGCTCACCCCATCGCGGGGATTCGAACTGCCGACCTTCTGATCAGCAAGCCCTAGGCTCTGTGGTTTAGACCACAGCGCCACCCGCATCCCCTGTTATATTTGGTACTTACATCCAAAACACATGTAGACGAACAATAATACTGGATAGAAGAAACCCAAGGTCATCACCAGGATGTATTCATGCACAACAGCGGAAAGAGTGAAGACTGACAGCATAGCGACTGCTTTGAATTTCTTCCCAAATAACTGGTGGTGAGAGAGAGACACAGACAAACAAGGGGAAGGGTGACTCTCTGATAGGTGAATGTATCAGACGATATCCAATTTTCAAAAACAACAGTGAACAGCTTGTGATAACCACCCTTAAATTGCCCATTCACATTTATTGCACAGGGAGGGTTGTCTCCAGTGGTGGCCTTGCTCTGTCAAAAGGACTTTTACTTGCACAAGGCAGGGCAGCTCATTTTTGCTGATCCCTCCTACTCAATGGAGCCCCACAAACACTTAACGTGAGAGCTGGAACAGTGTGGGATACGGCATAGAGGGGTGAAATTGGTGGTAGACTGGTAAAAAAAAAAAGTGACTTCCCAAATACTGGATACAAACCAGACTGCATAAGTACAAGCTTCTCTCTTTCCACCTTCTGTCAGATCTCTGTATGGGTAAAGTGACTAGGTATTTTACATGTTGTGTAATTCACCTTTACATTAGAACTTTAATAAAATCATTTTGTGGGGGAAATGTAAAGATCTCTGCCATTCCTTTTAAAAAATGGCTTTCTTTTAGAGCTGAAGCAAGGGGGTGCATTAAAAGATGGTTGCTTACCCAAAGGACATCTCTGTATGCATAGTAATACAGCCAGTCATGCACCACCACATTCCATGTTCGGTAATACCTTGCATAAGATGTAGAATTCCACCAGTCCTGCAAGAGAGGATCAGGGAAGTAAAAAGAGCAGAGACCTTAGAGTCAGTGTTTAAAACTGCAGGATCAAAGTGCCAAGTGCATTCCTGCTATTCAAGTGTTTTAGAGCAATTGGCAATACAATCTCTGTGAACATCTGGTGTACTGTTGCAATGTATAACTGAAATTCCCCAAGAGCTCATTTGCAGGCATTAAATCCTAACCTCCTCCTTCCCAAACAGCCACCCTGAGAATAAGTCACTGGTGTCCCAGTATTTGTAGCTACACTAGGTCTCCAAGGCTCAGATCCAAAATGATCAGAGCTAATTCAAATGTGACATTTTCTCTACATGAACAGTAATTCAATGTAGGGGGGGGGGCAACCTGCAAACCACATTCAGAAAAGAGAAATATAGAAGGTAGTTGAAATTCAGAGGCCTTTTCTATCACTGTCCTCTAAACTGCTCAAACTAATCATTAATGGCCCCAAGTGGAAGCAGCAGCAGGATCAGAACACGCATTTGTATGATCCCTTGGAATTATTCATTTATTTAACAACATGTATATATATACTGCTTGACTACAAATAGAACCTCTGAGCATTATACATAAGGCATTAAAATTGCCAATAAAAGTTTAAAAAGATAATATGAAGAAAATAATAAAAATTTATCTGGGGGGAAAAATCTGTCTAAAATGTATAAGTTACTGTTGGAGTGGCATACAACGGATGAACAAGTTAAATCAGTAATGATAGATTGGGCAAGAGATGTAGGACATAACATAATGTTTGAGGATTGGGAAAGATTGTGGAAGAAAGGAGTTAAGTTCACTGCATGTACAATGTTAAAGGAGAATATAATGAAAATGATGTATAGATGGTATTTGACCCCTGTTAAATTAGCAAAGATATATCATATTTGTGATAATTTATGCTGGAGATGTAAAGAAAAAGAAGGAACTTTTTATCACATGTGGTGGACCTGTCCCAAGGTGAAAGACTTCTGGGAAAAGATTTATAATGAATTAAAAAAAATAATGTTGAAATATACATTTATAAAGAAACCAGAGGCCTTTCTTCTTGGAATAACAGGTTTGGAATTGCCCCAGAAAGATGTTAAATTATTTTTGTATGCCACAACTGCCACTCAAATTTCATTTGCAAAAAAGTGGAAAACGCAAGAATTTCCTACGGTGGAAGAATGGCAGATGAAGGTGATGGAGTTTTCAGAGCTGGCCGACCTAACTGGAAGAGTCTGCGACCAGAAGGAGGAGGAGTATCAGGAAGAATGGACAAAATTTAATGATTATTTAGTTAAATATGTAAAATTAAATTAATTGGAAATAGCTTGCAGATATTTAATTGGCTTAGGATTTCATATAAGTTAAGTGATGAATCAATATGTTTAATTTTAAAATTAAAAGATATAAGGATGTTAATGTTTTAGTTAAATTTCATAAGAACTTTGATTTGGAAAACCATTAAAAGGAAGTGCATGGAAATTCAACCAAGGGGAAGCGAGGAAGTCACTTAACCATGTTAATAAGTGTAATTTTAATAAGATTATGATCCATGTTTGTTTGTTTATTTGTTTTGTTTATAATTTTGTGAAAATCAATAAAAAAATTATAAAATAAATAAAATAAAGGCGCCAGTATATGACAACACTAAAAGAAGGCTGCAGGTGAGTTCTGCTATTTATAGAGTGGACATACTTTTCTTCCATGATGCCATACCCAAAACTATTTACATTTGTTTAAAAGTCACAGCAAGGTTAAAATTCTATCCAAAAAGCCCAGTAACACAACACATAGCAACAAATGCTTTTGAATCAGGAATGTCAACAGAAAAAAAGGCACAGGTTCCCTTTTTCACCAGAGGTAAAGGAATGTATTAACAGGTTGTCCAGAAAACTGATGGTATCTGATCGGCCTCTTTAGGCAGGAGGAACCTCATCAATGGCAAAATGACACACACAAATGGAGCGTTCCACGAACCAAGGTACACTCTAAAACTGAAAGCAAATACTTCTGTGCGTGTTGTGTTTCGTGCATGTGTGTGTGTGAGAGAGAGATATCATGAGCCTTGCACATCAATTACCTTGTAGAACATTCTGTCAGCAAAGCGCAGCATCTCAGCAAAAGCATTCAGCCAGCAGTGGAGTAAATAATATAAGATTAATGTCACCAATGCACCTGTGGAGCAATGAAGAAAACATGTATTTCTGGCTAATTTATTTCATTCATGTGGAGGGGGAAATGGCTTGCCCTCCCCCCTCTGTATTGCTCCCCAAGTTTCCATAAAGGCTCTAGAATAGCAGACACTTGAATTAGAAGCAATGAAAGTATTGATTGACCTTGCTTAGGACAATATCTGAGGATGTTTGCTCTTGGCCATTTGCTAATATAGTGTTGGGCAAAGGTTTGTTGATCTTATGCCACATATAAAGGTACCCCTGCCCGGGCCAGTCGTGTCCGACTCTAGGGTTGCGCGCTCATCTCGCTTAAGAGGCCAGGAGCCGGCGCCGTCCGAAGACACCTCCGGGTCACGTGGCCAGCGTGACGAAGCTGCAGCTGGCGAGCCAGCACCAGCGCCGCACACGGAAACGCCATTTACCTTCCCGCTATAAAGCGGTACCTATTTATCTACTTGCACTTAGGGGTGCTTTCGAACTGCTAGGTCGGCAGGAGCTGGGACCGAACGACGGGAGCTCACCCGGCCACGGGGATGCGAACCACCGACCTTACGATCAGCAAGTCCTAGGCACTGAGGTTTTACCCACAGCGCCACCTGCGTATATGCCACATATACTGTACTGCAAAAGCTCTGTGAGGGGCAAATGGCAGCAAATAAGCTAGCAAGGATAAGAAATGGGCCTAGCAATAAAAATCATTAAAGACTGTTAGTGTGTAAATGTAAAGCTATGTATTTTAGTTGCTTTGGTCATATTTGCTAAAGTATTAGTTAGCTTGAACCTTTATATATATAAATAGAAGACGTATAATGTTGTGCTTCTGTTTTCAGGCCACGAACTGAGCAAGCAGACTTTCCCATCTCTCGGGGGGGGGGGGGGGGACTCCATGAGGAATTTAAAAGATAAAAAAGGAGTTTACCAAAAACAAAAAAGCAAACAAACACTGGAGCCTTTCTGCTAGGGGTTATATGGTTAGAAATTCCAAAAAAGGATGGTTAAGTTGTTTATGTATGTAACTACAGCTAGGTTTTCAGCTAAGAGCAACAGAAAAAATTAGAGCCTATTGTGTTATGATTATGATAAATGAGTGACAATAGGCTGCAGCAAAGGGGGGGGATAAGGAAAACATCACAGAAAATGGGCTGAGAAGTCAAGAACAGAAAAGAGATCCCTTTTTAAAAATGCATTGGAATGTTATGTGTAAAATGTTCAGAAATTTAATAAAAGTATTATTTAAAAATTGTTAATGTTTTAGATAATTCTGTTGCTTTAGTCATATTTGGTAAAGTATTAGTTAGCTTGAACCTTTATATACCTGCATATGTAAATAGAAGGTATATAAAGTCCTTTACCAATATCAGACTATATAGACTAGAACCAAGGATAAAGAATCTGCTGTTTGAGTTAAAGATTTACTTTTGTGTCATCTGTTTATTGTTTGACTTGGCTGTTCTGGTCTGAGGTTAGTTTGTTGTACTAAGTGATGACTTGTAAGGGGGTCTTGACCAGAGCATGGAGGTCATGACCAGACCATGAGGATGTCATGTCATCGCTAATGCATAATGGACAACGTAGAACTCGTTATATATTTAGCGTGATGTAAACTGTATGTGAAAGAATATAAAAGTGTATTGAAACCTGTGATCAGTACAGTACCCACCATTTTAGCGAACTGTCCTTGACTGCAGTAAAGTTAATAAAAGGGTACTGTGTTGCTGGAATCCTTGGTTGAATTTCTTATTTAATGCCCTACCTGGGATGAACCTGGGGAGTGATTTTGGCCCCTCGCTTGACAATGACCATGTAAATAACTGATTACCCTTCCATTAGGAACCATTGTCTGTTTTTTGACTGGCATCTAAAACAGACAATGATGGAGCCAGGCACTCTTCCCTGGGGACCGCGTTCTACAAGTAGGGAGCCACCGCTAAAAGGGTCCGTTTCCATGTTCCACCCTCCACTCCTCCCTAAGATATTTATGCAGTGACCAGGCTGGTTCACCAGCAGAGAGGAAGCCCTTCTGGTGTTGGGGTCCTGAGCCACATGAGGATTTATAGGTCAAAACCAGCACTTTGAACTGAGTCCAGAAACTATCAACTGCTTGCATCCCCAACTAAAAAACAGAGTTGGATGAAGCAGCATCGCACCTTCTCCAGTCTACCAGGACTGATGTTACTAAGGAACATACTGCAAAAGGTGTTCAGAGAGAAGAGCAGTAGCTCAGTGGTAGTGAGCGCATGCAAAAGGTCAATCTGCAGCATCTCCAGGTAGAGCCAGGAAAAGTTCCCTGTCTGGAAACCCTGGAGATCCACTCCTGGTCAGTGTGGACGACCCTGAGCTAGATGGGCCAGTGGTCTGATCAGTGTAAGGCAACTTCCCATGTTCTCTCTCAGAACAGTGAGATTCACGCTCAGCTTCAGCTGTTGCCCCAGTAACAGGTTTTCAGGAATCCTACAAGTCAGGGAACCACAAAGCTAAGATCATATATCCAACAGGCCATACACTGCCAGTTGTTGCCAATATCACCACTGTATCTGATTATTTATTTGTTGCTTAGAAAAATCCCAGAATTAAAAGGGGCCAGGGTGATACCCAAAAGCACTCACTTGGAAGCATGGTGTTCAAGATGAAAAGGGCCAGCCCTCGTACATTAAAGTGCTCTCCACCATATTTTCGAAATGCAGGATAGGTGTATATTTCAATTATATAGTGCAAATAGAAGAGTGACGCAAGGGCCTAGACAGGAGTAAAAACAAAAGCCCCTGATTATAAAAGTAGCACAGGAGGAATCCGTAAGAGAGAAAGCTGATCCCAGTTACCAATATGCACAGATCTAAGCTAAGTAAACATCATACATTTAACGCACATGACATTCCCCAAAGAATCCTCAGACATGCACTTTAACCACCACCCCCGAGCTCTAATTCCCAGCACCCTTAATAAACTGCAGTTCCCAAGATTCTTTGTGGGAGGAGCCAGGTGCTTTGAATGTCCGGTGTGTATGCAGCCGTAGATAACAGCTGACCAAAGGTTTCAGTGCCACTACGATAGTCCGTGCTTCTTTCAGATAAACGGCATTCCACGTTGTTACCAGAAAAATCCGAGGGCTCCCTTGGACAAAAAGTAAAGACACCAACCAGAGTAAATTGCAGCAAATCAGCAGCCTGTAGGCTTGGCCTTTATTGAACTGTTGCAACAGGGTGTTCCCCTCACTTGCAGGAGAGAGGAAAAGACACAGAAAATGGTGTGCAAGACCTTATAAAAACTTTTGAAATTCCCATCTTGTAGGTCAAGCCCACCCCAGAAACATCATGCATACATTACAGAAAGGAGAGGTTGAGGGAGGAGTTGTGGTGGTAACCTGAGTGTCCTGTCACCTGGCTGGTTCCCTTCTCCTCCTCCCCATGAGTCATTTTCTGAAGACAAAAGGTAGTCGCAGTTTCCTGCCCCCTGAGGGAAGATCTGATCATTGTCCTTTGTTCCAGTCCATGCTGAATACACTCCCATATGCAAGTTCTTTGTGATCTTGATTGTCTTCTGTCTAGGACCATCAGGGTTGGCATAGCAACTGGGCAGGGCTCCTGTGGATGTGCTGGGCTGGCCTGTATCAAACCTTCCCCATTTTGTAGTCCTTACTTCATGGAGTAAAATAAAAGTGGAACAGTGCAAATCCGATGTATGGTTGATTTTCTATGAATTTATAACAGAAGTGTAGCATATGTAGTGTGTGAGTGTGAGTGTGAGTGTGTGTGAAGTTTGTACAAACTGAATGATGGGGAGGGGGGCTACAACGTGGGCTCCACCATGTGCAGAATTACTATGCCAGCAGTTGGGAGGCCTGGGTAGGTGCGCTGCTGGCATGTGTATATGTGGAGGGGCCCAGGTGGAACACCTGATTTACCGACAGCAGCTGCCGTGGGAGCGGTTTCATTGTCCTGCAAGGAGCAGGTCCCACGAGTAGAGTAGTCTTTTTATCCAAGATTGTCCTTTGAACTTTTAGGATATGTGACACTGCACGGCTAGCCCAGCCCAGGGAAGGACTACATCTCCATTTGAGAAATACGACCGTGCTTGAAATTAGCTGATCTGCTTCACTCGGCAAAATAAAAATACACTATACAGATTGCTGCACTGTTCATAATTTCCTAAACTCTGGAAAATGTTTACAGATGATAAGAGGACTATCACACAGGCATCGGTTAAAAGTCGGTTTAGGAAGGCTTGTCATTTAGTACTATTGTATCCTGAGAAGTGAAACTGTTTTATTTATCTTACAATGGGAAGGTGTGTTTGTCATTAGTTTAGGGGTAATTATTCATTCAGTGATCCAAATCTAAGGGAATAGGATGCAATTCCAGGTGAACAGGCATGGAAGCTTCAGAAAGCATTGTGTCTATTTTTTTAATGCCAAAATAAAAATAAGTAATACAGGCTTGTGCACTCCAGTAAGCTAGTACATATTTTTATGAACCATTAACTCTTATCAGCTTTCAAGGCTGTATAATTATCTGCAGAAACACAGGAATCCCCAAAGGAACAGAAATATCTAACCTCTGCAAACATGGTAGCTACATAGCTCCACCTTATTGTAGGATTTCTGAAAAGAAAAGGAAATCACAGTCATTACACCTAAATCAAGATAAGAACTTGCTTGGCATCAACTGAAACCTAATTTGCGAGAATTTTACAAACAACTGCTAGACAGCAAATCACTTTGAGTTACTTTCAATAATAAAAGCAACTAATAAGTGCAAAAGAAATAATAACAGCAAAGCTGATGTAGTCTGCAGTAAACACAATCCAATTTCTATTCCAGAACAGCAAATATTTAAAGTAAGAAAGTCTGTTTGCTAGTTATGATTTTGCTCAGATGGCATGCTTTACTAAATGTGCAGCTGCACTATTATTTTTTTAACAGTTCATTATTTTGCATAAAGAAGGAAAGTAGTAGTTGAGGGCAATAGGATATACAGATTGGAGAATGTGGAATACCATGGAAAATAGAAAGACAACCCTGTATAACACAGCAACTGCTACAAAGGAACTCTAGAACCTTATATATAAAAACCCCATCAAAACCCATGAACAGTGGAATATCTTAAAGCCAAAATGGTCAGACTCAGCACCTGTCATTGGAACCAGAAGCAAAAAGTACTAGTGTGCTCAAAAGAGATATGCATTGAACCAATGCATTTTGGATCCTACTAGGCCTGCTCTGGGAAAATTCAGAGAAACAAATGGTTGTCTTCAACTAACCTTTACTCAGAGAAGACCCATAGAAATTCGGGACCATGAGTTAAGTTAGAGACCCAGTGGTGGATGGGGCCAGAGGCAAAAGTGGGTAGTGCAATAGATAGAGAGGCTCAGAGGCCAGTGGTGTAGCGTGGGTTGCCTGGGGCCGTGCGGAGAGGTTGGGTGGGAGGGAGGGAAACACATTCAACTGCCTAATACTATCCGCATCGCCCAGGAGACATAAGAAGAGTCGTTCTATGGTCTAGAGAGGCCCCTCCTGGTTCGCATGGAGAAGCTGTTTTCAATGGATCCCAGCGACAGAATGTTATATTGAGGCTGCCCCGAGTGTTAAACTTTTGCATCCATAACAATTTTGCGCTCAGGGCAACTGTGACTGTGACCCCACCATGCTACGCCACTGCAGAGGACTGCACCTGCCCCCTGGGCCTGAGGTTCCCAACCTGTGTGTTATGCCCTCCATTATGAAGCATGCATCCTGTCCAACCTCACCATCACAATGGCTATAAGAACTGCCAAGTCACAATGGAGCAACTACATTGACATTACCGGGGATAGGCATCTCTGTAAATAAGGGTGGGAGCAAAGAGGAAATACAGGTACTGGGAAACTTTAGGAACTTGGACGGTGTCTGAAAAAGCAGAATGGAGAGAGTCGTTTAGTACCAGATAATGCCACACAGTAAAAAATAAACCCACAGGGTTCCATCCTATTTTCTATGGGTCTCAAACTGTTCATTAATGCTTGAGTTTAGCAGTAATAAATTTATACAATTTCTCAGTCCAATGAGATGGTTTGTATGCCATTCTTATTCTACTTTTTTTTTTTACAATGAGTAAGGCAAGTCTGTGACAAGCCCCTCATCTCTAGTCTTCCCAGGTTTAACGCCCTCCCACCCCAAATAACCCCCCAATTGTCAGAGCACTTTCCCCTGTTCTACTAAACCCAGGATTCTTTTATTTCCTTTGCAAGATGTGTACTCCTATTCCAATAAGCATTAGAAGACTGACAAGTTGCATGGTATTGGTAATCTTGCAAAACATGGGGAGGCCCATACACACATTCTTCTGAACTAGAACAGGTCTTTGAATTGTCTCCATGTCACAGAACCCAACTCTCAGAACAGGAAGAAGGGAGGGTGCCTTCATCCCCACAGCGGTACAATTATTGAAGGAAACAGTCACTCACTTGTCTTCTGTGGCGTAAAGGAAAGTATTCGAGAAATATTCTCCCTAATGAAAGAGTAGCCTTTCATCAGCAGGCGCACCTAAAGGAGTGGAATAACAGATAAAATGTATTTGACATCTTACAATTAAGTGAGAGATGGTCCAGCAGGATACCATGGTCAATAGCATCAAAAGCTCCTTTGCCCCTCTTTTGATGAAGGTGAGACCAAAGCAGATTCAGTCTCAAGCCAGGTCTGCACCCAGAATGCAAGAGGTCGAGAGAATCGGTATCCTCCAAGAATGCTTCCAGTTGTACTGGCATTGCTCTCTCCTTCATCGTGCTCAAAAAGAGGGTGTTTGCAGCAAGTTATTAGTGGTTTAAACCATTAGCATATCTGAAAACAGAAGTACCTACTAGACCTTAAGAATTATGGTGTGTTTCTTTTTGCATCTGACCATTTGTAACACCCTTAGGTTCAATCTCTTGGGAAAAATGAAAACTTGTCACCATTAATATTACCCCAAGTCAGGCAGAAGCAAAAGTAGAATGTGTACACAAAATTACAGGTTAGCTAAGGACTCAGATCCTGGCATAAAGCAGCATTTTGCTAATTCAAGCTTTGTGAAATGACCTTTAGCTACATCCAGAAGAAACTAGCTCTCCACATGAAACTCACCTGCTCGAAGATCACTATGGCAGCAGAAACCGGTGGTAAACGGTAGGCAATGACAATGTAAGTTGGAACCACTCCAAGCGCAAATATTTGGAAGATCGTGAAGAGACCCCCAAAGAGAGCGGAGCGGATTGTCTTGTGGGAGGAACTAAGGTAGCCCTGGGCCCACAGCAGGAAGAGCCCATAGGGCACAGTCAGGGTGGACAGGAACATGTAAAGCCAAGTGGAAGCAACGACAGAAGATTTGCCAAAAACGTAGACCAGGAGATTAAACTTCACCACCAACCTTCAAAAGAGATTCAAACAACACAGAAAGTTAAAATCATATACTTGGGTTAAAATATATATTCCATCAGGTTAAATCAGTAACAGCTAAGGAATTCTATAATGAAAGTTGAGGTAATTTTAATCTGTTTTAGCATTCTAAGTTTTGCATGTTTTAGAGTATGGTTGTGATTTTTTTTAATGCTTTTATTGTTTTATCTTTCGTAAACCGCTTTGAGGTTCCTTTTAGAATCAGGCAGTGTATAAATCTTATGAAACAAATACTGAACTTAAGTATACACCCTTAAGGTTTTATACTGCACAGAACACTCTAAAGCAAGAAAGCAAACACAGAGATACAGACAGATACAACCCCTACAGAGATCCAGGACCCCTTGGATAAGCACACGCACATGGGGAAATTGTAGTTATTGTGGCATAGCCTGCAGCCCTTCAGTTAGTACTGGGAGGGCTCCACATCTTCCAAGACTTTGCATGCAGATACATTTTCATTGGTTCAGGTATGAAATGACTCAAGTCCAACACTAAAACAAAACAAAAACAAAGAAACCTCCAGCTGATCCCTTCAATATTTTCCTACCTTCCTTCATCAATGGAGTCTACTATGAGGGTGCTGAGAATGATCATGATGAAGAAAGCAATGAACACATGATGTATGCTCCGGATGTCTTTCACTTCAAATAGCTCGCTGAGGAAAATAATTATAAGAAGTACATTAGAACATTTCAGGGGGTGGGGACAAACTCCAGGATTTCCAGTGATTAAACTTAAGAGCTGAAAGCAACAGGAATATGGTCAGAAGATTCGGAGGATATGGCCATGGCTTCCCTGGGCCATTTGCTTTTTCTCCTTCAAATGTAACATGCGATCACTCTTTTTCAGTGCAATTTCTCTGCATATGTTCTGCAAAATTCATCTGTCAACAAATATAAGACCTTCACCACTTTTTAGAGGGGGTAGTTTGGAAAGAGGTGCCGCTGTACAAGAGAAAGAGATTCCCGAACTGTTTCCAACAAGCAGGCAGTGGCAGAGCTTCATGCACCGGGGGACAGAGAGCAGGTGGGGGCGTAGCTGGCGTGTGTCCTAATAACTAGCTCAATTTGCCTACGACAAGCAGACCTGAAGGCTCTCATCGCCTACTCATCCCTAAGTCATATGGGCCTAGTAACCTCTGCTATTATTATACAAACACCATGAGGCTTGACCGGAGTCATAACCCTAATAATTGCACATGGCCTAACTTCCTCAGCCCTCTTTGCTCTAGCAAACACTAATTATGAGCGCGCGCACCCCCAAACTTTACTTCTTGTACGAGGCCTACAACTTGCCTTCCCATTAATATCAACTTGATGATTATTCATTAACTTAACCAATACAGCCATGCCCCCCTCAATCAACCTACTTGGTGAGTTATTAATTATTACTGCCCTATTTAACTGATCATCCCCCACCATCATCATCACCGGGGTTGAAACCCTCATTACTGCCACTTATACATATTCTTAATAACCCAACGCGAAGCCATTTCAAATCAATTTCGCCTTTTCCCTCCCACCCATGCTCGAGAACATCTTATCCTTATCCTACATTTGCTACCCCTAGGACTTCTAATTCTAAAACCCACCCTAATTTCAGGATTATTCACTTGTAAATATAGCTTACCAAAAACACTAGACTGTGACTGAGATAGAAGGTTCCACCTTCTTGTTTACCAAGAGCTGTATAAACAATTAGAACTGCTAACTCACATAACTAAGGATGAAGTCCTTAGACCTCTTACTTCTATAGGAAAGTAGTAATCCATTGGTTTTAGGTACCAAAAATCTTGGTGCAACTCCAAGTAAAAGTAAAAATGCACGACCTCTTCCTACACTCAACCATGCTAACAGTCCTATTTATCCTAACACACTCTGTTCTCACAACTATAAACCCAATTCCTTTCAAAATAGGATGAGGCATGCTTTACGCAAAAACCACTGTACAATTGGCATTCAAAGTCAGCCTAATCCCCCTAGCTATTTTCATAAACTATGGCACAGAAGCCTCAACAACCAATTTTACATGAACTAACATTGCCAATAGAGATATTAATATTAACCTTGTTGTCAGGGCTGCCTCAGGTCTCAGCTCACAAAAGACCAACGCCAAGTTCTTCTTATATACAAAGGTGTTTATTGGAGTTCATTGTTTGCTTCACATCCGAGGCGCGCAGCCCCACGTCTGTTACGCTTAGACCGTTGAAGTCCCCTCTGAGTCAGTCCCTCCCCTGCACCAGTTTAAGAGGCTTGCGCTGCTCCACCTCTTCCTCTCTTTCCTTTTCCGCAGGGTCTTCCTGCCCGCTGGGGTTTCGCCCCTCCTGGATTCCCCTGACGCGGAATCCCCAGATTGCTCTTTCCCCCTCCTGCGGGCTTTGGGACCTGGCTCCTCCTCCGGGCTCCCTGTACTTCCGCGCGCCTCCACAGATGACCTTCGCGCGCGCGCCCAACCTCTAAACGTCCATATGACAGTTACACTACGCCCGTCACTACTCCCTCCCTTCCGGGAGGGGTGGCTTGCTCCGACCTCCCTCCCTTCTCTGCTGCCGGAGCTGCTTCCCTGATACACTGGAACCTCCACCCCCTTCGCTGCACTCTGGCGGGGAGGCTGGTCCTGACGCCCAGCTGCCACTTTGGGATGCCCCTCTTGTCACCTTCTCCTGACACGTCCCCCCTGGGGCTTCCCTGGCCTTGACCTCCGGCGCCCCCTTCAGCGAATCCTCTGATTCGCTGGAAAGACTCATGGAATCTCTTGAGTCATTGTCATCCTCTTCCTCGCTGTCCTGGGATTCATCCCCATCGCTCTCCATCTCCTGCCTACCCTGTGCCTCTGTCCCTGAACCCCTGACACTTGTCTTACACACGTACCCCCTCACATTTATCCCAATTAGTTTATTCGTTACATGATCTATCCTTGAATTCGCTGATATATATCACCAGACCCCCACATATCCCGATTCTTCAAATACCTCTTAGTATTTTTACTAGCCATATCAATGCTTGTCACAGCCAATAATATATTTCAACTATTCGTTGGTTGAGAAAGTGTGGGAATTATGATTTGCCCGTCCTGATGCTAATACAGCAGCCCATTAGGCTATTATCTTCAACCATGTAGGAGATATTGGACTTATATTAGCCCTTGCCTGACTTGCAACACACCTAGCAACTTGAAATATTCAAGAAAATAACCATTCAAACAAAAAACCCGCCTCTCCTACCACTCTTCGGCCTAATTCTCGCCTCCGCTGGCAAATCTGCCCAATTCGGACTACACCCATGACTCCCAGCAGCAATGGAAGGCCCATGTTCAGATATGTTTCAATCTCTTGTTCTGGCATGGTTCCCGGACAGAAAGCAAGTTGCAATGTGGTTCTTTAGCAAGGCCAGAAGACATGAGAAAGGCCTGAGAAACAATGGACTGTTCTCTACCTTTGTTACAGCAGAGCGGAATGTTCCTGATGCTTAGCTGCTGAGAAAATGATTTTGAAAAGTTTTGAGAAGCTTTGAGCCTGCTTTGGTGGGGGGTGACTTCGGGCCTAGGTGAGGTCACCTGTCCTCCCCTTCCTTCAATCCTAATATATACTAGTACCTATAAACTTTACATAATACTGAAGGAAGGGGAGGACAGGTGACCAAACCTAGGCCCGAAGTCACCCCCCCCCCCCGCAAGAATCACCCCAGGCCTCAAAACTGTCCAAAATTCCTTTCTGCCTTCTAAAAATCCACAGCTACAGCTTTTCTGTGGATTCTCACAAGATGCTGGTACATAGGCAAAATGTTATTCTTTTATCAGTACAAGACAGCTTCAAAAAGGCTAATGAATAGACTCTGTCAGAGCAGGCCTGAGAACTGACTTTTATCTCATTCAGTTGCAACATCTTTGGACATGATGAACCGCTCTCATTCCCCCTTTCCTGGGAAGGGTGCCAAGAGTCCAAAAGAGTCCCAAGACAGCTTTCTGTTCATGCTCAGAGGAACTCATGGGCAGGACTCTGGAAGAAGGAGGAGAAAGGGGGAGGGAACTGGAAGGGGAATATATACTCTGTGCACATGACTGTGAACCTGTGCATGCTTTTTGTGACTTGCTCCTTCTACCAGTTCATGGATGGTAGAAATAAAGCTTTTTCTCCGAAACTATTCCTTGAGTGTCTGTTGACTCCCATCTCCCTTTCCCGGGCGCAATATTTTTCCCACCCGAGGGCAAAGCCTCATAAGGCTACATTTCTTGGTGCATTGGCCGGGAAAAACAACATTCCCCGAGGATAAGGGACATGGGTCCAAGGCATCCCTGCTGTGAACAACTCGGATCGGTGTCCGCGGTTCCCGTGCACAGTGCACATCCTGCCAAGTTCGTGGGAGGAATTGCCACCCGTTCCTGAGTGGAGACACTGCAAGGACCGGAGAAAAAGCAACGGCCGAAAGAAGGTACCTCGAGGAAAAAGGTAAGGCTCCACAGGGATAGGTGGGAGCAAAGAGAGTTTGATCAGCTCCACCAGTAGGGTAGAAGAAGTGCCACTGGTTTTGGTTTCGCCCAGAAGGAGCAGTAAAAGGTGCTGCTGGGCCTCGGTTGAAGTCGTGAAGCGCTGCCGGTTTGGTTTTTGGTAAAAAGGGGATTGGGGGAGGTGCATGGGTTTCTGAATGTGCATGTGGGGACACTCCAGTGAATGTTTTGAGTGTGTGAGATGTTGGAAGCAATGTGTGGCCTGTGACTGAGTGAGAGAAATGACGTTAGGAGGGCGGAGTGTCCCAGTGTCCCAGTGCTATTTTATACCATACGAGTATTATTTAGGTATTATATCCTGTTTATCTGATTTAAGAACATTATATATATATATATCGCGCATTACTGTACAAACTCATGAATATCCACTAATCACTACCCTCCATAATCTTACATTCAGACATTACCTGAAATATTTCTCTTCAATACGGAAGTGTATTTTATACCTGGTTATTTATTGATCTAGCTTCTCACGTGAGAATCATCAACCCCTGTATGTAAGGCCCCGTTCCCTAGTTTCACATCCATAACTTGAGGTTGTGCCACTTTCTCACTTTTTCCAAGGCCTCTGGTTGTTAGGTCAGGACCATCCTACTCTCCATCACCACTTTCTCACCTTTTCCAAGGGCTCTGGTTAATGGGTTTGTTACCCTCGTACCCTTGCTCATAGCATAACTGGTTTTCCCGGCGGCTGGTATTTTTTATTTCTCTTTCCCTTCAGACCTCATCTCAAGTGCTCCTACCGATCTGATTTCTAGCCTGTAGTTACAGTGCAATGGACCTTGCGCAAGCTCTCTGTCATGGCTAGGTTGGCAGGAGCAGGGACCGAGCAACGGGAGGTCAGTGAGAGGAGGAAAAAAGAATGGAAGCGGAAGGGTTTTTTCCCCTGTTGGAAGAAGAGGAAGGGGCGGAATTTAGACTCAGCAACTGCTAACTTGGAGTCAGACACGGAGTGAAGGAGCTCCAGAGTGATTTATGTGTTTGAGCAATAAACCTGAGATAATTACTGCCGGTGTCTCGCTTCTGTGGGAGAGCCAAGCCATTACATCTGGCTGAGTTTCCCCAGCCACTTTCAACAAATTTTAACTAAATTTTAACAATTTTTACCTAAAAATTTCTAACACAGATTTTTATATACCACTCTCTGTGTTCCATACTCATCACAAAAAAAACAAAAATTTTAATGACATTTTTTCTACAATAACTAAATTAACTACAATACTAAATTTTACCATACACATTAAAATTTAACTAAAATAAAATATACTTTTTTATGGCAAACCCCCCTACCAATAATTTTTCTTGTTTAATCAAAAAAAATTTCTCACCAAACCCCTAAAACGAGATTCAACTAAACTGATCAATTATCGGTTAATCGCAGTCAACAATACACTTTATGAAGAATGTCTACAACTACAATTTTTTGTTTAAACCCTTGTTAAAATTTGATAATATGAACTCCAATACCAATACCACACCCCCTGGCAGACATAAACTTAGGCCTTCTATTTCTTCTTGCCCTCTTAAGCATAATAGTCTACACAATCTTATGGTCCAGATGAGCATCTAACTCAAAATACGCCCTAATAGGGGCCCTACGAGCCATTGCACAAACAATCTCATATGAAGTTACCCTGGGCATTATTCCACTTTCAATTATTAGACTGACTGGCACCTTCTCAATACACACCCTTATCATTACGCAAGAACACATTTGACTAATCCTACCCACATAACCCCTTGCAATAATATGATTCGTATCAACCCTAGCAGAAACAAATCGCGCACCATTTGATTTAACTGAGGGGGGAATCTGAACTTGTCTCAGGGTTTAATGTTGAATATGCAGCAGGACCGTTTGCACTTTTCTTCCTAGCCGAATACATAAACATTTCGATGATAAACACACTCTCATGTATTTTATTCTTTAGCCCTACCATAACCACAGGGACTTGGGTGGCGCTGTGGGTTAAACCACAGATCCTAGGACTTGCTGATCAGAAGGTCAGCGGTTTGAATCCCCGCGACGGGGTGAGCGCCCGTTGCTCAGTCCCTGCTCCTGCCAACCTAGCAGTTCGAAAGCACGTCAAAGTGCAAGTAGATAAATAGGTACCGCTCTGGCGGGAAGGTAAACGGCGTTTCCGTGTGCTGCTCTGGTTCGCCAGAAGCGGCTTAGTCATGCTGGCCACATAACCCGGAAGCTGTTCGCCGGCTCCCTCGGTCAATAAAGCGAGATGAGCACCGCAACCCCAGAGTCGGTCACGACTGGACCTAATGGTCAGGGGTCCCTTTACCTTTACTTACCATAACCACAGAAACAGAATTATTTACATTTAACCTAATAGCAAAAACTACCCTACTGACCACTGGATTCTTATGGGCTCGAGCCGCTTACCCACAATTTTGTTATGATCAATTAATACACCTCCTTGAGGAGATTTCACCCCTCCCATATCCAAGAATCTCCTGAGGAGTCTGCTGATTCTCCAGAGAGGAGGAGGCGTGTTCTGCTCTCCACTTACAGTGGTGCCCCGCAAGACGAATGCCTCGCAAGACGGAAAACCCGCTAGACGAAAGGGTTTTCCGTTTTGGAGGTGCTTCGCAAAACAAATTTCCTATGTGCTTGCTTCGCAAGACGAAAATGTCTTGCGAGTTCCTGCGGGGGTTTTTTCCTTTTCCCCCCCTTTTTCCCAAGCCGCTAAACCGCTTATCAGCTGATGGCTAAGCCGCTTATCAGCTGATCGCTAAGCCGCTTATCAGCTGATCTTTAAGCCGCTTAACAGCTGATGCTAAGCCGCTTATCAGCTGATCCTTAGCCGCTTATCAGCTGATCTTTAAGCCGGCTAAGCCGCTAATACTGTAGCGCTAAGCCGCTAAACCTCTAATGGGCTTGCTTCGCAAGACGAAAAAACCCGCAAGACGAAGAGACTCGCGGAACGGATTCTTTTCGTCTTGCGAGGCACCACTGTATTCTGCTCCAGCACCAGAGTCAGTCAGTCAGTGTCGGGGAGAGAGAGAGAGACTGAGTGTTAGAGATCGTGTGTAGAGATAAGGTTGCTGCTAAGAGCAGCTGCATACACTCAGTGCAGTGCAGCATTTATTTATGCTTAGACCTATTAAGCTCTGTATATAGTTTGTATAGTTGTAGTTATAGAATAAAGAAGCTATTCTACAGAGCTGCTCTCCGAGTTGTTTATATCCTCTGCTAGACTCTGCTGTACTCCCTGTGTGACGACTGTCTTCTTGTTGGAGTGAATCCGGTGCTCACAACTCTAAGCTGTGAGTCCACAGCACTTTGACCTGTTCCTGTGCAGAAGGTGGTCTCTGGAAGTGCTACCCAGCTCGCCTAGCCCAGTCGGGGCTGAAGTCGATGAGTCCAGTTGGTGGCACTGGCTCAAGGGCGATGCTGACACTCCTATGAAAACAATTTCTCCCTGCCACACTAGCACTATACTTGTGGTATATCTCACTTCCAATCTCACTATCAGGGTTCCCGCCACTAAATTAATAACTGTTACCAAGATGTGTGCCGGAGAAATTAGGGATTACTTTGATAGAGTAAATCACAGGGATTTATAATCCCTCACCTCCTCTAGAAGAATGGGATTCGAACCCACACCTGAGACTCCAAAACCCTCTGCTCCCACTATACTACCTTCTAGTAAAGTCAGCTAACAAAGCTCTTGGGCCCATACCCAAAAAATGTTGGTTAAACCCTTCCTTTACTAATGAGCCCCTACATCTTATCCATTTTAATTTCTAGCTTGGCCCTCGGAGCTACCATTGATTTCTAGCCTGAACTGGACTAGAATTAAACACCCTAGCCGTTATCCCAATCCTGGCCAAACAACATCATCCACGAGCCACTGGAGCCGCAACAAAATATTTTATCAATCAAGCAATGGCCTCATCCATCATTTTATTTTCAAGCATTCTTAATGCAGCACACTGGACTTTGAGATATTACTCAACTCACCATGCAACCAACCCCCACTATATTAACAATTGCCCTAGCCATAAAATTGGGCCTGGTTCCAATACACTTCTGACTCCCAGAAGTCATACAAGGCATAACAACTGCTCTAATTATTGCAACATGACAAAAATTACCACCAATATCTCTACTATATATAACTTCTAATCAACTCACAACAACAATTTTATTACTACTAGCTATTTTCTCTACCTTAACTGGAGGATGATCTGCACTAAATCAAACCCAACTACGAAAAATCATAGCATTTTCGTCAATCGGACTCCTAGGCTGAATAGCTGCCATCTCCCCTATCTGCCAGAAACAACTTCTTCTAACCTTAATAATTTATCCATTAATAACTACCTCCATGTTCCTAATTTTCATCACTTCAACTGCAAAAACCGCCAAAGATTTTGGAACAATATGAGTAATCTCTCCAACACTCTCCACCATCACAATAATTACCCTTATAGCATTAGGGAGACTCGCCCTATTAACTGGCTTCTTACCTAAATGATTAATTCTTGAAGAATTAACTACCAACCACCTCATCCCTCTAGCAACTACCCTGGCCTTAACCACTTTACTAAGCCTAATATTTTACATGCGCTTAACTTATACTAAGCTTCCCGTTTTGGCCGCAGGAATTACAATGCTACTAACAGATCAAAACCTAAACACATCGTTTTTTGACCCAGCAGGAGGAGGATACCCAATTCTCTGCCAACACCTATTTTGATTTTTTGGTCATCCAGAAGTATACATCCTCATTCTCCCTGGCTTTGGCATAATTTCCCATATCGCCACATACTATGCAGGAAAAAAGAACCATTCGGCTACATATGTATAGTGTGAGCCATAATATCAATTGGCTTTCTAGGCTTCATTCTGTGGGCCCACCACATATTTCCCGTAGGTATGGACATTGACACCCGAGCCTATTTTACCTCAGCCACAATAATTATTGCCATTCCTACTGGAGTAAAAGTTTTTAGTTGACTCGCAACCCTTCATGGCGGAATAATTAAATGGGATGCCGCTATATTTTGGGCCCTGGGATTCATTTTTTTATTTACGGTAGGCGGCCTTACAGGTATTATTTTAGCCAACTCCTCATTAGATGTTATTCTTCATGATGCCTACTATGTAGTTGCCCATTTCCATTATGTCCTATCAATAGGAGCTGCATTTGCAATTATAGGTGGATTTGTCCACTGATTTCTGCTCTTTACAAGTTATGCTTTGCATTCCTCATGAACAAAAATTCAATTTGGCGTAATATTTACCGAAGTCAACATAACATTCTTTCCACAACATTTCCTCGGATTAGCGGGCATGCCCCGACGTTACTCCGACTATCCAGACGCATACACCTCTGCAATACTATTTCATCAGTTGGCTCCTTAATTTCACTGACAGCAGTAATTATAATAATATTTATCTGCGAAGCTCTGGCAGCTAAACATTAAGTACTTACCCTCGAATTAACAAACACAAACTTGGAATGACTTCTCGGCTGCCCGCCCCCATATCATACCCACGAAGAATCAACCTATGTACAAACCTCAAGGGAATGGGGGACTTGAACCACCTCTAACCACTTTCAAGCCAGTCACACAGCCTCTTAAGTTTCTCTCCTTATGAGGTCCTAGTAAATAAATTACATAGCTCTGTCAGTGCTAAATTATAGGTCAATTAAGCCTATGTGGCACACCCAGCACAACTAGGCTTCCAAAATGCAGCCTCCCCCATTATATAAGAACTTCTTCACTTCCATGACCATGCATTAATAATTGTTGTTTTAATCAGTGCCTTGGTACTATATATTATTAGTCTTATATTATCAACAAAACTCACACTAATACTATAGATGCCCAAGAAGTGGAAATAGTCTGAATTATCCTCCCCGCAATAATTTTAATCCTAATTGCACTCCCCTCCCTCCAAATCCTTTATTTAATAGATGAAATTAACAACCCTCTTTTAACTATTAAAGCCATTGGCCACCAGTGATACTGAAGCTACGACTATACAGACTATGAAAATCTGCTGTTTGACTCCTACATAGTCCCAGCATGCGACCTACATCCCGGAAATTTCCGCCTACTAGAAGTTGATCATCGAGTTGTAGTCCCAAGAGAATCCCCCATCTGAGTTTTAATCTCAGCAGAAGATATCCTGCACTCATGGGCAATTCCAGCACTCGGCATTAAAACAGATGCAGTCCCAGGTCAATTAAATCAAACAACCTTAATTACATCTGATACAGGGATAGGGGGTGCCCTCCCTATCCCTGGCTACGTGCCTCCGAAGCAACGACCTCAAGGACAACCACGGCACTCTACACCCCTTCCCCAGCCTCTTCATTGTCGCACAAGCACCACACATAACCCCTTTCCCACTTTTCCACGGGCGAAATAAGCCCAAACTCTCAAGCCCCCTTTCTCTCCTCTCGCTCCATCTTTTTCATGAGTTGACCGTGTCAAACTACGCTCCCGTTTGTTCCAATGGCCGCGTCTTAACCAATCAGAACCATGCATCCACTCTGCAGGATCAGCTCAGCGAGCCTCTGCACGCCTCATTTAACCTCTTGACAAGCTGCTGACAGCTCCCCGCTGAGAGAACAATGGAATCGAAACTCATAAACCTGTAAAACTGTCAAATCTTGCTACAATGTATCCAGTTAAGCTCGTAAAAGTGTCAAATCTTGTTACTATGTTTCCAGTTTGTTTCCGTTTTCAATTATTAGTGTATGAATGGGCTAGAGTGGACCAAAACTTCTAAAATTCATATAAAATCAACCACAGCTCCGATTTCCTTGGTCTTGGTGTCAATCAACTCAGCTTCTTCAGGACTCCATGATACCTCCTCGACCTCCATAATCCCTTAAGCGAGGAGTCACGTACTCAGGAAGACCCTAATCCGGTCAGATCGCTCTGCCCGACCCTTCCTCCGGGCAATGCCAGGTGGCAGACTTTACATATTCGGACCATTGTCTTCTCATCACCGGTACTCAGGAAGTGCTTATCTATGCATATCTTCAGCTCTGCATATTTCCCCCCTCCCTGCTCTATATGTTAATCTGTGTAACCCAACCTCTTCGTAATATATTCATGATGTAACCCGTGTAACCCTACCTCTTTGTAATGTATTCATGACGTGTTTTGCACTGTATTATGGGATATGGAGGGAAGTTTCAAAAACTCCTGTCACCCCTTTCTCGGGGTTCAATCTCGCCTTGAACCTGTTGCGCAATAAACTCGGACCTCCTGGAACTTGCTCCTGTCTCCGGCTGAGCTCATTTTCTTCCGCAGGGACCCGCGGACTTAGTCCGACGAGCTGGGTGGCAGAGTAACCCCGCACCCAGATTTTTCCATAACACATCTCACCAGGGTCTATTTTATGGCCAATGTTCAGAAATTTGCAGATCAAACCACAGCTTTCTACCTATTGTAGTAGAATCAACACCCCTCAAATACTTCGAAGCATGATCTAAAATAACAATCTCCTCATCACTAAGAAGCTAACTTACAGCACTAGCCTTTTAAGCTAGAGAGGGACATGCCTCAACTTAACCCAGACCCCTGGTTCCTAATTTTCACGCTAGCCTGAGCAACCCTTATTGCTACAATAATGACATCAGGGCAAGTCCTTTGCCCATGCAGTTTGAAATCAAAACTGGAACAAGACTTTGCAGGCACCAATGGTCAACTGTGCCAGCAAACCCAGTTTCCTGTGCCTGCGTGGTTTGAAATCAAACCACATAAGCAAAGGCACAGGACTTCGTTGGCACTGCCAATCAGCTGATTGGTGGTGTCATCAAACCTGCTTTCAGTAGGGAACTGCATCTTTACCTGTCCCACAGGTCGACCTGGTTTGGGGAAGGTGGCCTTGCAGGTCAAATTAGGATGCCTGAGCAGGCCAGAAGCTCCACAGAGCTGCTCTAGACCTCATTTCACACAGACATTCTGCCATTTTGCACCAACTGAAGCCTTTTGTAATCCCCACTCCATGCTATGTAAATATTTGGGTCTCACAGGCTTAGAGTGCTTATTATTCATTTATTATTAAATTGATAATCCCACCTGGCCTCCAAAGGAGCCCTGGAGAACACAGGACTGTTTTGGGACTACAATTCCCATCATCCCTGACCACTGCTCCTGTTAGCTAGGGATGATGGGAGTTGTAGTCCCCAAACAGTTGGAGAGCCGAGATAGGGGATGCCTATTCTATTCTGTAGACCAGTTTCTACAGAACAGAACAGCCTCTGTGAATCCAGAATCCAGCCACATCCAAGTTAGAATTGGGATGTGCAATAGCCAATTGGCTAGAACACTTATAAAGGTTAGGAATACCAGCTTTCAGTCTACACAGTATAAAAATGATCTACTGGGAGGGATCTACTGGGAGGGAGAAGTGATCTACTGGGAGGGAGAAGCAAGATGTGCAGATAAGCCACCCACCGGATCAAGGCAACTTTAACTTTAGCAAGGGCTCTAGTAAAATATAAAATCTAATTAATATACTCACTCAAAGGCAGACTTTCTAGCAACAAAAACTTTTCCATGTTCTGGAGGTGCTCTTAATTCCCTGTGAAAAGAACAAATATTCAGCAACAAATCAACATATCAACTCTGCTTCAGGCTCAGCCAAGAACCAACATACTTGCTTTTGAAGCCACCGTCTTTCTCTGAGCACACAGCTGAGAAGGCAGGGGGCGAAGTCTCAAGCTGCACAGACTTTGCAATCAAGCCATTTACAAATTCTGTAAAGTGGTTGTCGATCCGCTGCATGAAAGCTGGCTTCATTTGCTGATAAAATTTGGAGGGAGGAAGGAATAAAAAAGAGAACACCTTAAGTATACAGTGGTACCTCGGGTTACATACACTTCAGGTTACACACTCCGCTAACCCAGAAATAGTGCTTCAGGTTAAGAACTTTGCTTCAGGATAAGAACAGAAATCGGGCTCCAGCGGCGCAGCAGCAGCAGGAGGCCCCATTAGCTAGAGTGGTGCCTCGGGTTAAGAACAGTTTCAGGTTAAGAACAGACCTCCGGAACGAATTAAGTACTTAACCTGAGGTACCACTGTAATTGTTAAGTATTGCCTGGAATTTGCCTGCTAAAATGGCATGTTACTCTTTACCTTCAAATGCAAGGCTGACTTCCTAACACCATGCTAACAACAAATCATGAACATGTCTCATTTCCTGACAACTGACGACATATTCTTGGACCCCAGTCAAAGTCACGGGCAGTGAGGACAATGGTCAGCGCTGATAGGACTTCCTAGTCCAGCAATATCTGGTTCCCCATTCCTGGTTTAAGCCACCTATCAGCAGCTCCCCAAGAATGAGGAAGCAAAGTCGCCAACTGCAGGGCCTTTCTAAGAAAATCATAGTTAGCCTAGCTGCCTCCCATCTTGCTTACAAATAAACTCACTCAACATATCTGACAGAAATCTGACCAGAAAACTGACTTGTTCTGCAAGAGCTTTTTGTTTTGTTTTTGTTTTACTAGTCAAATACCAACCGTATGCAAAACATACTCTTTTAGTCTCCAGTTTATAAGAGCTCACAGGAAAGTGAGCATTGTTTATAATTTTTGCATTTGAGGAAATCTTTCAGCAGTCCCAGTTTCAGTGACTCCCAATTTACAGGATTTAGGATTTCTAACAGGCCCATACTATGCATAGATCTGTCACAAATGGGAGGTTTCTTTTGCTGTCTAGGGATTCCTCCTTGTCAACTCATATTAACTACAATTCAGATAAGTTTACCTCAGCCTCCACCAAAAGCTGCATCTTTCGAGTGTCAACAATGTCAACATGACCTAAGAGGAAAAAAACAAATCATTGCTGTATTTTCAATCATAAATACAATATATAAATAAATATAAGTTGTCCGCAGGTATGAAAGGCAAAACAGGAAAAGTATGCAAACTGGAAATTTAAAGTATTTTAATATCAGTGCTGCAAATAAGTCCACAAAAGTTACTAGCCCTCAAAACTTTCACTTATTCCCCTGCCCAGATGTACCTGTATTAGTTGTCCGCTACTGACCAAAAGGAAAAACAACCTATTCCAATTTCCAAGGCTTCACTTCCTAGAGTGCATTAAAACCATAGTTAATCGGGGCAGATCATTTAAACTTACCGTATTTTTTGCCCCATAGGACGCACCGGCCCATAGGACGCATCAAGTTTTTTTGGGGGGAAATAAAGAAAAAAAAATTTATTCCCCCCCCCGGCGCTTGTGGGGCCGGCAGCAGGGAGAAGCGGTCTTCTCCCCGCCGCCCGCCTTGAGATCAGGTCCAGGCACAGCAGGAAGACGCGCTGCGCCTCCCAGCTGTCCCCGGAGCTTGCGGGGCAAGCAGCGGGGAAGGCCGCCTGCCTTCAGATCAGGTCCGGGGACAGCAGGAAGACGCGCTGCGTCTCCCAGCTGTCCCCGGAGCTTGTGGGGCAGGCAGCAGGGAGAAGCGCTCTTCTCCCTGCCGCCCGCCTTGAGATCAGGTCCGGGGACAGCGGGGAGACGCGCTGCGCCTCCCAGCTGTCCCCGGAGCTTGTGGGGCAGGCAGCGGGGAGAAGCACTCTTCTCCCTGCCGCCCGCCTTGAGATCAGGTCCGGGGACAGCGTGGAGACGCACTGCGCCTCCCAGCTGTCCCCAGAGCTTGTGGGGCAGGCAGCGGGGAGAAGCGCTCTTCTCCCCACCGCCCGCCGTGAGATCGGGTCCGGGACAGCGGGAGACGCGCTGCGCCTCCCAGCTGTCCCCGGAGCTGTGGGGCAGGCAGCGGGGAGAAGCACTCTTCTCCTGCCGCCCGCCTTGAGATCAGGTCCGGGGACAGCGTGGAGACGCACTGCGCCTCCCAGCTGTCCCCAGAGCTTGTGGGGCAGGCAGCGGGGAGAAGCGCTCTTCTCCCCACCGCCCGCCTTCAGATCAGGTCCGGGGACAGCAGGAAGACGCGCTGCGTCTCCCAGCTGTCCCCGGATCTTGCGGGGCTGGCCGCCAGACCCCGCCGCCAGCCTCCAAACCACTTCGGGAGACAGCGGGATGGCAGCGTTCCGCCTCCCTCTGTCCCCCGACCTTGTAGGGCTGGCGCTGGGGCTCTCCTGAAGCCTGGAGAGCGAGAGGGTCGGTGCGCACCGACCCCTGGCGCTCTCCAGGCTTCAGTGAAAGCCCGCATTCGCCCCATAGGACGCACACACATTTCCCCTTCATTTTTGGAGGGGAAAAAGTGCGTCCTATAGGGCGAAAAATACGGTATCTACCCAAATTACTTCCTGCCAACCTAGCAGTTCGAAAGCAGTCAAAGTGCAAGTAGATAAATAGGTACCGCTCTGGTGCAAAGGTACACGCCGTTTCTGTGCGCTGCTGTGGTTCACCAGAAGCGGCTTAGTCATGCTGGCCACATGACCTGTAATGTGTACGCCGGCTCCCTCGGCCAATAAAGTGAGATGAGCGCCGCAACCCCAGAGTCGGCCACGATTGGACCTAATGGTCAGGGGTCCCTTTACCCAAATACTACAAAAAGGAGGCGCTAGGGAGAAGGATTCTAGTCTGGCCATCTGCCGGACATCTGCATGATTCAACCATCCATGCACCGCTTGCCCCCTGCACCCTCAAGTGGTACAGCCCAGGCACCAGTTCACCAGCCAAGTGAGAGCAAGACGGCAGAGACGGTGCACACAAGACATTCAACTGTGACAACACGAGTGTACAATGCATAGAAATAAGTTTTTCTGAAAACAAAAACAAATTTGTTTCTGCAGAATTGCAGTTAGATGGTTCTTCTTGACATTCCTCTCATTAAACAATCATTCAGCAATTGTATTTGGGCATATCTTGAACAAAATTCCAGCCAAACTAGGGAAGGGAACATTCATATTAATCAATGAAAAATAAAAATCCTTTTTATTGATGAAATCCCCTTTAGCTTGGTTTTGCTGAGCTCTAAGTAAGTGTGTAGGAATGTACCAGGAATGCCTGAGGTTCTGCTTAAACCACCAGCTTGATAAGTGAAGAACTTGCTATGTGAACTATTGGGCTTGCTATATTACTGGAAACTAGGATGACAATTTGGGCAATGCTTGCTTAAGCAATGTATGACAAAATAAGGAGTATCAAAGTGCAGCTGCCTACAAATTGATCACGCAAGAGCATGTTGATCACAATGTGCATCCCTCAGGAGCTGGCATGATTGGTGCCTTATGATATAAAGGTCACGTATACTAGAATGCTATAATTGGAGGTATTGAATCTTTCTGTGTTCTGTGAAGCTATAACTGTTTCCTTTCACATGTTTGGGTGTGGTCTGAGCTTCTTGCACCCCACAATAAACTGTTTTCTCCTCCAAGTGTGGGACCCCAATCATCAAACAGTAAATATCAAGTAAACAATAAAAATACACTAGATCACTAAACTCTGGCTGGATGTAGACACATCAAAGAAGCGTTTTAGTTTAAAGCATTGTAAATTTAAAACAGGTAGAGAAAAACAGGACTCCACGTCGTCATCTGGTGGCAAAATGTTACATTGCACATACAACACATATAAATTGCTTTTTCTCTATCAGTCTAACTGAGTCCTCTGATAGCATGCCCTTTTGAAAAATCAAAAACACCATCCCTGGAGCATACTGTACTTACCGGTTGTTAAATCCCTGGTTATGGCATCACAAGATTCATTAAATACAGATCGCTTAAGATGAAAAGATGGGCTTGGTTACTGCTCATTACACCTAACGCTCACCACCTGTCATTGAGATCATACCAGGTGATGCTGTGCTTTCAAAAAGTGATTTCAGAACCACAAACCACAGTGATGAGCTTTGCAAACCAAAGTTTCATACAGGTTCATACTGGGCTGCTTGAAAACTGTCTCATTTCGTTTGAAAACTTCCAGATTTTGGAGGTTCAAAGGGTAGCACTGAGTTGTTTGAATGCCCTTCCTTTCAGTAAGATTCCAGTGCCAACCATCTCCTAAATCAGGAAGGGGTTTGCATTGGAATCCCTTGCTAAAACAAAGCAGGGAGTTTTCATGCAAAGCCCTTCCTGAATCCAGAAATGGCCTTGCAAGCCACATGTGATGGCCTGGGAATCCGATTCAGAGGCTGAACCGGAGGAATCCCAGCCTGCACAGGAGTCCCCGCCTCCAGGGCCGGCTGAACTGGGGCAGGGCCTTGATTCTGAAGCGCCTGCACCTGTGCCAGATCCTCAGGAGCAGGCACCAGGTGAATCCACTCTGGCTCCGGAGGTGGTTGAGCACTCAGTGCCTACAGGTGAGTCTCCCCCTGGGTCCGGTAACCCTTCAGCCTCTCCTGAACTGCAGAGGCTCAGGGCAGAGAGGCGAAGGGAACTGGTTTCTCCCAGGAGGAGTGCTCGCCTTAAGGCCAGGAGAGGCGGGTCTCCTGGGGGCCGGGACCGCCCCTGGCCTCAGAGAAGATAAAGGCCAGTCAGCCCGGTCCCAGGTTGCGGGAGCAACGTCGTTGAGTACCTGCTCTTGCCCGGACCCAGACCTGACCTTCCAGTGATCCTGTCCCCGCCCGGCTTCCTGCTTCGGACCTCGCCTCACTCCTTGTGAACTGTTTCCAGACCAGTGACCCAGGACCGGACTTTGACTATGCCAACGGTAACCTTCCCCCCAGGACCAGCACACCACATTGGACTCCTAATAGGCAAAGCTTATTCTACAGGCTGAAAAGATAGAGGCAGTTTTGCCCTCCCAGACTTTAAATTATATTATGAAGCTGCATGTTTGGTATGGATTAGGGACTGGATGAAGTTGGAAAAGCAAGAAGCATTAGAACTGGAAGGACATGACAATAGATTTGGTTGGCACGCATATCTATGGCATGGGAAAGGGAAAGTACATAAAAGTTTTTATAATCACATAATTAAGAAATCACTAATGAGAGTATGGGAGTGATATAAAGATCTATTAGAACAGAAGACTCCTTGGTGGCTTTCACCACACAAAGCTTTACTGCTCAAACCACTTGGAAAGAAAGGAAAGTGGCTTACGTATGCTGACTTGTTAAAGGATCAAGAAGGAAAATGGAAATTAAGAGATCATTTTCAGAGTTGGTTACATTATTGGCAACTACACAAGATATACAGAGAAGATAACAAGAAAGGATTCAGTTATACGACATCTAGATTTCAGAAGGAAGTTGTGGAAGTGAAAGTAAAGTTGCTGAAAGGCACATACAGTATTCTGCTAGAATGGGAAACAAAAGATGAGGAGGTGAAATCAGTCATGATTAAATGGACACAAGATATAGGCCATAACATAATGTTTGAAGATTGGGAAAGATTGTGGAAAATTGATTTAAAATTTACAGACTGTTCTTTACTGAAAGAAAATAAAATAAAATAAAATTTGAAGGAAGGAAGGAATAGAAAAGAGAACACCTTAAGTATACAGTGGTACCTTGGGTTACATACGCTTCAGGTTACATACGCTTCAGGTTACAGACTCCGCTAACCCAGAAATAGTACCTCGGGTTAAGAACTTTGCTTCAGGATGAGAACAGAAATCGTGCTCCGACGGCGCGGCAGCAGAAGGAGGCCCCATTAGCTAAAGTGGTGCTTCAGGTTAAGAACAGTTTCAAGTTAAGAACGGTCCTCCGGAACGAATTAAGTACTTAACCCGAGATACCACCGTATATGAAAATGATGTATAGATGGTATATAACACCAGTACAGATAGCAAGAATGTACAAAACTGGCTCAAATATATGTTGGAAATGTAAGAAAAAAGAAGGGACTTTTTATCATATGTGGTGGGATTGTAGCGAAATTTTAAAAATTTGGGAAATGATATACAATGAATTGAAGAAAATGTTCCAATTAACATTTGTAAAAAAGCCTGAAGCATTTTTGTTAGGGTTTGTAGGAAAAGACCTGCCAAGGAAATTGAAGAACATATTCATGTATGCGACAATGGTGGCAAGAGTCTTAATAACACAAGGATGGAAGAATGAAGAAATCCTGACAAAAGAACTGTGGCAAGGGAAATTGATAGACTATGTGGAACTGGCGGAATTGCCACACAAACTGCATGATAAGGACAACTGTGACTTTAAAGAAGAATGGGAACCTTTTACAAAGTACTTAAAGAAACAACAAAATGAACTGGACTCCTTGGCAGGTTTTGAATAAACAAACACAAATTTATTATTGGTAACATATAGACAGATAAGTTAAGGATCTTTACAATTTTATAATATGCAGAGAATAACATGTGCTGAAAAACCAGAGAGAGGAGCTGAGGGAAGTCCGGGCGGGGGTGGGAGGGTGGGTTTTTCCTGGGGAGGGGAAATTAGGGGGGAAATTAGGATGATATGTCTTTGATAAATTGTTATGCTGAAATTCTTAATAAAAATTATTCTATAATTTCAATTCCCCGCTCCTCTACATGCAGCTGCTGGGTGACCTTGGGCTAGTCACACTTCTCTGAAGTCTCTCAGCCCCACTCACCTCACAGAGTGTTTGTTGTGGGGGAGGAAGGGAAAGGAGAGTGTTAGCCGCTTTGAGACTCTTTAGGGTAGTGATAAAGCGGGATATCAAATTCAAACTCTTCTCTGGGTATTGAAGGTCGTCTTTCACAACAGTCAGAAATGCAGTGCCCTCAGCAATTAGTTCCAAGTCCTCCACAAAACGTACTGTATCATTGGCACTGTGACAAACATCTTTGAACATCATTTATTGCTACATCACATACACTGCCAAAGGTAGGTCTTAATTACTGCAACAAATATTAATTAATTGTTGCAACAAGCTCTGCAGACATGTGCAAACAGGATGGGTAGCCACTGTTAACACACTTGTAACAGGGAAGACGTGCCAGAAATGTGCGCACATGATGCCTCCCTCTTCAACAGTTTCTGATGAGCATAGTTCCAAGAGGCAGGGGGAAAGAGGCTGCTTATTTATGTTCCACTGTGCATACAAGACACTCCAAGCACCATACGCCTATGAAAGCTCATTTCTACATATCCCTCTTTATCTCCAAGCTCAAGAGGGCTGCATCAGGGACACTCACCTGGAACGAAGATGCAAGTGCAATATCTCCTTGCTGTAGGCATGGAATACAGTGGTACCTCAGGTTACAAACACTTCGGGTTACAGACTCTGCTAACCTGGAAGTAGTACCTCAGCTTAAGAACTTTGCCCCAGGATGAGAACAGAAATCGCACAGCAGCAGTGCAGCAGCAGCAGCAGGAGGACCCATTAGTAAAAGTGGTACCTCAGGTTAAGAACGGTTTCAAGTTAAGAACGGTCCTCTGGAACAAATGAAGTTCGTAACCAGAGGTACCACTGTACCTAGATGCATCTTATATCTTTTTGTATCATCACCTACTTTTGAGAGGCGTCTTCCATGAATACGGTCTTAAGAGTTAAAAGTAGGATTCTGTTCTGGTTGCTGTTGCCAATTCCTTCTTTCCCAATATTTCCGGGCCACAGATCAAAATCTCACTCAACTCTTGCATTAAAATCACCCAGGAGGATGATTTTATCTTTCTTAGGCATCTCTGTTAAGATGGTATCCAGCTCCCTGACCACTAGCCATCCTGGGAGTTGGGAGTCCAACAATATGAGGACAAGTGGTTCTGCATCCCTGCCAGCTACGCCTCTCACCCTCGGAGCCCTCTGCAGTGATTTTAATCCATACAAACAAGATGGGAGCAACTACACGTCATCCTTCTGTGACAGAAGGCTCTAAAAAGTCACGTACCTTGGCAAGAACCTTTGGGCAGTCACTGCCAGCAAGGGCTTCTCCTCTCCAACAGCTAATTGCCCAGTTGGAAGGTATCATGCAGAGACATCAGCACACACACACACACACACACACACACACACACTGTGCAAGCCCTTTAGCCCTTGTAGAATGAAAGCTTTAAAGCAAAGCACACAGACACCATTCAAAGAAATTGTTTTGGGAGATTTGAGCCTGCTCCTACATTTTAGTGATTTTAGCCAATGAGTGAAGTCAGAGCTGTAACTGGCAAGTGCTGGAAAGAAATTTATCACACAAGCAATATCCATGTTGCAGAGGGAGTACTGTGCCTGAGGAAGCATGGGCTACTACCGCCCTGCAATGTAGCCTATTGTTGCTATACAGTACTAAAATTACAGGGGAATCATAGAATTGCAGAGTTGGAAGGGACCACAAGGGTCATCTAGTCCAGCCTCCTACAATGCAGGCAGGAATCTTTTGCTCAGCGTGGGGCTCAAACCCACAGCCCTGAGATTAAGAGTCTCGTACGTTACCAACTGAGGAGAAGGCAGAGAAGGAGGCAGAAGTGCATGACAACCTTCCAGACTCTTGTGGGGAGGAATTTTAGGAAAACCAGGCAGGGAGCTGTTAAACAGATTGCAACAGCAACATGGGGGTGGGAGGAGGTGATTAATTGCTTCCCCACCCATGGAGGGAAGATTGGGGTGCTTGTTGCTTGTGTGAACACTTAAATGGGTATATTCACATCAAAGGCTCAAAGGCTTTTTTTTACTCAAGAAAAGAGTGGCCATGTGACCTGAGTTAATAACATTGCTAAAGTTTTTTAAACTTCATAACCAACAAGAAATCCTGATGGAATGCACTGGTTGCTTTTTATCAATGTAATCCTGAGTTTATCCAAGCGTACAGAGGAGGGCAACCAAGATGATTAAGGGTCTGGAAACCAAGCTTAATGAGGAACGGTTGAGGGAGCTGGGTATGTTTAGCCTGGAGAAGAGGAGACTGAGAGGAGATATGAAAAACCTTTTAAAATGTGGGCAGTTCCAGAATTTACATCATGTAAATGCCAGGGGAAACAATTTTAAGTTGGCACCAAAGGGAAAGGACTATATGTGTCCCACTGTTACTGCACAATGCGCTGTGGAACCTCAAGAAGCACCTCTCCTAATGATCTTTACAACTTTACAACAGCTTGATACATGGAGATAAGAAGATTCATTATGCACGACAAACTGAATATGTCCCAAAATGGGATTCCATAAACAATTATTTTGGAATTTGCATTGATGGGTATTCCCCACCCCCCTTTACACTGCCTTTCAAGACCTAACATGGAGTCTTTCAAGTCTATTTTGTTTAGGACATCAAGTCAAGGAATTTGTAAACGAAGTAGTAATGATACAAAGGAGTACTTAAGAGAAAAGTCTATGAGGAATGATATCAATTTTCTGAGCAAGGTGTCAAGCTGCTGCCAGCGACTTCCGGCTGCTTGCCCAGGAACATATAAAGACAAGGGAATGTTTCTTACTGTCCGCTTTTTATTCAGTATTTACAGAGAGAGGCTATAGCACCCAGCCTCTTGGATAATGGCACTGTCCCGAGTGAATCTCCACCCCACCCATCGTCTCTCCCACTTCCTCATTCACCATTCTCATTGTCTCTCCTACAGGTGCTGCTATGTGCCCTCTGTCTTTGAGCTCTTTGCTCTCCTACTTTTAAGGCTCACCAGCTTCTGGGAGATGGAAGGTCTGGGATGCTTTCTAATAACAACCTGTCAGCTGAGTGTTGTTCTGTCTCTCCCATGATTTCCCAGCTTTCCCCCTCATCTGCCTCTGAGCTGTGACCTCCTTCAAACCCCTGTTGTAAATCTATACTGTCTTCCTCTTCCTCCTCCCTGGAAGGGTCAAGCTAGAGAGGCGGTCTCCAACATCCTCCTCTGACCAGTCTCTGACACAAAGTTGGTGGAACATGATGCTGGGGAGATGATAAAAGATGTAAGAAATCATATCTGTGATTGAAGATGGGAATGAACTGTATGAGATATATGCAGGGCACTGGTTAAATTGTGGAGTAGGCACATGTTTCTTCCTCCTGTGGTTTCAGCATCCCATCACTGGCAACATTTCCTTCTGATGCTACAGCCTTTGCCAACCTGGTGCCATGACAAGTTTGGACCACAACCCCCCATCCAAGCACCTGGAAGGCACAAGGTTAGTGAAGGCTGTCATAGTGCAACAATGCACATCTGTACACATAGCCCACCAGAAGTAGAACTTCACATGCAGGCTTCACATGCAGCACAGAAATTTGTAGGAGCAAAAGCAGTCCAGAGAATGAAGTAAGGAGATGCAGAGGAGTCAGCTGGGGAAGCCTGGGATGAGAATCAACATCCTATACCCCTTTTAAATGTGTTTTATTTTCAAATTGACAGACTACAATTAGGGCCATCGCTCAGCCTCCCAAAGGTCCTGCTCCCTGAAGACAGATTCAGAGCTTTCAAACAGGACTGAGCTTACAATGTTGAGTGCTGTGAGGATAGAGAACAAGAGCAGCTTGAAAACACAATTTGCCAGCTACGCAAATTCATCATAACTCAATTCATCATTTGAGTTCTCAGCTAAGGTTAGAATCCAGTGGTCATCGATATGACAACCCTAAGTGCACGATAGTTTACAAAATGTGCTTTGTCGTAGGGTGTGTGTAACAACACAACAATTAATCCACTTTACAGATGTGCCAACAGGTCCAGAAAGATTGGAAAGCCAAAATACATGTATTGGGTTGTAACAAAGTTTTACTCATAGTAGACCCATTGGACATGGTGAACACTGGAAACAATCCATTATTTAAGAACTGAGGAAGAATTCGTATTTACTGTACTTCAGAACTTTTGTTCATTTGCAGATTCAAAGTAAATACACTGATAAAATCTTATAGTTAATAAGATAAAATTTCTGCAGTTACTGATAAAGAAATCTCATAAATGCATCTACACCAGGGATTGGCAACCTAAGGCCCGCGGGCAGGGAAAGGCCGGCTGGGCGAGTGGACCTCATTCTGTGCACACAAAGACTTGTTGGAATCCCACCCGACCACAATAACGTGGTCTGAGGAGCAACTGCCTGTCAGAGTAAGAAGTACTGGGTGAGATGAACTGCTGGTCCAACTCAGTACAGTGGTACCTCGGCTTACATACGCTTCAGGTTACAGACTCCACTAACCCAGAAATATTACCTCGGGTTAAGTACTTTGCTTCAGGATGAGAACAGAAATCGTGCTCCGGCGGCGCGGCAGCCGGAGAAGACAGTTCTGTAGAAGACAGTTTCACACCCAGCTTGAATTTGAGTAAACATGTTTAGCAATGAATGCCAGTATTCACACCCAGGGGCAAATGTCTGGTACCTCTTTCAATAAAAAGTACAATGCCGATGAGTGAGCTATGGATTTGTATCTTGGTCAGGTAAAACTAGAACACTAGTGAGAATACTCTACAGTGGTTTCACAGAGCTGAAGCACAGCTAAAAGAGAAACTATTCAGTTAAGGGGAAAAATACAGTGCTAAGGTCAGATTATTAGCACAAGGCAAACACGCTCAGAGCTGGCTGAGTACCAAGTTACCTGCAACACACAGCATTATCTGAAGGAACATCGAATATCAAATCAAATCAAATCAAATATCTTTAATACGGTCAATGACCAGGAAGCAATTTATAAAATATGACATTAAGAGTAGTATTGTGCTACAAGTAACAGTAAAAATATGGCCAATTCACAGGATTGGTGCTTATATTTATGACCAGGTTTCAAGTTTTAAGTTTTTTAAAATTCGATTCAGGAGTCGCTACTGTTTATTATCGTTCCTTCGATGTTTACAGTTTGAACTCCTTTGTAGACATCATTGCTCGTCTTATTCTTGTTGCAATGTAACAGTACTTTGCCACAGACCTGTTAATTTCGGGCTCTTTGTCAGCTAGGAGGTGTCTGATATAGGTGTCGTCTGTACTACGAGGTATTTTCCTCAGAATCGGTTCGATCAGCTCTTTTCTTGAGTCTCGATATAATGGGCAGTATAAGATGACATGCCCAATGGTTTCGATTTCATTGCTGTTACAGGGGCATAATCTTTGTTCGATCGGTATTTTATTGTATCTTCCCTCTAGAAGGGCTGAAGGGAGAGCGTTAAAGCGGGCCCTGGAAAATGCCCATCGGTGTTTAGCGTTGTCTAGAACTTTGAGATAGTTTGCTAGATGGGGCCTTTGGGAATTGTATAGAAGTTTATAGGTTATCGGAAGTTGGTTAAAGTCATTTTGGGTTTCAATGTCCTTGAGTCTTTCTTTGATTATGTTCTTGGCCCTTCCCCTTTCTAAACTTAATAAATACTCTGGTGAGAGACCATATGTGGCCAGTTTTCTGAGAATGCCCTTCAACCAGCTAGATTGGAATTTGTCAAGAAGCATCAGCGAAAGTAGTCCAACCGGCGAGTTGTTAAGTCTTAGCCAAGTGCATAAAGTTCTTATCCATACTTTGGCTTTAATGCTGTATAAGCCCGTTTCCAGTCGTAAGGCGGCGTTTGGGACGCATTTAGGTGTTTGCAGGAGTGATCTAAGGAAACCTGATTGTATCTTCTCATATGGGTCTAGATTAGAGAGGGAGACGAGTGGTGCGCCGTATAGAATTTGTGCTATTGGTTTTGCAACGAATAGTTTAATTGTAGCAGGAATGAAATTTCCTCCCGTTGTACGATGGAATCTTAGGATTGCTGTTGTACTTTTTTGTGCTGTAAAGGAGCTGTAGTTTATGTGGGCAGTCTTCTTCCTTGATGCTTGGAATATCACTCCTAGATATTTAAAGCATGTCACTTGTTCAATCTCCTGATTGTCCAAATTCCATCTGTATATTTTCCTTTTGTTAGAGAAAACCATGATTTTTGTTTTTTGGTAGTTCACTGCTAGTTTCTCTTCTCTACAATATTGGGATAAGCTGTTAAGAGCTCTTTTGAGGCCCATCTGAGTCTGGGACAATATAACCGCGTCGTCTGCATAGAGTAGGATAGGCAGTTTTTTGTCTACTAATTTTGGGGCGTGTGTATCCGCTCCTTGTAGGTGGTCTATTAGGGAGTTTATATAGATGTTGAACAAAAAGGGGGCCAAAATGCATCCTTGTTTAACTCCCTTTGTTGTTCTAATGAAATTAGAGAGTTGGCCTTCTTGGCTGCGTCTTATGCGAAGTTGTGTGTTATTGTACAGTTTGTATATTAGTAGCAGCAGACGTCGGTCTATGGATGATTTGTTGAGTTTGTCCCAGAGTCGAGTTCTTGGGATGGAGTCGAAGGCTGCTTTAAAATCTACAAATGCTGCGAATAGGTGGAGATTGTGATGCGACGTGTATTTCTCAGCTAGGTGCTGTAAGATCAGGCAGTGATCCATTGTGGATCTCCCTTGTCTAAATCCTGCCTGTGCATCATCGAATATCTCTCTTCTTTGCCAAAGTGTTTATAGCATAGCCCAAGCATTAAGGAAACTCTGGCTTTAATGAGTTATATAAAAAGAGTTACCTGTACTTTCTCTTGATATTTGATTAGCTGTTTGTGGTCATTTTAACAATATTTCACTGATGCTAATTTTTAACTGAGGAGTGTATGAAAGCTACTTTGGGAGCCCCCACTGCCTGAAAAGCAGGCTAAAAATAACATAACGATAAATTGTGACGTATGTAAATAGTAATGACAAGCCACTGAACGGATGGGAAAGGCAGGAGGGAAACGAGAAAGAAAAGTAACTTTCCAAAGAAAAAAACAAATGAGCCTGTGTTTAATATTAACCAGCTATGTCCTCTTCCTCCTCAGCTTCAATTTCCCCCTGCACATTCATTCTTCTGACATATCATTTGTGTTTGCAACACTAAGGAATGACCTGGAGTAACCTCCACCTTGGGAAATTACCACAGCCTTGCAAGTCCTGGACTACAAGGCAGAGATCCCACATGCTTTCCTCAAGACAGATTAGTCACAGCTGAAACCCAACACTATTTGAGAGAAGGACAAAGGCATTTTCAAAGCCCTTCCAGGAACACATCCCCTTGCATATCATCTTTAGTGGTACACCAGCCCAATCCCCAATCAAACTCCAGTGACAGAACATTCCATTTCCATGAAGGCTTCTTTCCACCCAAAACCCAAGAAATGACATAAAACGAGATGCGAACCGAGGCAGATTCTTCATATCAGGCTTGGATTTTTTTAATTCATTAGACCTTTTATCCGAACCAAAAAAGGTGCTAAATTAAGAACAGGGCCGCTTAATAATTACTTAGGCCCACTTAGGAATAAGTGGTCAAATAAATAAATAAATAAATAAATAAATAAATAATCGATCAATCAATCCAGGAAAAAAGCCTCTTTTGGCTCACTTCAGACATCACGCCAACCCATGGCTAAGGAAATATAAAGATGGTTTGGCATTTTTTTGAGATTGGCAAACCGCAATTAGGGCCATCGCTCAGCTTCCCAAAGGTCCTGTTCCCTGGAGACAGGGTCTGAGCTTTCAAACAGGACTGAGCTTACAATGTTGAGTGCTGTGAGGAAAGAAAACAGGAGCAGCTTGAAAACACAATTTGCCAGCTATGCAAATTCATCATAACTCAATTCATCATTTGAGTTCTCAGCTATGGTTAGAATCCAGTGGTCATCGATATGACAACCCTAAGTGCATGAGTCAGCAGAGGCCATCCCAGGCACCCACAATATTACACACCCACAACCCACACACCGAAACTTGGCTTGAAAGCAGCATTTTTTCCTATCACAAATGATAAAATAGTTTACAAGATGTGCTTTGTTGTAGGGTGTGTCTAGCAATACAACAATTAATCCACTTTACAGATGTGCCAACAGGTCCAGAAAGATTGCAAAACCAAAATACATGAAACAAAGTTTTACTCATAGTAGACCCATTGAACATGGTGAACACTGGAAACAATCCATTATATAAAAACTGAGGAAGAATTTGTATTTACTGTACTTTTGCTCATTTGCAGATTCAAAATAAATCCACTGATAAATGTTGGGATACTGCCAGGGAGATAAAGTCCATCATGGCCCCCAAGCCGTCTGCCGGACGATCCATCAGCCTCCCGTAGGCACGCAGCGACATGAGTTTCTAGAAAATATCTTGCCACATTCCAGACTCATGCACGCTCTATCAGCAATTAGCACAGCCAAAAGTTGCACTCAGGAGAGCATTATTTACAAGTTTATTCAGCGTTGATCAGAACACAGAAAAACATGACTGACTGCTTTAGTGTCTGCGACACCAGAGAGAAAACGAAAGCAACAGAAAACATAAACATCCTGTGAACAGGAAATACGCAGACTCTGACTCACAAAGCCTGCTCCCTTTTAAGGTGGAACGGAAATATCCTAACATCCTCCCCTTTCCGTGTAACCTGTAGTACCTGTGGTTCAACCCAATTGCAACCTTTGTACATAAACCTTAAGTTGTTCTCTGTTAACAACCTTAGACAACAGATCAGCAGGAATTTCATTTCCTGGCATGTAGGACACCTGAATGAGTCCTTTCTGAATACACTCCCTTGCACGATGTAGCTTAATCTGCAAGTACTTGGTCCTTTGCTTGCAACTCTCTGAGTTCAGCAAAGCCAAACACGATCTATTGTCTTGATACACTTGTACAGGACATTTCACAGAAACTCCGATGTCCTTAAACAGTTGCATCAACCATTCACAATCCATGAGTGAAAATGACAGAGCATTGAGTTCTGCTTCACAGGAACTTAGGCTCACTGTCGTCTGCTTTTTGCACAACCAGTCAAACAGACAGTGGTTGTACATGTAGCATACTCCAGAAGTGCTTGTACCATCCGTGGTGTCACTTCCAAAACTTGCATCTGCAAAGATTTCAAGACCTCCAGTCTTCTGACTGGTGAACCTCAGCCTGTAGTGCATAGTCCCTTTCAAATAGCGGGCTATGCGCTTCAGAGCTTTCCAATCCTGAACAGTAGGATTGTTGGCATGTCTGCTAAGCAGGTTACAGCTTACAGCTATGTCAGGTCTTGAGCATCTAGCAATGAAATTCAACTTGCCTAGAATGCACCTGTACAGCGTAGTGTCAGAAAACGCTTCAGCAGTACTGTCTACCTGGTAACCTGTCACCATCGGTGTGTCTGCTGGGTTTGCATCAACCAAATTCAACCTGGTTAAAACATCAGCAATTTTCTGTGTTTGGTGTACCAGAAAATTACCTGCTTGGTCCCTCTCCACCTGCAGAGAAAGATAGTTGGATACCTCACCAAGATCCTTCATGTCAAAGTGCTCCTTCAGCTGAGCTAGGGTGCTTTGGTACAAAGCCTGATTCTTCCAAAACATCAGAAGATCATCAACAAAACATAAACAATACAGTTTGTTTTGCCCCTCCTCCTTGACAAACACACATGGATCAGCTTTGCCCTGGTGAAAACCTAGAGAAAGCAATGTCTCAGTGAGTTTTGTGTTCCAACACCTGGCACTCTGCTTGAGACCATATAAGGATTTCCGCAGTTTACAGACCATTCCCTTCTGTATCTGCATCCCGTCAGGTGGAAGCATAAACAGCTCCTCCCCAGAATCCCGTACAAAAAGCTGTATTAATGTCATGATGGGAAACATGCAGTTTCTCCTCTGCAGCTATCTTGAGCATCAGCCGAATGCTCTCATATTTGACGGTGGGTGAGTAGGTCTCGTGGTAATCCTGTCCTGGTACCTGTGAAAAACCTCTGGCAACCAATCTGGCTTTGTGTCTGACAACCTTGCCATTCTGGTCTGTCTTGGCCTTGAAGACCCATTTGCTGCCAACCAGTCTCATTCCTGGGACTACCGGTACCAGTTCCCAAGTTTGGTTCCTATTCAAGGAATCAACTTCAGCCTTCATGGCATTTAGCCAAGGCTCAGCATCTTTAGAGGTTAACTCCTGAACCTCTTTGAAGCTTGAAGGTTCCCACACCTTCTCTGAGCTACTAAGAACAGCAGTTGCTGTCTTAGCAAACTCATCAGCAAATCTCTTTGGAGGTCTGCCCTTCGTGGCCCTCTCAGATCTGCGTACTAGACGCAAGTCTTCTGGACTCATCTCCTCCTTCTTAGGAGAAAAGTGACCAATGGTGAACAGTGGTTCTTCCAGTTCATTGTCAGACGCATCAGATGGTCTGACTGAGGCCTTTGCGCTCTTGTAGTCTGCTGTGTCATCACTTTCACTGACATCAGCAGCAGCGCCGCCCACTGAACTGGAATCCGAACTCTGATCATCATCGTCATCATCATCCTCAGCAGCTTCCTCAACATTAGCTGCTTCTTTGACATCACCTTCATCCTCCTCTGGGTAACTCTGGAAAATTCCCACATTTTCCCCCCACTTAGGATTGTACTCAACACTCTTTGTGAACTTAATGGACTTAGAGTTGGTCATCCACACCCTGTATGCACCTTTTCGTACCCCATGAACAAACCATGTGCCCCACGCTTCCCAAGCTTGTTGCTTTGTGGGGTGTGTACCCACATGTCAGAACCAAAGATTCTCATGTGCTTGATGTTGGGTTTCTTACCAAACATCTTCTCATAGGGAGTACAACCAATAGGTGATGACAATCTGCGATTATAAGTGTAAGCAAAATTCGACAGAGCCTCCCCCCAATACTTATCAGGGAGATTGGCATCATGCAACAATGTTTTCATTCCTTGCAGCAACGTTTGATTTGCTCGCTCCGCAAGCCCATTCATCCATGGCGATCTAGGCGTTGACAAGTCATGCTGGATTCCCTTCTCAGTCAGGAAAGCTTCAAACTGCTGAGAAGTGAACTCCCGCCTCGATCAGTAAACAGACAGCCAATGCGTTTACCGTGAACATTCTCCAACCAAGCACAGAATGCCTTGAACTTAGGAAACGCTTGCGATTTCTGCTCGAGCATAAACACATGAATGTACCTTGAAAAAGAATCAATTAGAACCATGAAGTACCTTGCTCCACCCAAAGAGGGCGCAAGTGGACCAACCAGGTCTGCGTGCACTAGCTGGTAGGGTCTGGAAGCCTGCCTGCTAGACTCCTTGCCTTTTGGAGCAACCTTCACCTTGTTCTCTGCACAAGATACACATTTCATGTGAAACTTACAGGGTTTGATGTTCAAACCCTCAACCATCTCTGGCATCTTGGCCAGTGCCTGCCAAGACATGTGACAAAATCTTCTGTGTGCATCATGAATGCATCCTGCATGAAGAACTTTGTTAGTTTGTGCAACACAACAAGAATCAACATTAGACACAACAGCACCATTGTCGTCATAAGTTATACAGAACAAGCCATCCATAAACTTTGCATGCAAAATGTCCTCTTTGCCTTTTCTGATGACACAGACGCTCCTCTTGAAGGAAATCTCAAAACCACGCCCAGTCAACTGTGGGACACTGAGCAAATTGTCTGCAGCACCTGGAACATATAGTACATCTTTGATGGTAGTGTGCAGACTTGCCAGTTTCACAGTCCCTTCTCCCGCAATTCGCAACGTCTTTCCATCAGCCAGGTGGATCTCACCTTCTTGAGGTTTGAAGGAGATAAATAGGTGGCGGTCTTTTGAGACATGGCGGGTACAGCCTGAATCAATAACAAACCTGGCCTTGGCATCTGGAGCAGTCTTTCTGGCAAGCAAAACCTTGTTTTCCACCGGCGTGGGCTTTTGCAGCTTGCCCCCCTGCTCCTGGCCATCAGACTTGCCTTTAGCCTTTGGTGAGGCTGTGCCAGCAAACAAAGCATTGTTTTTCCCTGGCTTGGGCTTTCCACCCCCCCTCTGCTTCTTGCCATCTGCTGGCTTCTTCCTTTGTTTATTTCCAGTCTTTGGACAAAACTTCTGAGTGTGACCTTGGGTCCCACAGTTCCAGCACTTCACAGCTGCCAACGCTTTGGCTCCCCTGGAGGCTGGAATGCTGTCCCACATTGCTCCCCCTGGAGCGCACAAGCCGACTCAGCTGCATTCCTTCTATCGTATTCATTTTGCAAAGTCGCCAAGACCTTTGTAGCAGTGAGGTCTTGCGCAGGGAGGGTCGCCAGCTGACTTGCCACGGCATGGTAGCTTTCATCCAGGGAGTCCAGGATGAGAATTGCAAACAGTGACTCAGGCATATTGAAACCTCTCTGAGTCAATTCCTGTCTGAGATGCTGCAAATGTAAAACGTGGGCTCTAAGGTCTTCCCCTGGCTCCAAACGCTTCCTGTGCAGCTTTCTGAAATAAAGCAACACAGACCCAGCCTCTTGTCGGAGATGACAGGCTCTAAGCCCGTCCCACATCTCACGGGCACTGGCCTTGCCAGCCAGGGTGATTAACTCTTCAGGAGCTACTGAGAGCAAAATTATCCCCATGGCTCTTGAGTCCTGTGCCGTCCATTCATCTGTCACAGGGGCTGGGGGGTCCTCAGAAACGGTATTCCACACTCCAAGCTTTCTCATCTGGCCCTCACAGTACCTTGCCCAGGTCTGATAGTTGTGGCCATTTAGCTTTGGTGGAGACGGAGCAGCTTCTGAGGATTGTAAAAGATCCATCTCAGTCTTTTACTTGAGCCGTGAATCTTATTCACTTCAGAGACGTCTTATCTCAGCAGCTCATAAATCATGAGGCCTGTTTGGCTCGACTCCCAGACCAATTAGGCCAGCCGGACATCAAAGGCCCTTGCCTCGGCAAACAGAAAAGCCTCACTTTCGCTTTTCTTCCACATACCTTTCAGCAGTCTGCCGCAGTCTTACTCTCCTGTAAGTGCTGTGAATCTGGGCCCATAACCTGTTGTTGGGATACTGCCAGGGAGATAAAGTCCATCATGGCCCCCAAGCCGTCTGCCGGACGATCCATCAGCCTCCCGTAGGCACGCAGCGACATGAGTTTCTAGAAAATATCTTGCCACATTCCAGACTCATGCACGCTCTATCAGCACCGATCACAGGCAAAATTTGCTCTCAGGAGAGCATTATTTACAAGTTTATTCAGCGTTGATCAGAACACAGAAAAACATGACTGACTGCTTTAGTGTCTGCGACACCAGAGAGAAAACGAAAGCAACAGAAAACATAAACATCCTGTGAACAGGAAATACGCAGACTCTGACTCACAAAGCCTGCTCCCTTTTAAGGTGGAACGGAAATATCCTAACAATAAATTCTTATATTTATTCACATAAGATTTCTGCAGTTACTGATGAAGAAATCTCATAATTGCATCTACACCAGGGATTGGCAACCTAAGGCCCGTGGGCAGGGAAACGCTGGTTGGGCGAGTGGCCATCATTCTGCGTACACAAAGACTTGGTGGAATCCCATCCGATCACAATAAGGGGGCCTGAAGAGTTAGGGACTGCCTGTCTGAGTAAGCAGTACTGGGTCAGATGAACTGCTGGTCCAACTCAGTAGAAGGCAGTTTCACACCCAGCTTGAATTTGAGTAAACAAGCTTAGCAATGAATGCCAGTATTCACATCTTGAGGCAAATATCTGGTAGCTGTTGAAACAAAAACTACAACACGGATAATTTAGGTATAGATACGTTTCCTAGTCAGGTCATACTAGTTCTCTAGAAGAATCTCCTCCGCTGGCTTCACAAATTTGGCACACAGCTAAAAGAAAACTAGTCAGGGAACAAATACAGTGCTAAGGTCAAGTTATTAGCACAAGGCAAACACGCTCAGAACTGGCTGAGTACCACGTTGAACTACACCACCAAAGATACATGCACTGGGTTGTAGTCAACAAAGTTTGATTCAGAGTAAACCCACTGAACATGGTGAACACTGGAAACAATTGGATTCATATTTACTGTACTTCAGCTCTTTTGTTCACATGCAGATTTAAAATCATTTCACTGCTTATCATTTCATCTGCTAAATCAGGTAAGATCTCTGCAGTTACTGATGAAGAAATCTCACCATTGCTTGATTGTGGGAAAGACCAGTCTGCTTCATGCCTCTTTGACAAGTCTTCTTTCTCTTCTGCAGTCTCATAAGTTGATCGGCGATTCCTTACGGAGATATTTTCTTCACCCACCATAGTGTCAGGCTAACGCACTGCAGAGGAGAAAACTTACTTGTATGAAGTACTTCAGCTTTTTATGACCATGCACTTATCGTTCTTTATTATATGATGTATAATTATAATCATTCTAAGAAGCACAGTGCTTCTTTCTTTTACAAAACAAGTCCCTAGGCCTCCTGGCTGCCAGAAAACATTTCTAAATACACCATTTCAGACTGATGAAAGTTGTGAAAGCTTTAGAGGATAGGGTTTGTTCAAAACCACAAACTGTTCCCTTCACTCTCTGAACCAGCCTCTCTCAATCTTGGTTGGGTCCCCAGATGTTGTTGAACTACAATTCCCATCATCTTTGACCACAGGTCTTCCTAGCTAGGAATGATGGGACTTGTAGTCTAACAACATCTCAGGATGTATGGTTAAAAGGCTGCCTTAAACTTGTATCTTTCAAAAGATTTGTTTTGATTGATTATTAATGGAAGTTAAAGTTGCAGGAAATGTTCTCTGACCCGATCTTTGTTCCTTTAATGCCCCCAAAGGAAATTACATAACGATAAGATTTCGCCACTTGCAGCCCTTGTGTTTAAGGTGTTATCTCAGTTTAGAGGGATAAATACACAGCACTTTTTAACCATAGTTAAACACAGCACAAATAACCATAGTTTTCCATTTCATCCAAGGTAGAAAACTATGGCTCCCACTTCCCAGCTTGGAACCCGGTGGGCTCAGCCTTTACGCACGGAAAGGAGAGGAGGAAAAGGGGACCAGCAGGCTTCTTTCGCGCCTTCTCCTCTCCCCGCACGCCATCGTTCCCTCTCGACGGCGACCGGGTGATTCAGGAGGGGTACCTGCGCCCCCTCTCCCGGCCCTTCGCCGCCCCTCGCCCTTCGCCCCAGTCCGAGTCCCATCACCACCGTCCCCGGAGCGCCCACCTGAGTCTCCGTGTCTCTCTCCTCCTTGCGTCTTTTGCAGCTCCGCAAGCGGAGGGGAGCGCTATATGGCTTGGCTCCTCCTCTGCCTTCGTCAGGGCATGTAGGCGAAAGAGGAGGCGAAGTCGGAGGAGGAGATGGGAACAGGATACGTCGCTGCCCCTTTGGAAACAGAATGGGGATTAAATCACGCAGGGGGAACCTTTAGTCCTCCAGATGTTGCCAAAGGACAACTCCCAGCATCCTTGGACATTGGCTATGCTTGCTAGAGCTGATGGGAGGTTGGGAGCTTTGATGGGAGGTTGGGAGCTTTGAGGATGGGAGGTTGTTCAGCAACATCTGGAAGGACAATGGTTCAGCACACCTGGGCTAGTTAGCTAATCCAGCAGTGCTTATGTTTCAGTCGAACAGTGCCACCTAAAGGCACCTTGCAGAAAACTATACAGTTGGGAGATAACGGTAATGATTCAAGGCAAGCTGACGCAGGAAACTGTCCCACAGCGTTTAATACAGCTTGTGCCAAGGGAAGTGTTCGTAGTATGGCAGCCAGTCTCATGAGATTTTTTGTGGAACTAGAATATGGCAACCCCATTTTGGAACCAGGATATGGCAAGCACCTTGTCACACGGGGCAGCCAAAGAGGGCAGTTTTAATGGTAGAAAACAGCAGACCCATTGCTAGTCTGTAACATGGGCACAAGGGCACTAACTTGTGCAAGCTGTTTTTATTTCTATTTTCGATTAAGATATATGCTTATTGTAAACCACCCTGGAATCTACTGGATGAAGTGTTTTAAATAGTAAATACAGGCTCCACACACACTATATGTGGGAAATGACTTAACTGGTTATCTTGTATGTCTCCTGAATCCTGCCTTCTGTGTATTGCATGGAAGCCATTCTTTCTACAGGAGGTGATAATTAAAGTTTGCTGGTAACACAAAAGCCCTGTGCTTTAGGTCTTATGAAGTCAGGAATGTCATGCATGCCTTCCAGGTCACATGTAAGATAAAGACTAGCACCAGGGTCAAGAGAGTTCATTGGGGAATACATTACATATCAAGTTATGCCAACTTTGTAAACACCATGAAACTCAACATTGCCTTCCTACAGGAAGTATAAAGGTAAAGGGACCCCTGACCATTAGGTCCAGTCGTGACCGACTCTGGGGTTGTGGCACTCATCTCGCTTTATTGGCCGAGGGAGCTGGCGTACAGCTTCCGGGTCATGTGGCCAGCATGACTAAGCCGCTTCTGGCGAACCAGAGCAGCGCACGGAAACACCGTTTACCTTCCTGCTGGAGTGGTGCCTATTTATCTACTTGCACTTTGACGTGCTTTTGGCAGGAGCAGGGACCAAGCAACGGGAGCTCACCCCGTTGCGGGGATTTGAACCGCTGACCTTCTGATTGGCAAGTCCTAGGCGTCCTGCGTATACAACCCACCTATAGGAAACAAGCTGCAGAGTGAAGCCTGCTTCAGCCAAAAATGGGTGGCATCAGGATGAGGAAAATCTTGCATAATACTCAGTAGAAGAGAGATGAATTTTAAAGCCACAACAATACTGAAACTTATGCCAACTCTAATGATGCCACAGTCTACAGAAATAAACCACAGAATAAGTTCAGATTGGTGCCCATCAAGACAGGCCAAGCACAAGCCATTTTGCATATACAGTGTATGCCTGCACATATTGTGTCTCTTTAAACCAAAACACAATTTTCCAGGTTTGTTTTGTACCTAGCCAGCACAGAGTCTTTGGTAGACCCACAGGTTGACAACCCCACCCCCTTGTTTTGGTTCCTATTCCTTTAACTGTAACACAGCATGTAGGAATTAAGCATAAGAAGCTTTCCACATTGCTCTGCAATTGCATGATAGGTTGGTAGCAAGAGGAATCATTGCAGTAAAAAAAGGGAAAGAAAAGAACAAGTAGATGGCAACCCTACATATCTCAAGAAGGGGGCAGTGGAGCTCTTTCACAAAGCTTGCCTCCACCCCAGGCCAAATGATGTCATACTACCACTACAAATTTGTCTTCCCAAAGCATTTGGCCTCCACATAGAGCGGCAGAAACAAAGAGAGAAACCCTGATATATTGGCTTGCCATCTGTTGCCATAAATGAAAACATCTGAACTACGGCATTCTTGCCCCAATCTCCTTTCACTGCTGTTGCATTCTTTTCCACTATTTGAGCAAAAACTGAACCTACTACCACTACATTTAGAGCAACAAAGCCTGAAGCTAGGTAGCCAACAGCCTAGGACACCACTGTTAAAACATCTGCACTGGTTGCTCATTGGCCACATGTATCATTATCTCTCAAGTATACATATAGTTTACTGCAAGGTGCCATTAGGTGGCGGCATTTGACTGAAGCATACGTGCCTGGTGGATTAGGTAAAGGTAAAGGTACCCCTGAGGGACACGGGTGGTGCTGTGGGTAAAACCTCAGCGCCTAGGACTTGCCGATCGTCAGGTCGGCGGTTCGAATCCCCGCGGCGGGGTGCGCTCCCGTTGCTCGGTCCCAGCGCCTGCCAACCTAGCAGTTCGAAAGCACCCCCGGGTTCAAGTAGATCAATAGGGACCGCTTACTAGCGGGAAGGTAAACGGCGTTTCCATGTGCTGCGCTGGCTTGCCAGATGCAGCTTGTCATGCTGGCCACGTGACCCGGAAGTGTCTTCGGACAGTGCTGGCCCCCGGCCTCTTAAGCGAGATGGGCGCGCAACCCCAGAGTCGGACACGACTGGCCCGTATGGGCAGGGGTACCTTTACCTTTACCTTTACCTTTAAAGGTACCCCTGACCGTTAGGTCCAGTCACGAAGGACTCTGGGGTTGCGGCACTCATCTCGCTCTATAGTAATAATAATAATAATAATAATAATAATAATAATAATAATTTATTATTTGTACCCCGCCCATATGGCTGGGTTTCACCAGCCACTCTGGGCGGCTTCCACAAAGACCAAAAATAAAGATGTCACACATTAAAAACTTCCCTGAACAGGGCTGTCTTAAGATGTCTCCTGAATGTCAGGTAGTTGTTTATCTGATGGGAGGGCGTTCCACAGGGTGGGCGCCACTACCGAGAAGGCCGTCTGCCTGGTTCCCTGTAGCTTTGCTTCTCGCAATGAGGGAACCGCCAGAAGGTCCTTGGCGCTGGACCTCAGTGTCCGGGCAGAACAATGGGGGTGGAGACGCTCCTTCAGGTATACTGGGCCGAGACTGTTTAGGGCTTTAAAGGTCAACACCAACACTTTGAATTGTGCTCAGAAACATACTGGGAGCCAATGTAGGTCTTTCAGGACCGGTGTTATGTGGTCTCAGCGGCCGCCCCCAGTCACCAGTCTAGCTGCCGCGTTCTGGATTAGTTGTAGTTTCCGGGTCACCTTCAAAGGTAGCCCCACGTAGAGCGCATTGCAGTAGTCCAAGCAGGAGATAACTAGAGCATGCACCACTCTGGCGAGACAGTCCGTGGGCAGGTAGGGTCTCAGCCTGCATACCAGGTGGAGCTGGTAGAAAGCTGCCCTGGATACAGAATTGACCTGCGCCTCCAAGGACAGCTGTGAGTCCAAAATAACTCCCAGGCTGCGCACCTGGTCCTTCAGGGGCACAGTTACCCCATTCAGGACCAGGGAATCCTCCACACCAGCCCGTCTCCTGTCCCCCCAAAGCAGTACTTCTGTCTTGTCAGGATTCAACCTCAATCCATTAGCCTCCAACCGCCTCCAGGCACTCACACAGGACCTTCACTGCCTTCACTGGTTCTGATTTGAAAAAGAGGTAGAGCTGGGTATCATCTGCATATTGATGGACACCCAGTCCAAACCCCCTGATGATCTCTCCCAGCGGCTTCAGATAGATGTTAAAAAGCATGGGGGAGAGGACGGAACCCTGAGGCACCCCACAAGTGAGGGCCCAGGGGTCTGAACACTCATCCCCCACCACCACTTTCTGAACACGGCCCAGGAGGAAGGAGCGGAACCACTGTATGACAGTGCCCCCAGCTCCTATAGGCCGAGGGAGCCGGCGTTTGTCCGCAAACAGCTTCCGGGTCATGTGGCCAGCATGACTAAGCAGCTTCTGGCGAACCAGAGCAACACACGGAAACGCCGTTTACCTTCCCGCCAGAGCGTACCTATTCATCTACTTGCACTTTGACGTGCTTTTGAACTGCTAGGTGGGCAGGAGTATATCGATGTATGTAATTTTTATTTCTTAATTATATTTAGTGGTAGTATGGCTGTATTGTTTTTTGTAACATAAAACCATTCAATAAAAATTATTTTAAAAAAAAAAGGTGGGCAGGAGCTGGCCACATGACCCGGAAGCTGTACGCCGGCTCCCTCAGCCAGTGAAGCGAGATGAGCGCCGCAACACCAGAGTCGGTCACGACTGGACCTAATGGTCAGGGGTCCTTTACCTTTAATCTATAAGGAACAGGGTCTTTTCCACACGGGCCTGCTCAAACCTTACGGTCATCTTCAGAGGCCTCCCTGAAAGGCCCCCTCCCTCGCAGCAGGTAGTGACTACTGGAGCAGGGCTTTCTCAGTCATGGCCCCCGGACTTCATACAATCCTCCCCACCACCACCACCCCGCCAGGAGGTTTGCCTGGTGTGACAGACAGCAGAGCCAGAGAAGATTGTCTGGTGATGCAGTGCCTCAGAAATCCCACCAGACGGCTGTAGCCTCTTTCTGATTGGCCACCAAGGCATCCAGTTGGGGGAGGGGGAGGGGGAGCAGCACTTTTGGAGGGAAAATAAAAGGAACCGTTTCTGAGGGAATGTCCAGCTAGCATGGGCAAAGCCAGAATGTATGTTGGGGGGGCAGAACCTCAGTTTGTATTGATTTAATTGATTTATTTGAAGGGGGGCAGCTGTCCCGCTCTGCGCCCCCCCCCACAGACGGCTGCGCTCATGCCAGATAGATATAGATAGCGATAGGGAGGTGGTTTAAGAGAAACCGTGAGGTAGAGTTAGGAAAAGTGTGTTTCACATCTACCCTGAGGGAAATATCTACAGCTAGAGAAAGGAGTCTCTAGACTGAGTGTCTAGGGAGTGAACCGGAGGAGCTGAGTTCGAGTCAGGAGGGGAGAGATCTTCTAGAAAGAGAAGACTCCCAAACCAGTTAAGGGATGGTGTGGGGAGATCCCCTGG